GTGGAAGAAACCCTTTTTGCTAAGGAGGCCCTTCCCATATTCCCCACGGTTTAAGAATTAATGGGATAAGAAATCAGAAAACTGGGGCTCAACAAGTTCAACCAAATTTTGTACCGTAGTTAAATTCTTGTCCAGATAGTTTTCTGGGGCTCAAAATCAGCTGATGCTGAACTAAGAAGTGATTAGTTCCATATTAGGCTTAAGTTAGGGTTACTCTAAGATCTGACTAGTTTACAGTCATCAAAACTTTATATTCTGCCAATAATTAACACATGATTTGTCTTGCCGAATAGTGAATTTATGTGTAATTATTTTCTTAATTGCACTAAAATGGCTTCTTAAATTTCGTGACATACCTAGAAGAAAAATTCATTCGCACTTTGCTCTTGAGAGTATATTTCTATTTTCTAAAATGATGATTTCTTTTACATGGTTCTTAACACCTAATTTAGTACTATTAATAATTAGTTTTTTTTTTTCAAAAGGAAAAAAAAAGAAGAAGAAGAAATGTGGGAGAAGCTGAATCCGGCAACAAACACACAGAAATTGTACCAATTGATGGACTATGTCTGTAAATTGAATCATTGTGTTTCTCAAGAAAACAAAAGTCATTTCCGGAATGGTTGTGTTACTATGATAGTTGCGCAAAAAAAGATCAATGCCGGGTTCCAAAAGGACTTTCTCAATACCTCCAAAACTCGAGTGTGTTTTCCAGTGTTTCGGCATTATGTATTCCTCAAAAACTCCAGTTTCTGTTTAGTGTTTACCCCCCAAAAAAACTCCACTTTCCTCATTCAATGCTTCAAACATCAGTTTTCTCCTCATTTTCTCTTCCCGCCCTTCTATTAGCGTCGGAAATCGATTATAAGGTGCTAAAATATATGTATATTATGTACTCCATCCGTCTCATAATTATTGTCCAGTTTAAGTTTTTTATTTTAGTTCAAATTATACTAAAAGTGAAATCTAAAGCTGGACAATAATTTTGAGACAGAGAGAGTAACATTTTGTTTTTTTTTTTTTTTTACACTTTTCGTAGTATGAAACGTAACTTTACTCTGATACAAGTCATATAAATTGTGTTACAAAAAGAAAAATATTAAAAATGAAACGGAAGATTTTTTTCTCGCCACAAAATCTCTCCGTTCCAATAGTTTGAAATTATTACCGATTATTTATGACGGGCTTAGGAATTATTGACTGTAATTGTGCCTAAATATACCTAATGATGCTTAGGATGGGGATGAGATTAATTACTACAAAGTTCGAGATTTCAACCATCCATTATTCTACATTGACTGTAAAATTTGTACCTAAATTGCATGCCTAAAATCCATCCTAATGATCCTTTATGCCTGCGGTTCAAAATTGATTGCACCAAAATTTGAGTTTTCAACCATCCATTATTCGACACTGTTACAGGGTCAGGACCAATGTGCCCCATTATGCTTCTAAAGGGCACCTCCAGTTTCTGTGTTCACAGTTCCCATTCTCTGTGACTTGGCACCCTCTGGATTCGTTTCCGTCGAGAGGAATTAAAAGTATTTATAGTTGGTACTATTCTAATTCATTAATTATATGCAAAATACTTCTGGGATCTTCATTACTTTAATTTGTATTAGGCTGTAAAATCATTGGAACATTCCCTTCCATTTTCCAAATTGTGAAGGGAAGAAAAGGGAAAAGGAAACACAAAAAGAAAAAACCTTACAAACATAAAATATAAAGGACAGACATGAGATAACACGAATCAAAACATAAAATTCACAAAAACTTTGGACCAAACCAAAGGAATAGAAAGTCTTACATCCTCCTATGTTACATAGTCTAGGTCTCAAATCAACCTAAGAGCATTTTTTTTTTCCTTCCTAAATGTGAAGAATGATTAATTTTTTAAAACAAATTCCCCTATTAGTATTCCAATTTCCATGTGGGTGAATAGTGAAGAATAGGCTTGAAAATGTTTACAGCTGTAATGAACTGTAAACAAAGTCAAGAATCTTTGGCTACTCATGCATTGAAAATAAGTCGCAGATAAATTAAGAAAATGACATAATGATCTTATTTCATTAAAATTGCGTGTGTAAGTATGATATTTCGAGTTATTTTTATTTTTTTTTTAGATTGTTAATGGTATGAAACCAACAGAAATTTCAGTCCGAAAGTTTAAAGTAACAGAAACAATGTTCAACTTCCCGTATAAAATCAAGGTCACTATCAACAACATTACAGCATATGTATTGTTTTAAAGGAAAATTTCTGTCTGTTTTTTCAGATTATTTTAATAATAACTGTTATATTTCACTATACCTTTTTGTATTTTTAATAAAAAAATACTTAAAAATACACACTAAAAAAGTTAACAAACATAACCTTAGCCTTCAGTAGTGTATTCCATGTGAGTGAATAGTGAGAAGGAAGATGAAAAATGTTTAAAAATTGAAGACTAGAAACAAGGTCAAGAGTCAAATTTGGTTATAATAATGTGAAAATGAAGAATCTTCGGGTTATCCAAACAAGAAACGGCTGGCTTAGCTAAAGAGCCAAAAATATAAAATCTGAATTATGCATTAACATAATTGGAAAACAATGATGGTTAGGTTGTGCCGGTGAAATTCCTAACTTTCCCCAGCGATTGGTGCCTGTCCAACACTGCAACTTGGTGATTCAATATTTTTCTTATTATTATTTCCTCATTTTAATATTGTTTTACAAAATCCAGTGGGAAAACAAAGAAAAAAGAAAAAGAAAGGAAAATAATGGGACAAAAATGGTAGGGACGTCAACTGTACGGACTGGGTGACGACGACGATCCCCATTACTTCTACTACTCTAAGATAGGTCGTATTCGCCGGGATCCAGGCCGGCGGGGTCCGTTACCTTCTTGATTTCGCCCTTTGGTAATAATTTGGGTATAATTGTAATAATGCTCCACCCCAGTATAGAAACACATCCGCTTTAAACTTTCTTTTTTTTTCTCTCTTTTTTTTTTTTTTAATTAGAATTACACTTTATTCTTTCTGGGGAAAAAAGTATAGTTGAGAAACGTGATTCAATTTAAGTCTTTAAATTTGTACTAAACAACGCAAATTTGAAAATTCACTATAATAAATTTTTTTAAAGAGGATAAAAACTACCTATTTCTCTATTTACAAACAAAAAGATTTTTACCTTTAAATTTAATTAACATTAATTAACATATCGTATCTCATGTATTGGTTTTGAAACAATTCCCTTCACAGGTAAAAATACAATGTTGTATATTCCTTTTATTATCAAATGATTATTCAATTAAGATTCTTATTTTTAAGTAAAACTGAATTAATAAATTAAAAATTTAAACCATAGACTAATTTCGAGACTAAGTGACTATAAAATGGTATTAGCTATATCACCAAAAAAAAAAAAAATCACAAGATGTTTGTACTAAAACTAATACAAATCTCAAAATTCAATATGAATTATTGTTTTGAACAAAAGAACTATTCGCTATTTTATCATACAGTACCAACAACAAATATTAACTTGGTCAATTACATGGATCATGTCATTTTCACGTTTGGTCGAAATTTCATTAATTGATTATTTCCATTGTTTCAATTTAAAAAATGTCGCACATGTCCAAATTCTTATTTATAAGATCTTAATTCTGATACATTTTTTTTTTTAAAAAAAAATTAACATTTAACACCACAATAAATAGGAAAACACAACCAGAAAAAAACCCCATACACGGTACTTGCTACTGACGAACAGCCAAGTATAAAGTACACAAAACTACACCATCTACATAAAAAGAAAGGGCTAAATTTCATAAGTTCATTATTCACTACTCCATATAGGCAGTAAAAATCGATGTTGAAGGGGATAAGATGGTAAAGAATAGAAGAACAGTAGACAATGACTAAGTTCACTGTGGTGGTCAACCACGGATGGATTTATTCACTTCATCTCAACCTCAAAGCTCAAAGGCCACAAAGTTCAATTAATCTTGCTGTGAAGAGGAGAAGAGAGATGCCCTCCTTTTTAGCAGCAAGAAGCAATGGTCCCCCTCAAACTGATGAACCCCCTAATTATGAACATTTTGAAAGTGATTTAACCACGACTTTTCTTCACCCCCTCCAAATTATTTTTGTTTTCTTTTTATAATTTTATATTAAAAGTGCTTAGCATGGACGTAATTTTTGTCAAAAAAAGAAAAAGGGGGGATGGTTTTCCTAAAAAGAAAGAAGCCCCGCCCTTATTCGTATTTCGGAAGCTCACAGCGCTGCTGCTAGCTAATGCTTTTTACTAGCCTAAAAAAGAGGTTTTGAAACTCCACTTGCCTCAAAAAGGGAAGCAACCCTTTCGATATAAAAAACAAAATTTATCTAATTGTTGAGGTTAATCAAATCCTCGCATTTATTATATATTTAGGTATTTCATATTGCACATTTTATGCTTTTTTTTTAAAAAAAAAACTTCAAGTCCTTGTTGAAAATGTGAGAATTTGCCTTTCGCTTATTTATTTTTATTGTAGTGGTATGTAAGTAAACGGGAGCAAATAGTTTTCAGTACACAGATTTTCCTAAATACAATGAAGATTTGTGATCACATAATGCAGTTATTTATTTATTCATTCGTCCCATGTATATCAATTGTCTACTTTTGTTTTGAACTTAAATAGTTCAACTAACTGGAAACTTTTGTGGTAGTTGAAAATGATGATGATTAATGTGGCTGTTCTACGTACATTGCAACTATAACTGAAGTTTTAACGATATAGGTTGCAGGATGTAACTTCACTTACTCACTTATAAGGGTTATAATAACGTGGTCGAGAGTTTAAATAGATTCCGAAGCCCTCTCATACTTTTATCACATAACGCAATTTTGAAAGTCTTCCCTGCTAAGTTACAACAAACACTAATCAAAATTGAAGCCAACATAAAAAAATACAAGTATATATGACTGAATCCAAAAAGTATTAATATGAAAGTTTAATAAACATAATGATTGGGGAAAAGGGAGGGAATAAAATTCTTCCTTTAGATTTGGGGATGCATTGTATAAATTATTTTAGAAATGCTGTTGTACCGGTAAGCAAGCAAAATACTATTACAAAAAAAAAAAAAACGTATAAACAATTAACAACAAAAAAAAAAAGGGACAGAGACATAAAGTAGCGTGTTTTTCGGTACAGAGCACGAGGGGGGCAAAAGCCGATTGTCTCACACGTGGCATCCTTGTTCACCACTGGATTAGTCACAACTCATCCACCACCATTGATCTTATTTTTCAATTTTCCAATTCTGTTTTATTTTTGCAGCCCCTCTCTCTCCCCCTTGTTTTGAGCTGATGATGATGATGGAGAAAGAGTAACCCCAACCTCCAATTCCAAACCTCAGAAGAGAATTATACAACAAAATACCAAAAAAAAAAAAAAAAGAAAAAGAAAAATTATATATATATATAAGGAAAAAGAATGGTGATTCATTCCCTCATTTCCTCATTCATTCAGCTGTAAAATAAAAACAAAAAAAAAACAGGAAAAAGAAAGAGCTGAAAAGTTCATGAGTAGCAAGTAGCGAGAGAGAGAGAGAGTGAGAAGAAGAGAGAGAAAAGAGACTCAAATAGCAAAAGAATAGAAGAAAGAAGGGTCCGTGGGTATGACTTAAATTGGTTACCTGCAGAGAGAGAGAGAGAGAAAGAGAAGAAAGTGGGAGCACAGCAGCAGAAGAAGCAGAGAGAGGAGGCAGTCTTCAGCAGCAGCAGCAGCAGAGAAGGCAGCAGCTTGTAAAAGAGAGAAAGGAAAAGTGGGCTTTTGGGAGGAGTGAATTTTTTTTTTTTCAGTTTTGGTGTTAAGTTTTTTGCTTTTTTGGTGGGATGACGGCGTGGCAGAGGAAGAGCTGTAATTCTTATGGCTATTAATGCTTCCTTCTCATCGCACACAGCCACACAGAATTGATGAAAGGGTGGCTCGATGAAACTTTCTCATTAATACTCCCTTTCTTCTCTTTTTTTCTTCATCAAATCTTCCTCTTCCTTCTCCTCTCTCTCTCTTTCGGCTCTGTGTCTCAAAAGTCTTCTCCTTAACTCTGTCTGTCCAAGAACCCCCCCCAAAAAAAAAAACCAACAATAAATTGATGAAAAGCTGCACTGCCCCGAGCCAACAACTCTCATTCACTACTCCAATTCGTCTTTCTTATTGAGCTAGATAGATCCTCCCATTTGGGTTTTCATTATTATTAGCATCAATCCATCAATCAATAATAGTATAAGGTAAAAAGAAGAAGAAAGAACCCACTGATTTCCTCAGAATAAAGACCCAAATTCTCTGACCTAGAACAAGAGAGAGTAGAAATGTTTTGTTTTTTACTTTCCCCACTCATCATAAATAAATTTCAGCTGCTGGGGGGGATCGAGTGAGAGTGTTTTAATAAAGGTAACAACAATAATTTATTTTTATTTTTGGAGGAGAGACTAGTATTATAACTGTAAACAAGACTAATAAAGAGAAGAGAGTACCCCCCATATATATATATCATTGTTGGGTCGCAATCACGGCAGAGTTTAGGCATCAACTGCTATGGATTGTCAGCCACAATTGAGGTCTGCGAATACAGGATTAAAGGTAGTGGAATCATGGCTGGCTTCTTTTCACTAGGAGGTGGCGGCGGCGGTGGTAGCGGAACCAGAGGAGGAGGAGGAGGAGGAGCAGGAACAGCCAGCAGCAACCAGAGCAGCAGCCACAACAATACCACCACCACAAACACAGAAATCAACCCGGAGAATTGGTTCCTTTACAGAAATGATGACATCCCATACAAAGGCTTCGAGTTATGGCATCCTCAGCCCCACCCATACGGCCACCACCACAATCAACCCTCAGCTGCTGCTGACAACATTCACCGCCACACTCCCTCCATACAGGATCTTTACTCCACCGCCGGAGGAGGAGGAGGATCGGGACTAGACATCGGCGGTCCCAGCACCAGCCACCACCACCACCACCGCGGCGGAGTCGGGCTAAACATATCGTCGTCGGATCATCATGAGGCGTCGAGATCGGGGTTCGTGATGATGAGGAGCAGTGGGGGTGGGATAAGCTGCCAAGATTGTGGGAATCAAGCTAAGAAGGATTGCACACACATGAGATGTAGGACTTGTTGCAAGAGTAGAGGCTACGATTGCGCCACCCATGTTAAATCCACTTGGGTTCCTGCTGCTAAACGACGTGAACGCCAGCAACAATTGGCTTCTTTGCAGCACCGCCAACAAGATGATTCTTCCCCTTCTTCCCAACCTGACCAACACCAACACCAATTACTTCAGCTCCATCATCCTCATAGCAAACGCCCTCGAGAGAATGCTTCCTCTCTTGTTCGCTTACCTTCTGTTACCTCAGGTAATCTTTTTAAGAAAAAAATCAATATCAACATCTGAAATCATCTTTGTTTGTGCCATAATTCTTTCTTCTTCGTGGTTTTGTTTCTGAAAGAATAAATGAGAGAAAAACCGAGAGTGTGAAAAAGAAAAGCCTGTGGATCCTTTCTCTTTTTAAGTTTTTGTTCTTATTCTTCCTTAACATATAAAACAACAATTTGCTTGTGAGAGAGATGAAGGAGTCGTCCTTTCCCTTCCAATCCATCATCATCATCATCGCATCTGCTGTTCCAAATCTCCAGCCATTGCACTAAAAAAAATTTCTCTTTTTCTTTTGTGGTCTTTTCCTTTCACAAAAACACTGTTTGGTGTTGGTATGTCTGACAAAAGATTGACTATAAGGAAAACGCTATTTCCTCTCCTTCCGTCTTCTTTTTATTTATTTCCTTTCCTAGTTTACTGTGTGAGAACGTGTCTCTTCCAGCAGCACATGTCTTTCTCTTTCAATCTTTTTTATTCATATTTTTTTCCCCCTTCTCCAAACTCAAATTCACTGCATTTACATAACATTTTATGAATGAAACCCCAAAGTTTCCAACGGTTCTGACTTCTCACGTTATATATGTTCTTTGTTTTGGGCTGTGATGTCTTTATTAGGGTTGGAAGTGGGACATTTTCCGGCGGAAGTGAACACGTCGGCGGTTTTTCGCTGCGTGCGGGTGAGCTCCATCGACGACAATGAGGATCAGTACGCTTATCAAACGGCGGTGAACATTGGGGGACACGTCTTTAAAGGAATTCTTTATGATCAAGGCTTGGAGAGTCAGTATATGGCTACCGAAAGCTCGTCGGGCGGCGGGAGTGCAAGTACCACCGGTGTTCAACAGCTTAATCTTATCGCCCCGACTGCTGCTGCTACCGCCGCTTCAACGGCCACAACCACCGTTAGCGGTGGTGCTTCGGCGTCGCCGTTCCTTGATCCTACTTCTATGTATGCGGCACCAATAAACAGCTTCATAGCTGGTACGCAATTCTTCCCACCCCCACGGTCCTGATCCCATCAACAAAAGAGCAAAAAATCTTCTTCTAATCAACATTTGACTTTTCTTCTTCTGTTGTATCTTCTTAATGTACGTGGGTTATAGTAGTTCTTTTTTTCTTTTTTTTTTTTTCTTTCCCTTACTGTTTGTAGAACAATTTGACAGGCATTATGGTGATGATTTAAAAAAAAACCAATTGATTTTATGAAATTAGGAAGACAAAAGAGGAGGAAATGAGGGAATGGTGTTTTTCTTCTTTTCAGTGCAAATTTCGATGCAAATTTGAAGTATGGCTTCTTGGTTTTTCTTTTCTCTCTTTGAAATATATATATATATATATATATATATATATAAATATATATATCAGAGTTTGATTTTCCTTCATCAATTATGGGATCTGGTTCTTGTTTGTTTCAATTATGGTTATTGTGTGTTTGGGTCTTTGTTGAATTTTGATAGAACTTTGTGGTCAGTTTTGGACTTTGAAGTTGCATTATTTCCCTTTTTTTTTTCTCCCAGTTTACGCGTAAGTTTGCCTCCTTGAATTGGTGACTTAAAACGGCTAGCTTGCTTCCTGGATTGGACAACCTGCATTAGAAATATCTTTTCATCTTTTTTCAATGTGGGAGTCCAGCCATGCAGGAATAATCATGTTTCCAATGTTACAATATTCATCAATCTTTTCTTCTTTTCTTCTCTCTCTCCCTCTCTCTCTGTGATGAGTGATGAGTGCAAATCTGTGTTTGTTTTTTTTTACTATCTTATGTCATTTTTTTGCAAAGTTTTCTTGGATATATAAAGGATGTGACTTCCATGAAAGGAAGAGGAATGCCTCTTTTCATACGCTAATCTTAAATGTACCTGCAAAAACTGCAACAGCATTAAGGAATTTATGTTCAAAAAGCTAGCTATCATCCTCCTGTTAGCATAAATGTTAATAAATCTAGTTATGAATGTAGAATGCAGTTTTAAATCTGGTTATGAAATGTAGAATGCAGTTGTAGGCATGTTTTTAGTCCTTCTCCTGGAATTTTAACTGAACTACTGACCCAAGTGCATGTTACTCTATGGCTTTTGATGCATACATGACTTCTACCCTCCTATGAGTATTTAATTCTTTCACATCATTATTTGGTTCTTTTTAGTCCAGTTGATTAGAAATGTTTGTCATTTAGTGATTTTACAATGAACATGTATGATTAGACATTTGATGATGCTCTCTACAAAGCTAAGCATTATGTAAATCTTTAACTTACACAAGGTTTAATCTCACAAGTAGCCTAACATTTTTTATCACTCTTTTGCTTAATTTGGTCGTTATCAATTCTGCTACAGCTAATTATGGTCTTCCAAAGATGGGACATGAGTTGGGAAGTTTATAGTAGAATATAGAAGTGGTCTGCAATCATGTTTTTGATTAGACAAAATAACCTTATAATAGAGTGTTAACATGATAGTGAAACTTGGATTAGTACTAAGTAATGAAAGCCATTAATAGCTTACAACATTAATTCTTGTAGACCATTAGTGCCAACGTAAAGGTGATCCTAATAATTGTGCCTGTTTGTGTGAGATGACAAATTGAATCACGATTTCAAATGCCTCTCCCTACTGTTGATGCTTATAAAAGATGAGAGTAATGAATGTTCTCAAAAGTGCTGCAACCCTTTTGAGCTATGCTTGTGATTTAGAGTGCTAAAATGTAGACACTTTGAAGAGTCAGCAACATATACTCAAAACTTAACCAAAGGAACCAACCTTGTTGAGATGAACTGATGACAACTATGACTTAAAATACAAATCTTTTAACTGTTTCAAGCTTGACGCTAAAGTTAAAGCCTTAAATCACAGAAAAGAAAAGTTATTTTGGCCTTGGAATCATTTTTCCTAGGCTATATATGTCATTGTTATGCATTGCCTTTTGAAATTTGGCTGATGAAATGGCACTATCTTTTCTTTGTACACAACTTTGTGCTCTTGATATTGACCCTCTTAAGCCCTTGGGGGTACTTATAGAGTTTGAGATGTTGATATCTATTACTTGTGTCAGTAACATGTTGTATTGTAAATTGAGTAGCGGCTGCTTTATGAAGTTGTTTCATAAACTCCAAAAATTTGATGATAGTTTCAAAGGTTACCTGATCATATTAAGACATAGCAAGGATGATATACAAGATGTGAACTACTCGATTTTTCCTATCTTGCAGTTATAGTTAACGTGAAGTAGTTTTTAGTTTTTGAGGACACTTGGCCTCGAAACAACTTAAATGTAGCTTCGTGTGTTGTTTATGATGAATATGGGTTCATTCTGCGAGGAGTCCTTCACTTATGGCTACCCGTTTGCTTCATGTTATTTGGTTATGGTTATTTTTAGTCTTTTTTTTTTGTGGGGAGTCGTCCTTGTCTTGAATGTGTAATTCCTTTTTTTAAGGTGAAATTTTAATTACATTGTTTTTTATTTGTTCTTGTTGATCACAGACACTGCCGCATTGGTACATTTTGTTGTTTTCTTGTATATTTTACATCAGTCTGGGGATGAGCTTGACACAAACCTTTGAACCCTAATGAACCAAAAGGAATGGAAGTAATAAAACTTTCTGGCTGTAGGAAAGTCAGTACAGCTTTTGTGAAGTACACGATCAACAAATATGTGCACTTACAGTAAAGAATGATCAGTTTCTTCCATTTCAGGAGCAGACACTTTTTTTTTTTGGGGGTGTGGGGGTTTACGTGACGGTGATGAAGGGTTACCCCATGCAAGTGTGCAATCTGTTTTTGCTTCACATGCATGCTACATTGCCATTTTTAGTGCTCATGTCATGATTTGTCCTATTGTTTTTATGATTTTTCCTTGTAGTAAATATTGTGAGTGAAAATTGAGTTCAATCACATTAATCATCTGAATGGTTGTAGCCCTATACAAATTTTTTTTTTTTGGGGGTTTAATTGAGGACACAAAGTTAACATCTTAAAAAACTCTAAAAAGATCATTTTTGGATTATGCTTATCAAGAAATTTTACAGTATGATATATGTTTATTTGTTATTCAGTTACATGTATGTTGGCTCTTTTCTTACCTTGTTATCATTATTGATAATAAAATATTACATCGAAAATGTCATGCTCTAATTATCCTGAAATTATTATTCAGTGTAGATTTTTATTGTCAGTTCAATTTTTACTAAAAGTGAAAATTTAAATTGAACAAAAATTTTGGTGCAAAAGAGTATAAAATATGATCTGTAATTTGACTTTTCAAGTAACAAGATTGGCTGCTTTCGCTAAAACAATTTACTGAGACGGTAGTATACAGGTTATGTTTTCAGATATAAAAATGTAAAATTATTACTAATTATCATTAGAAAGTGACATGCTTTCATTGATGTCAAATAATTTGTTTTCCTAACATTTTACTAGATGATATCTATTAAAGCTTTCCTTGCACTCGCAGATCATTATGTCATTGGTATTAATGAAGTATATGCGACATTAGTGCAAAGAACCAGAAAAAAAAAGAAGAAAGAAAGTAAAAATCATACGAACATAACATATGCAATGGCACTTGCATGAACGGCTGAGGAGAAAAAGTAAATTCAATTAACCGGGAACACTGTAAATCGTAATAGTGGTGTGTGCAGCCATGATCCTTGCAAACATATTTTCTCCATTCACATATTTATGAAAATTGCACATTTAGCGATCAATTTTTAAAGAGTGTGATAAATGATATATTTGAGTGTAACAGAATATACATCTCTCCAAAATTTTGAGGGTAAGAGTTATGATGCGGATCCCTGAGACAGCGGCTGTTAGTGGTTATTTGGTGCAAACGGTAATCATATAAAATCCACAAAGTGATATTGGGGGCAAAGCAAACGTGTAGAAATGGAGTTACTAATAATTAAAGAGTGAACAAAACGTGAAGGGAAGTGAATGTAGTGAGTACTGTAATAGTGTTTGCCCTCCATTTATTGTTGTTGTGAGAAGCTGCTGCAATAATTCAGTTTTAGTTGATGGGGCGAGGGAACAAGTAGCCGAAAGATGATAATGATTTGTTGCCATTTTCATTTTTACTACCCTTTCCCAATGCTGACACTGTCCTTGTGTTAAAATATAATATTACAAAATTACTATCATTTTACCAATTTTCCATGACTTTTTTTTTTTTTTTTTTTTGATCCATATCGAGACACAGCCATTCCCAAATATTGATGGCCTTTGAAAAACATCTTTTTATGGAATTCAAAAAGATTTTCTCGAGCAACAAAAAACCGAATCTTGCTGTTTCCGTACTGTTCCTTGTGAATTTCACGATATTGATCCTTCTTCCCATTATTTTATTTCTTTTTTCTTAAGTAAAAAAGGGTTTGTTGGCACTATTTGCTTGTGTATTTATAACAATAGTGTCGTTCTAATCAATTTTTTGGGTTTATTCCCGCGGTGTTGCATCATGCACGCGTCATTCATTTATCCTTCGTATCCAAACTAGATCTGATTAGTAATAATGAATTTCATGTGCACGAAAAAAAAAAATAAAAATCTAAATTTGTGGCACCACACTACTCATTTATTTCTATTTTCTTTATGTGGGAAAAAAAAAGACTATTTCCATCTTATTCATTGCATTGACCTATTTTAACAGTTTTTTTAGACATAAAAATTACAATTTATTGACATAATGTAATTCATCAGATGTCCCCGAAGGAACAGCGTACTACATCTGATCTGTGGGCAAAAATGAAGATGGTCAATGGTGTAAGTTTAGTGTCAATGTCAATACCAATAGAATAGGGTATTCTATGGTGAAATAAAGTCAGTTAAAGTTATGGCCAGTAATATATTCCCTTTTACAACCAAAAAAAAAAAAGAAAAAAAGAATATAGATATGGTGTATAGTTGGGGGGAAAATATTTTTCTTTTCCAGTACAATATAGTTCGCATATATATATATTAGTCTTATCGGTTGAAAACTCAGTTTGTGAAAATATTCAATGCAAACATTTGTAATCTTCTTAAAGCACTATCACTCCCACTTCAATTAGAGGTGAAAACAGAAGATGTGTTAGTTAAAGTTGAAACATTTTCACATGTTCGTCTGTTTGTTTTGGTTTGTCTCTAATTAATTCAATCAACCGTCCACCTTCTTTCAATTTTTGTTTCTTCATTTTTTTTTTAAAAAAAGGAAAATTCAATTTTAAATAGCTAAAATTCTCAATTATTGTTCATTATCGTACAAGGATATATATATACATATATATATATTTTATCGATGAAAAAAAAAAACAATAACTTAAGGGAAGCTACAATGATGGACTCGCCATTTTCCACACCGAGTTATGCACTAGTCTTGTAATTGACTGAGAACTATGGTTAGAAAGGACATTAATTCACCTTAAATTATAAATATATCCATTGAGAATTCGCCTTCAGTGAGCTAAAAAGGAAAAGACACTTGGAATATGCTTTCGAAGGGATAAAAAGAAGAAGAATAAAAGACGTAATAAAATGGCTTTTGATTGAATATGTGTGTTCTTTTTTTTTGGATCATCCACAGTTAAATTGTAGACTATGTCGCTGTAATGAATAATGAAATGTTTTCATATTGAACACACCTTTAAATGTGCTTCAATTATATATAATCTGTCCGGTGGCCGTCCACTCATAATTAATTTGGTTCTCCGTGTACTATCGCAGTAGTAGTGTTAATAGCAATTCGTAAATGTATTTTCTATAACTCTAGATATATTATAGAGCAATGGCATTGTTGGAGTAACTCAATCACCTTAATATGATAAGTTGATCTTAGAATTTAGACTATGTCTCATTTTAATTACAAAACATATATTACAAAACCTCTTAATTTTTTTAAAAGGAAAAAAAAAAAGAATCCTATTAATTGTTATATACTCCCTCTGTCCCAAAATTATTGTCCAGTTTAAGATTTCACTTTTAGTATAATTTAAACTAAAAATGAAAGTTCAAACTGGACAATAATTATGAGACGGGGGGAGTATTGAAATATTCAATAAATAACACTCTTCTTTTGAGTCACTTTTTGAGTGATGAAATAACACGAATATTTAAAATTTTTTTACAATTCTTATGTTTGAAGGTGATTTTGTATTTGTAGTTTGATCAAGAATTGGCCGCTCTTTTAGACTGTTACCACTATTCGAAGCTAGCCATGAATGCCAAAACAGTACCAGTCTTCAGTATTCACAATTTTTTTCCTTTTTAATCTCTTAATGGAATTCCATAATTTATAAATGTCATACTCCCTCCGTCCTAAAATTATTGTCCAGTTTGAGATTTCACTTTTAATACAATTTGAACAAGAAATGAAAAACTCAAACTGGACAATAATAATGGGACGGATGGAGGGAATATATCTTTTTCAGGGTTACACTTACATCAAAATTTTTCTTCGGAGTACTATTAATGGAACGGGTCGTCTGATAACAAAGAAGCACGCGTATGTGCGTGCATCGATAAGTTAGATTGTGTTAGGTACTAGGTGTTACATACATATTGTTTGACCAAATTAATTATGAGTTCAGATACCGCAGTAACTTAGTGATTAATGTATTTGTTGAAAAAATTTTATCTTACACAAATTCAGATTAGTCGAGACAGTAATTTTAAAAAGAGGATGTTTGACATTCCAAAGAGGAAGTATGATCTAACAAAATTTGTTACTGTCCATTTTTTTGGTTATTAGCTATAGTAACAGTATGAACATGAAAAGATGGAGCTGAATAAGACTACCGAAGCACCGGATTCGATCGTTGAGCCCGTAATACTGTATCAATCAACTTTACCCTGATTTTGCAAGTAAGATCGATTTGAACACTCATCTTTCGATTTGGGTGTTTCATATAGACCACTCCTTTATTTACAAAAGAGGGAATATCAACAAAAAAACTCTAATGAACAAAATCCCAACGTACCATAGTAGAGAAAATTAAGGTACAACTTGAAGATGCATGTGTTTTTTTTTTTTTTTTTTAAAAAAAGGAAAAAAGTTTAGGGTTTGGCATTTATGAATGAAGGCATCTTTGACCAGCAGATTGAAATAAAACCTCCAAATCACGAAATACAAAAGCCCGATTATAATGTGAGTAAAATGGTCCCTTATCAACAAATCTCGTGTGTTTTGCCTCCACAGTTTTAACTACATTGGAGCCCCTGCACTACCAGAAGTAGCAGCTAGCTTAGGCGTTATGTTTCTTGCTCCCTGCAGAAACACAAATTAAGTTGCTTATACAATACACAACTGGTTTTACTATAACTTGTTCAACCGAAAAAAAAAAAAAAGGATTAACAAGAATCCCGTGAAGAAGATCATGAGTGGGTTGCATACGTTCATTAAAATCACAAATCCCAGGATGAATCTTTGGGCAAAAATTAATGAGAGAAAAAAAGAGGTCCTAGGTTATCCTAGCCAGAATCGTGGTCCTTCCTCTTAAGTATCTAGCCACGGTATAAATCTCATGAATGTAGGTTTGAGAAGCTTCATCATAAGGGGGACAGAAGTAAAGGCTTAAAGGGAGGGCAAAAAGAACAAAAATCATTTCGACAGCTTTTATTCCCCCCTCAAATTTAATAAATATACACAAGATAAAATTTGTAGCTATATAGGTGGATGGATGTATACATGAATAAATTAAGTAAAAGGATCTGATTATACTGACAAGTGACAACCATAAATTTATATAAGCCAAATTTAATTGGATGCCCATGAAAAGTAAATCACGTGATCTTCTAAAGCAGCCACCCCTCCAAATTTTTAGTTTTAATTCTTTCTTCCCTGGTTCCCTGTCATCAGAAAGGATAATATAGTTTAAAACCCTAGTCAGTGTTGTTTTTTTAGCTCTTTAACTTAATTAGGGGTTAATCCCACATTATGGTAATTGTGTCTTATTCTGGGACTTGCCCTTATTTGAAAACCTAGCCCAGTGGTGAAAAACACTGAAAAGGGTTTCCTGGCAGGGAAGCATCCCATTTAAAGACGTGAATTTTTCGGCATCTTTATTGGACCCAAAATAAAAGATTTTATAAAAAACATTGGTACAACAGTACAAAACATAATAAACAAAGTGGATCAATAATATAAAAATAAAGCATGTAGACTGCAAAAATTTGCATTATTTTGAGGATCAGAAAAACTTGCAGGAATTGTCTAGTTGGATTTAAGCAAATCTAAAATATAGAAAATCCGTACGGACGAGAGAAAGGAGTGGAGTGGGGGGGCGGGGACTAAAAATAAGTCACAGGCCTGCCAGTGACTCAGTCACATGACCCCTCTTTTATCTTATATATGTGGTACTATACTACTACTATGCTACTGTATTATCAACAAATCTTCTTCTTCTTGTAGTTTCTGTTTAAAGTTTTCGAAGCTTGCCAGCACGCACATTTTGTACGTGCATTTATTTCTTGGATCTCATGATTCATTCTGGATTCCACAGTAATTTTTTTAATCCCTGGTTGAATTTCTGTTCACATTCCACCCTCTGGATAAACCCTTTTGTGGTAAAGAAGGAGTTACTCTTTCCGGTTTTGAAATATCATCAGGTTTAAAATATCGTTCCCGAAAACCAAACAATAAAATGCACTTGTTGATAAGATCCTTACTACGTTTATTTCATTTGATTTCCTAACAAACGTTTGAAGAGTGAATAAATCACACATAGCTAGTCGTAAAACAATAGGTACTATTTCTGATTTGTCGAAAGAGATATGTAATGCTAGATTAGTAAAGATGCCAAACATCTTTAATGCTAGGTTTCATCTCCATAGCATTTTTTTTTTACCACTTAACGGGTCATCTTATTTTATTATTTAGTTCAACAAAAGAAAAATAATTAAAATGAAAAGGAATAAACAGTTGCAAATATCACATTCTTTCTGGTTACAATGGAACGAATGGATACCATAATAGATCAGCTTCAGAGGAAAAGAAAATTAAGAATAAAAAGAGGGATAGACGAAAAATGAGCAGAATGAATTTTATTGCAAGCTTCTTCTTTGCCTTTTTTTTATTTTATTAATGTTTATATAAACTTAACATGCTTCTACAAGAAGAATATGCCAAGCGGCTTTATTAATTTTGGCATCTTGCGGTAGGAATCTAATAATGGAGCATGGAATATATATATATATATATATATATATATATATATATATGTACTGGATCGTAAAGCTGCTGATTCAGAATGAATCTAATCCTAAGACAGCATGTACTACTATCATTTTACAGTATTTGAGACAGCATCCAACCAAATGATTACATGGCAAAGCGTAAATTATTTTTTAAGAACCATTAAGTATTCTAAAACCTTAGGTATTCTGTTACTATACTTCTTCTGTCTTGGAAAAACAAAAAATTTTAAAGTATTGCTCTAGTTTTATACTAAACACAAAGTAGAATACATTTTGGTATGGAGGGCTCATTATAAAGGAATAAGCCCGTGGTTGTGTTGTGCCTCGGGTTAACGAATATTCACGACATAAAATTGCAAAGAGAATGACATTTCTATGAAATTAGCAGAATCAGCAATCAATCATCACTCTTAAAAAGTGTGATATAGTAATTAAGGAATGATGCTGTCATTTCATTTCTGTCGAATAATTCTTGATTTTACTACACCACAACTCCATTGAAGGAAGAACTCTAGTTAGCTTAATTTGATTGGCTTCGTATGTCATAGTTGTGTAGTCTGATTTAGCAATGGAAATAAAAATTTAAGAGAGATTGTGTGTGAAATGACCCTTAGAAAGTTGTCAATAGGGTTTGAGTCGTAATCGGATTGTTGCATGATTCGAATCTATTCACGGTATCGAGTTCGAGTCTACAGAACAAATGATTAAATCAAAAGGTAACCTAAAAAGTTGAAGAATTAAGGAAAGGATGAATCAAAATTAAACTCCCGGCTTAATCAGTCGTCATTACCATTTGACAAGTAGCAACTTTTTTTCCCCCTTGGGGCGTGGTAGGGTATGCATGCAGATAAAGTGAGAGTGATCGATCTCAACCGACGAAAATGAATATAAGTGAAGAAAATTTTTGATAAGACACCACTTTTCAGTTTTCACCGTTGGCAAGTTATCCAAGCCTTATTAAATCAGTGTCCCATAATTTGTCATTCTCAAAATCTTGCTAGGCATTTTGACAAGTGGTGGATTTGATTGCCATTGAGCTGGTGGTCCGTTTCTACTACATATATATATATATATATATATATTTATGTAAGAAGTGGTAGTATTTCAAAGAGGGAGGAGGAAAGAAATGCAGTTGTGAGGATGTGTGATCGTTGTCAGTGGTTTAAAAGACACAACACTGTTGAAGGGGGAGAGGACATGCAAATCATGCGTAAGATTGGGATTTGTTCCGCAGGAAAATGTGTTTCTTTCCTTTCTGGGAAGGGGGAGTCTTTTTTTTTTTTTTAAAGAAAAAAACTTTGTAGTTACTAGTAGCACCAATGCTCATTATGACTTGATGAGTTTGTTATCCTTAATTGCGTCGGGATCATGTGTCGCCATCATCAATGCTTCCCTGTTTTCGTTTCGGTACCATCTCTTCTGAAAGTGTAGCAGGGGATCACTTGCCAGATATCATTCACGAGGATCTTCACTTTGTTACTACTACTACTACTACTACTACTACCACCACAACACTTGGGCACTGCTTGTATGGATTATGAATGTAAGACACATTGATTCTTAAGTAACAACATGCTAACAACTTTGAAGATGACTTCACTCAGTTACCCTTTTTCACTCTTAGTGGTAGTACTGTTTTAGTTGTATCTGACCTGATTTTATTATTGACAACAAACCAATAATAATTAAGATCAACTTCTGACGCTCTTTATGTACCCTTCTTCCGGGTAAACTGCAAACATACACTACCATCTCATATTCACCATTATCTTCTCAGTGTCATTGTCAATTGTTAGCGTTTCATAAACGCATCCTTATACATTCCACATACAACAAACATTTTAAGCATCCACTGATGTAAAGAGGCGTTAGGAAACTGTAAAGAGGATTGTACAAGGCGACGTCAATAAATATGAATTCGTATTATCGAAAGGTTACACTGACCTATGCAATATCACTTCTAGAAATATTTCCACAACTTTTACAGGGAACTATGACAAAGGAAAGGACCGAAACCGTTTACAAAACTCGATCATCACTCTCAAATTAGTTCCTGCCCTGCCGGGGCAGGTGGTCCACCTACTGATACGCCATTCTTTCTTCGACAGTTAGAAAAGTGGGTGATGCTTCGTTAACTTAAAAGTGTTTCAACTGGAACAAGTCAATCAGCACTGGGTTTCTCAGCTGACAAAACACTAGAGTTTTCAAAACTGACCTGACGAGGCTCGAGGCTTTCCTTTGGCAGAATTCAGGTGTTGGGAGACAAAAAGGACTCCCATAACGATGATAAGGCAACCTACAAGCGTGCTAAAGAAGAGTGCACCTGGTTGCCTGGTTTGAACAAAGCCATAAACCCCATTGGAAGTCACAAGAATTAGGTCAGTAAACCCATCATTTGAGAAGTCCACAGTGACCAAGGCATGTGTCGGTGCTGCTGGAAGCTCAACCGTTGCCAATATACTTCCACCAGGAGACAAAACTAAAGCTTCTTGATCTCCAGCAGCAAGGATTAATTCTCTGCTATCATGTGCACGCAGGCGAAATGACTTCAAGGTGGGGACCACCTGACCAGCTTCCATCAACCCTGCGGGAGATGGTAGATTTGACCATGTTGCACCAGTCAGTATTTGCCAATTCCAAGTAGCCTCATGGCCAAGCAAACCGGGGGAATATGATGTCACCTGGAAATCCAAAAGCATAAAATCTTGAGTTACCAAATCATCAACCCTCTTTGAAGTTGGACAAAAATCCCATGAATCTAATGATAGTGTTGTTCATTAGCAAGTAGAGGTCATAATTTTGTCCATTAGCAAATAGATGACATGCTTGTATTGAATAATTACGAATAAACAGAAAATGACAACTGGCAGTAGTCAAGGTAGTAACCACAAAATTTTTTGCTTTCAAGCCAGAGTCTTTGCAAGTCAAACCTAATTAAAATTTAACATACCTCGCCTCTATTTGTTAAGAAAACGACATCACCATGGCTCCCCTTACGATGACGATGGCCATCATTTGTTGGTATGAGAATAGGAGTAGCCACTTCTAAGGAACTCGTGTCATGCATTCGCGCAAAGGCTCTCGAAAAATCCCCATGTGGGAATAGATTAAGAGAATGATGACAAATAGAAGCATTAAAAAGCTGCTCCCGCACAGGAACTCCAGATGTTGCAACAGCCCAACAAGGCCGCAGTACTTCCATGGATCCACTAACAACAGTTTGTTCAGCACCATGAGCCCCCACGGCCTATATGTGCAACGTTAAAGTTACAAACTTCACATATTATTTGAACACAAGGGGGAATGAGTACACAACGAATTTTTTTTTGTCTCAAAACCTTATTTACTTAGTACTGCATGAAAGTTAGTTCCTCCAGAGCTTCATTTTCAATTAATCCTCAAGCTGGCCTCAGGTCAACAAGTTTTCAAGCAATAACCAATACAGCTGTGCATATTATTTTAATAGGCTGAGTAAGCTGTTAAACCAGGAGCAAGAAAAAAAATCACCTGCACATGATCTAGAACACCATCGCCATTAATATCAGCATGAAGACCCCCTTCTTGAAGATGAAGCTGCAGAAATAACATTCAAATCGGAACTTTAGATTGTTTTAGCCTAATGCAAAAGGGCAATACACACCAAAAATGACATAAATAATGAATGTGATTCAGCAATTTCAATCTAAGAACATGAAAAAAAACAAAAAAAAAAAGTCACTTGTTTCCGCAAATGCAATGGATGTAGTATTGTAGAACCTTTTTAAGGCTAATCAGGATAATTTATTAAAAAAAAATTAAGAAGCATCAAACAGATTAATTACCTTGCATAACGTGCGACCTGATGCTAAATGAACAGCTTCTATCCCTTCTTTTTCATGAGCAACAACAACATTAGGAACCCACCAAAGTTGCGTATAGTTTGTTATGGTTGGTATATACTGGAAAGGCTGCATTACACAAGGAAATGGTTGAATTATTTTCATTCAAAACTTTGTTGATAAATGTTTAAAAAAATTACATCGAGCTTCACAGAGGGTTGAATTGTGTAAGATAAAGGCGGCACCAGATATCTAATAAAAGAGCAAAGAAATATTTAGATGCCCAATAAACACAATTTAACCTTCATGGATTTTGCCGATTTAGCATAGTTTACTGCCTTCCCAATTGCATTTGAAATTCTTTTTGTTGTATCTTTTCCAGGGGGATGATTTTCTTCTGGTTTGTGAAAAGGATAATTGGTGGTCTTCCCAGATGTCTTCTTCACAGCTTTCCTCTTATGACGTCTGAAATGTGCTAGCTCTAGCAAGGTGTCCTCACGCCGATCCTGAACATGATAGAGTGACAATAAAAATAAGAACAAGGATATCCAAAACAAGGCATAAAAAAGAGACAGAATAACGTATCATACTTACCCAATGATGAGGCATAACGCCAAGGATGGATTCTCGAAATTGCCTACATTCAAACTTGGGTTTTCAAGACAAACTAGTAAGCTCACTCATGAGGAAGACCACATATTAAGAAAAGTGCCATGGCACTAACAATTGAACCTAAATCCTTCCATAGCATACCTCTCCAGGGTGGCGGCTATTTAAAGAATTAGCATCAAGCTTGTAATTGTGCTGGGGAATCAACTGTGATGCATCTGACTGATGAGCTTCAATATCCTACAGTTAAAAAATTTAGTGAATCAGCAAAGCAGTTCAAGAAAAAGAAAAGTCCAGCAGAGAAGGTACATGTAAAATGTTTGTTAGAGGCAACAAAAAATATAAATGGAGAGAAGTACAATTTTCTATCGCCACTCAGTTAATTGAAACCATCAACCAGAAATAGGAAGTTCATACATACATTTGGATCCAAATATCAGGCAAAACATCTATGGATATACACAACCAGAATGTGATTCAAGAACTTGTTCCAATTTTATGCACTCACTAAACACAGAGGGTCCAAGTTGCGAAATAGAGATATCCACGTCCCTTTTCTTTTATATAAAATGCGTGATTGCAGAAGTAGATGCAAATGAAATTACAACACATAGGTCATCATCAGGTTGTTCCTAAACAGCTCTCACTAGAAAAACAAATAAAAATAATGACAATAAAAGTAAGTTGCAGAAACTAGGGAAGCTAATTCAAAGCTTAAACCTCTTTCTTTCTGCTCCAACGAAGTTGGCCTGTTCGACCAGCAAATGCATAGAATGCAAAATGGCGTAAATCCACCATTCCTGTATTCTCGGAAACCTGGATATGCAAAACACACAAACAATAAGTATCTCAATATAAGCTCTAAGCCTAATATTAACTCGTCAACACTTGCACTAAATTAAAATGCCCTATGACTCATGAAAATCCTGCATGCAAAGGTTTCAATGGTTGCATAAATTGCATGGAAGGCCCAGTTAAGTATATGTACAAAAGAGAGGGGGAGACATGCAGTTATAAACTAAACAACAAAGGGAAAAACCATGGACAACCACATGAAATAGTCACTTGTGGATCCACCCCCAAAAAAATTTAAACTCAATTTTTTATAAGATAAAAACTCTGATGATCATACAGATGAAGGGCCCCCATCCAGAGTAACTTGCTCGGTGAAAATAACAGTCTCCCTAGTTTCAATTAGAAAAGATAACATAATTATTCATTAGTTAGAATGCAAACACTTGAGCATTAAATATGCAACAGGAAAACTGAAGAGCCAAAGTAAGTTTCCAACTGTAAATTTAAAACTATAAACAGTTCTAAAACTAGGCCAACTAGCTCAATAAACATCATTCCCCAAAGAAGAGCATGGAATGTAGAAAACATAATCAAAAGGTTCCACATAATAGGAAATTCATTCTCACTTCCTTCTCACTAGCGCTTCTTCTGTGTTGCTCAGCAGTTTTCTCAGCAAATTCGATTTCCTCAAAGAGATCTACATGAAGCTGAAATGCAATCAACATTTTTTGTAAGAATTTGTGTACGTGGATGAATACAAACCAAATCAACTGTATTTCCAGATATCTTGAACCTTATCTTACAGAAAACACAAAAAAGAAAAAGAATAAGAACAGAAGTAGTGAATTAGCAGATAAATGCAGATTCTGAAAAATCAATCACATACATGAGGCTGCATCTCCATTCTCCCACCAACAATAATCAAGCCAGAATCTCCATGCTTTATTGTATAATTGCTAATGGAAATAGCTATCTCTCTATGATGAGCATTATGCGGAAAATCCTCCTAAAGAGTTAAAGAGACAAGAAAATACCACAAGTTAGCACATGAAAGTAGCCTCTATCAAGATTAAGAAGCACAAAATTGAGCCTGTAAGGAAACCAGGATCAAATTGTAGCAAACCTGCAGGTTCACATCCCAGAGCTTTTTGAGGTTGTGATCAAAACACATTACCGACCAACCTGACGTAACAACAACAAGCACCTGTTTTCGAGGTTCTTTTTTATTGTAATTACGATCTATGACACCAGTGGCCATTGCCACAGCACGTCTCCCTGATGATACACGAATTTTGTCTGGCAAGAGGGACACCTCTGCAAGAACACGTGCTTCTCTGAATCCTTCATCTACACGCCTAGTATGTGGCTCCAAAATCTAATAGGCCGATGGAAAAGAACATTAAAACTGAAAGAAGACTAGTGAACAATATATGCACGTAAAGCCAAAAACTTTAACAAACAGGACATTCAAATCGGAGAATACCCATTTGATGAAACACTTCTGTAAATAACATATGGTTGACAAAAACCATGATAAGCAACATTCAACCAGCCACAAGCCACCAAACTGTTGTAGTAATTTGTAGATTAGCTTCCAGGAAGCAAATCATTATAGGATTCTACGGATGCAACTAGCCACCCCTACAACTAGTAGCCTTCATGAGCAACTTAAATTTTGAAGTATATGGCCATTCTACAACTAGTAGCTCTTTTCTAGACATCTTCTATGCATTCTTCATAAAATGATACGCGATTAGAAGTCAAAGATTAAGCGTCAGTGTTTAGATTTCCTTTTACCCTCCAAATTCAAAACTGCAACTTCCGGAGGTAAGGTCTCAAACCTGGATTTTGGCGTCATGAGTTGCCACAAGAACCTCCTTTTTCCCATCACCGTTCAGATCAGCGACAATGGGCGGCGGTAACCGCTCCGCCTCGTATTTAATGGGGTATTCATCCGACATATGAAACCACGCCTCTTTGAACGAAAAATCACCTTCATGCTGAAGTCACAAAAGAGGTAAAATTATTAGCAAAGCAGAAACAAAACAACGAATAAAAACCATTCTGATCGAAATTCAGCTCAAAAGAATCAAATTTGAATTAAACATTCCCAAAATTGAACTGAACAAGATTAAACTAGGGTTTATAAGCTCAGTGCTAATAGTTGTAAGAAGGCGAAAAAATTTCATACCTGGAGAGAAAAGAAGATAGCGAAGGCGGAGAGCATAAGAATTGCCAAGTCGCGCTTCCTCATTTTTGCAATTAAATAATTCTGATCAACGAAGAGGATCGAAGATTTGAGTACTACCGAATCATCAAAATAGCTTATGCAGCTCTTCCACTGCTTTCGGGTTATTCAGTCAGGCTGCCGGAAACGGAAACGGGGGAGGAGAGGGCTTTGGACTTACAAGACTGACTGTTACTCTGTCTCTTGGTTCACGGTACTGAAACCGGATACTTGAATGACCCGCTCGTGCTCCGTTGTGGGTTTTTCCTTGTCCGACTTTGACTTTTCTAACCTTGTCGTAAGAAAATTTTAGGGCGGTTATTAAAACTATAATAAAATCACCCCGTTCGGTCCAGTATCAAATTCACCCCCGTGTTTTCAGAAATATCAGAAAACAACCTTTGACCAACCGGAGATTGAAGTCAAACGGCAATCTGGTTGAAATGACTGAAATTTCAGCAACCGTCATCTGACCTACTCTTTTTATTCCTTTATACTATTACTAGGGGTGTGCACGGTCCGAGTGATCCGATTTCTAACTTAAACCGTGAACTAAATTATTAGAACGGTTTGAACAATTTTGAATCCGAAAACAAACCGGTCAACATTTGAAAACCGGACCAAACTAATCCGTAATCAACGGTTCGGTTTCTACAATTTCACAGTTTTTGTTTCACTTTGAAATTTTTTTTAATTATTTTTTGGCTAAAACTTGGGCCTTTTGTTTTTTGTTTTAGCAAAAAAATTAGAGTTTTTTTTAATTTATAACAAAAAGAATATGGCCTTTTATAATAAAAAATACAGCTCAACTTGTAAAGAGAAAATACAAAAAAGATAGAATAAAAGGTGCGTGATGAGAACCTAACTTGGGATCTCTGAACTAAACGTGGGTAAATAGACAAGAGTTAACCATTTCAACACATTGAACTTTTTATTACCTGTGCACATTTGAAAGTATATTACTACACACATATATATGCATATATATATATATATACACACACTAATATAAAGGTCCGATTTGGTTTGAGTGACGATTTTTGAATGCCAAACCGTAAACCAAACCATTCCTACCAGTTTTTAAAATTTTGAATCCGCCAGTTACGAAATAAAATTATAAAATCGATCTAAAAACCAAACCGCAATTTGGATTGACCGGTTTGACCAGTTTGAACCAATCCATGCACACCCCTAACTACTATTACCTTTGTTTCAAAATCATTATCCAGTCTGAATTTTTATTTGTGTTCAATTAGTACTAAAAAGTAAAAATGAAAATCATAATTAGACAATAATTTCGGGACGGAAAGAGCACTTTTTAGTACTTTTTACTATATTTCTGAACATTGACAGATAATCAAATTCTTGATTAAATTATGTAGTTCTGATCTCACTGCAAATGCAAATCTCAACTTGAATTTCTCACTGATCTCGCTACACTACACACGAGTAAAGGAGTTACTATGCTCCCTAAACCATACTCCTGTTCCATGAAAGTAGTTCACTTAATTATACTATTTAAGTCAACTAAGTGGAAATAGTATAACAAAACTGACTATTTTTCGAGATGGAGTAACCAGCAAATGATCAATTCGAATGAACAAAGACAAACGATTGTAAACAGAAGGTAAAAAACTATTAACAGAAGAGAAATCTAATGGATCAATCCCAACCCTAGCGACTCTACAGACTACGTGTAAAGGGCTAAAGGCAAGGAAGCCCAGAAACGAGAGCAGCCAAACGAGCACCACGGCAGGTGACAAAGTTTCAGGGGATATATTTCTAAAATGCTTCCAACTAGCTTTGTCATTAGAAGGCCTTGTGTTGTTGCATTGGTTGCTTATTAAGTTTCAGCTTCTGAGCTTCAATGTGTAAGGAAAGTTTAGCAGACTTGGTTTTCGTTTCCGCCAGCTGCTTCTCCAGTGCCTCAACCTTGTGTTTTTTTTCCAGGATAACAGTATAAATACATCATTAGACAATAATGAGGCCAAAAGCGATGCAAATGTATGATGAACCACTTACAATAATAATAGGTTATCACTTACCGTGCGCAGCAGTTCATTTTCCTTTTGCAAGTATTGTTCGCATCTGTGGTCAAAAGGTTCATGGTAGAAGTCAATTGTGATAAGGATCCTTGGAAAAGTAGACCAATAAAGCAATATTTACCTAGTAACTAACTGGATGTTCTCCTCACGAAGTTGTCCGATATCTGTAGTTGAGCCCTCTATACCATCTTCCACTTCATCTGCTTCCTGCATTAGAGCCAATTTACGGGATGAAAAGACGTGATTTAAAATGACATTGATCATATCACAATGAAGACCTCTGAAGTAATGATAAAAGTAGTGAGTTTTACTTGGTACTCACAGAAAGGTCAATTACTGGCGTATGATTCACATTTTTACCAGTTGACAATTGCTGTTGCCTAACTTGAGATGGCACAGTGGATTTGCTTGGCACATTTGAAGACCTGATACCTGCTGGCTGACGCCCTACCAAGTGACAGTGATCTCTCCTGCGATGGCCAATGTAAGGTAGCACCAAGTCATGTTAGTTATCTCTATGCGAGGAATTCAAATTAGAGCGAAAAATGTTATATCGAGCCACTTGCAACTTAAGCACTGATTAGATGGGAGGGTAAACTTTATTTCTGTAATGCTTTTGACAAGTCACAAACATGAAACCTATACACGTAGAAAATCATACGTACAACACAGACACCATAGACCTTTTCTTGTTAAAATAGAGGAAATATACCAGTACTCATTTATCATTTGTTTTAGCCTTGTCTCCAGCTTGAAGAAAAGAGATGAACGCTCAAAATCTTGCTTGTCATGGGCTGGTTCTATGAAGTTTGCTTCCAGGATTCCTACAGAAATGCAGCAAATAGACACTCATCCTATATCTATCAGGGGAAGGGGAAAAAGAAAACAAAAAAGAGAAACTCTGAACTTAGGAATACCTACAACGCCATATCCTTTGGAATTACCATCTGCAGTGACTTTCCAGAAAGGCTAAAACAAGGTTAAAAAAAAAACTTTACGATAAGTGATACCACGAGAACTGAAAGCAACAAATGCTCAAGAACGAAAATTTCCAACATGTACGAAAACAACTAAATAATAGTAACTGTAGCAGCATCAGCAGTCTATAACTGATATCAACAGAAAAGCTAGAAGAGAAAAATAACGTCAAGCTTTTTCCTTTTTCAATGAGAAAATATACCCTTATGAGGCGATTTTTGTGGTACACATTGAATCCACAAACTCCAAGTTCAGGTGCCTCTTTAATGAAACCAACGGTTGTCGCTACAGATACCTGTACAAAGAGATAGAAATATGCAAATTCAACAACCACACAGGCAACTCCCATTTATTTTTTTACTTAAAAGTGTGAATGTGAATGATGTGAGCTGTTAAGTGTATAAATTTAAACTCAGGAAAAGTTGCCACAAAGAATAAAATTGGCAACGGGTGGGAAAAAAATTGGGAAAAGAATTAAGAAGTGAAAGCAATCTATTCTTAAGAATCATTTCAAGAGTTGCAAAGGAGAAACAGTGGTTTTACTCGTCGAACAGAGTCAAGTTTGACACAGAAGCACTTAGCTCCAGTGATGCCAGAGGCACTACACTGCTAGCTTGCCAGGCAAATCACCTGATGAGCATTTGAACCGGCTAATTAATTGTAAATCAGTCATTTGTTGATCCCTTTATAGCAAAAATTTGCACAAAAAGTGTCGCTACAGCCACATTAAAGTTTTGTGCACATATCAAATTGTACATTTTCAGATTTAGTACCTCTGTTGATGCTGCAACAAGTTGTGGTCGGTATGTAAATGTCTTCGTATACTTTAATTCATCCGCAAAATTCAACTGTTCAACAGGCTTTCCTCGTAGTAATATTTTGAAATTCGTGAGCTTCCTCATGTATAAAATGGATGAATATGCCTGTGGTGAGAACACTGTTACTATTGAGCATTATCTAAATAAGTTGGTAAATAGACAAACTGAAGGTAACAAACACATACCCTTAATGAGAATCGGAGACGATAGGAAATATGGGACTGCAATTGAAGCCTTCTCTTGTTTGGCTTTTGCAAATTTCCAGCATTTGCTTCATCTCTCAATCTTATATCCTAAATCAAAGACGATTGTGAAGCGCCTCCATTAGTGAGAACAAACAAATGCATCTGCTCTACAACTAAAAATTTAATTTAAATTAAACTACACCAATCAAGCTGCATTATGGGCTTTCAAAACAAAGAAAGGAGAAGGATAACAACCTAACGCATTACGGACTTTTCACTAGGTCTACTATCATACTTTTTGGAAGACAATGAGCAAATAAATAAGAAATCACAGTTTCCGAATCAAATAATTTAAGATCAAGCAATGGGGCTTCAGTAGCAGATAGACAGCAAATAATGTCTGATAATTCATTGAAGATGCATCATAATAAATACACAGAAGGAAAAAGAGGACATAACTTGCCTCATCATCATCATCGAAATTTAACTCGTAAATGCCTTCGTCATTCAGCCAGAGGTTGTATATAATAATCTTTGTTCCGTGTGATCCAATATCCTCACACTAAAAGTAACCAAACCATTGTCAGCAAACAGTTCCTGAGGTACTAGACCACAGCTACAGAAAATACAGCTTTAAAGCTGCCAATAAACCATGGATATAGCTAGAAAATTAAACAGAAAAACCTATGCCCCTCCCTTCTAGCAAAGTTCATAATGAAAGAGCAGATTCACATTTGGTTAGATAAAGAAAGTACTGAATTCATATTTTTTAAACGAACCTGTAGCATCAGATCATTCTTGGATGAAAATGGAGACCACTCAAGTATAGTTTTTAAGTTTTCAGACCAATCATCAAGAGAGGTATAAATGATAGGTTCAGCCCAATTGCCTGAGATATCAAAATCAATCTGCAACAAAATGACACCCGGACACAATTCAGAGAGGGGAGAGAGACTATTCACATAAATATTCCCATCAAATGCAGATTGTCATAATGCTTTTCCTACCATTGGAACAACCACATCATCCTGCCCAGTCCTACGGAGGAATGTATAGGAAAGAAGACCAACACTTTGTGTTGCATGGCTGGTGGAAACAAAAAGAAAACAAAAATCACATCCAGTACATCAACTCGACCTTGAAAATGTAATTACTCAATAGAGCATAAGCTGTTTAGTTATCAGGACAATTTCCAGAAATGACTTTCGCCTTCCACCTGCGAAAAAACAGATGGGTAGAGATAGTACTTTTGAAACAATACTATCCTCAAAACAATTTGTCAAGCCGAAAATGTTGGGGCACAAACTTCTGGAGCAAAAAAAAAAAAAAAAAAAAAAACCCGGAAAATACCAATGACATTTGATTTTCAAGGAATTGTAACCAAAAGCCTATTCTTCCACATATTAAGATTTCCATTCTTCTGATTATCACTTTTTGCCTTCATTAATCAGGTAAAGGAGATTCCAAGGCATCTTTTGATATTTAATGTGAAGAATCAACAAATGTATGACATAAACATGTAAGCATACCCTGATTGAGATGAACGACTGAAAACTATAACATCAGCTCCTAAACGCATTGTGCTTGTCTTAAACCCATTACCATCTGAAAAACAGATAAACCACTGTTAAATGACAAGAAGCAGGTTGCCACAGGGAAAAAAAAAATTAACCAATTGGATAGTAGGAGTAGCTGATGGTGACTTAAGATTCCATATAATGCCACTAGCCCCATAACATGGGTTTAATCAATCTTTTGTAATCAATAGGTCTCAAATTCAGGAAAATAAAAGAAAGTAAATGGTGATGTTGAGACTGGTCAAAGGAAAATTCATACTGACAAATGGTTTTTCAACATCCTAAACAAGGACAGGAGCAGTGAAAGTAATAAAACCAAAAAAGGAAATTTAGTTACAAAAATTGAGCAGTTAAAGTTAGTCCTCAAATTATAATACTTATGTTTAAAAAGCCTTAAAAATTAAGTTTACAGAAAAATAGAAACTATTATCTTTTCTCGACAACAATTTCGAAACTTCATTTTTTTAACTCAGAATATTTATCAACAAAAGAACTTTGATTTAATTTTGATCTGCATACGTGCTGAAGATATTTTAATAGTGGCATCTACACTTGGGGCCAAACGGACAATGTCTCAGGATAATGTGTATACAAGAACAAATTACAATCCACATGCATATGGCGATTACATTGTCCTATTGTTGTGTTTGATGTTTTTGAAGAGTAACCCAAGCTCATGCACTTCCTGATGCTATCCGGGCTCATTCCACCTCCATCATCTGCAGTGAAGAAATGCTCTCAACTTTAAAAATAGTTGCTCTTAGGCATACCACATTACAGGACAATAAACTCCAGAAAGGAGAGAAAACAGAAGAAAAGCACCTTGAATAAATAAGGCAGGAGAGTTATCCTTCTTATTGTACATTCTGTCAACCTTTACAAAAGTCGCACCGTTGCATATCTGGTAATAAGTACATCAGAACCTTGTGCTCATAAGCTCAAGCACAATTAATGTGGATGACTTCGAAATAATGCAATTTTTTAGTGAATAAATGTCTGAAGAACTGAGAGTATTTTTTCAATCTTCAAGCATGTCATCTCATGAAAAAAAAAAAAAGTGAGCAAGCAGACAAAACATAAGGAAACTTTAAAACGATAAACAAAAAGAGTTAGACATATGATAGGCTTTTGGTTTCATAGCACAGAACACGTACTAGTGAATTCTACAAGAATCAACCTACATAGTCATGCTTTAACTAGCTTTACAACGAATAGATTTTCAAAAATTAGCTCCAGAGCTAATGTTTTCAACAGCCTATTAACTACAAGATCTCTTAACAGCTTGATAAATAGTTCAAAAATAGATATACACCAAACAAGTTTTACTTGTTACTTAGGTTTATTTACTCCAAATTGTAGTGTTTGAACTATATCTTATTATGGCACAAATGGAAAATACGCAAAAAGGTAGCTAGCTTAAATCAGAAAAACCTGCCTCAAACTCGATCCTGGTGACGTGTTCAGAGAATACGCAAAAGCCTAATCCAGTTACTGGAATTGAAAACACCAAGTAACAAATGCTCCTAGATCAAATAACTTTCAAACACATCCAGAAGAACGAATGTGGATCGTAAGCCATTGCAAAACATTTACCAGCGCACCAGATTTACAAAACTTCAACCATTTGATTTACTATGCGAATTGAAACTTATGCACAAGAAGTAAATGCCAATTACCTCATCCACTGCATTGTCAAGGAGCTCCGCAATTGCTGCAAACGCATGAAGTGGGTCAAAGTCGATTAAAAATTTGATGCGTACAAATAAGCACCCAATAACGGACATCAAACGTTTCATCAAAACAAAACTTCTTCATGCAACCATTTTTCCAAGCTCATCCCAGCAGGGCCAAGCCTTTTCTACTGAATCACAACTTAAAATTCCTTCAGCAAACTCAAACTTCAACAGAAGGCTACAATTTACTGGCATATCTAACTGATCAAACTTAAGAAGCAAAAAACAAACAATGCAGGGAAATTACCTCCAAAGGCCCACTTATGAGACGTGGCATTGGAATGTAAGAACTTGGGATGTACACGGGCATGTTCCAAATCACCTAAAGTCACAATTTGTCTTCGTTAAACAAAAACGTTCAACAATGAATGTAAGGAAACAAATAACCTGAAAAAAGGTTGAATTTAAAATATATAATTGGAAACCTTGAAAAGAAGTGGAAGTGGAGGGGCCAATCGCGGTTGCTCCAGCTTTCCAGAAGCTTCGAAACTCCAATTGCTGACGATCGGAACTAGATTGGGCCACCTCCATCTGAACTTCAACTTTGGGTCCTTTCATCTGCATGGCCGTTTCGGTTCCAACTTTGTTATTGCCCTTTGCCGGTGGAACAACTGGCTCCTCATCGTCGCTGCTGTCAATTTCCACGACCTCCACCGGAGCTTTTCCTTGAGTTCCGGAGACCATTTTTTACAACTTCAAAATTAAAAACAAACCATATTTTTGGTTACTTCGACGGCAGAGTTTCCAGGACCTTTTTTTGAACCTTTTGTGAAACCTTCCCCAAAAACAGGGTAACCCGTAACTGTAACTGTAAATCAAACGGGTGGGTCGGGTCAAATGACCATTCTTTATTTTATTATTATTATTTTTTTTTCAACACACTGATGGTAACGAGTAAACGAGAAAAGACAATTTCACATTTTCTGGATTACCGAAGCTGTGGATCCATATCTCCATGGCCAGATGCTGAAGCTATTTTGACTGCTTCTCGGATATCAATCCTCTCCAAAGGTAATTCAGAAACCCTTGCTTTTGCAGATAAATTTTACTCTTGTTCACTATCTCATAGTTTTTCTACCGGAGTAAACCTTGGCATGCTGATGCGTACTGAATTTATTTCCTTTGATTTAAGTTTCCCAAGTCGGGGAGAGAAATGGAGTCGTCGTATTGTTGTTTTGAGGAACTGGATTTGCTATAAATGTAAAAGGCTTGAGTAAGTGTAAAGATTGGATTTCCGAGTTTCAAATTGATCCAAAACTCTTTCAAATAGATTCCAGTTTATAAGCTTAAGGGTTTAGCCACATGAGCTATGCAAAATGGTAAACTGGATCGTCATGTAGTTATCCTGAACGTTATGTTTGTAGGCTCAAATCATTTATTGTGTGAAGTTCTTCTATTTTGTAGGGAGTTGGTAATACTTTTGGTGCGGTATTGCTGGTTATAACTTTAACAATGATGGATCCAAATAGACACCATGAACACACTATGATCATAGAAGAACAAGAAGCCCCGCGAATGCAAATTGATCCAAGCAGGGATAGGTTCCCTTGCTCCATCGTTTGGACACCTCTCCCGATCCTATCGTGCTTTGTCCCTTTCATTGGGCACATAGGTATTTGCCGAGAGGATGGTGTAATCTTGGATTTTGCAGGGCCAAATTATGTGTGTGTGGATAACTTTACATTTGGGCGACCTACATGCTATTTTCAGATCGGCAAAGAACAGGTAAACCACAGTGATGCATTGTGTCTATGAATATAACCCCAACCGTAGCCGTATATTTTTTTTACCACTTTGTGGTCTAAGAATTTGGCCCTCTTACAAACCATAGTATACCCATTGCCATTGGGACTTACGCCCTGTAAATCCTATGTGTGCAAAATATGTTTATTTAAGCATAAGTGAGCTTTGCAGTTTGCACATTTATCAGAAAATTGCATTTGCCAGTGAATGTTTTGGCTTCTATTGCTGAACTTTCTAAGCTGTGTTTTTTTTTCCTCATTATTATGGTCGGTGCGGCTTGTCTCAGGACTCTGCTTCTTATGAGAGTGAAGATGGATATCAACAAGGACCTAACAGAGACACACGAACATGGGATGATGCCTTGCAAAAGAGTACACAAGAATTTCAACATCAATCGTACAACCTATTGACTTGCAATTGCCACTCATTTGTCGCCAATTGTTTGAATAGGCTGAGATTTCGGGGTGGTAGGTGGAATGTGGTAAACCTAGCTATTTTTATCTTATTGAACGGCAAGTTCGTGAATAGATCATGCATCGTAAAAACCTACCTTCCGTTCCTGATAGTGTTTAGCCTGGGACTCTTTTTCGGAGGAACAACTTTCCTCACCTCATTGGCAGTCTTTTTTTCTATTCTCATAGGTTGGTTTCTTCTTGGTACATATGGCTTCAAGAAGTTGATTTACGTGTAGTCTCTTTCTCATTGATGCTTAGCTTTTGTATAGCTATGGTCGTGATGTATTTTGACCTTTTCTCCCTTTCGAAATTTCATAATGACGAAATTCATATTCTGATTAACGAGTTTGATATATAACACCAGATATTGGAGATTGGGTGCACTCACTTCTGTATCTGGATTCTGGTGTAGAACACAAGTGAACATGTTTTTGTTTTTCCCCTTACAGTTTATAGCTGGTGTATTAGCTTTTTGTTTCTAACATTTGTTAAGTGCTCTCAGTTTCCCACAATAACCCTCCTCAAAGTGAGGGAAATGTCTGCAATTTTTTTAGGTATAAACATGAAGTACCAAGGCTGTAGATAGTTCTCAAAGTTTGTTCTCAATGGAAGATTGGAAGGTTGATGTGATCTTTTTTCTTTCATGGACTGCTTACTGATTGGTGCGCAGTAAAGTTTGATGCTGAAATTTGTGTGATTCTTACCTGTGAAGATTACACTAGTATTATAATCCTCTTTCAAGTCATCTTTTTGACCATATCATGAAGAATAGCTGCTTTATTCCTTCTATCTTCAGCATCCAGAGATTAATGTCTTTAGTTTTTTGAAAAGTAAACATACTGAAACTTTATTCACATATCTTTCCTTTTTCCTTGTTCTTTTCTGGGCCGCAAAATAGATTCAAACATTTGCTAGGTTGATCCCCCTTAGATTCTTTGCTCTATCATATCAGTTGGATTCCAGAAAAACAAGTTAGCATCACGCAGGGCAACCCGAAGCTGATTATTTTCTCGGCCCCGAACTCGGAAAGGACCACTGCAATTTGGAATGGGATGCGCCGACTAGGGGATGAAGACTAGTTGACGACTTCTATTATGAAGTAATGTGTTTGAACAAGTTATGCAATTGGTACAGAATATAAAAGGAACACAAAAGAGTTCATGGTGGATGCCTAGTGAAAACCAGAAAGCACAAAAATCCCCTACCCCTCTTATCCTTGCCCTTTTTGTGTAATTGAGCATCTCATCTTTGTACATTGTACTTTTTAAAGTCGTAATGGAATCCATTACTATCGCCAAGTAGGATGTAATTTTCGCACATATTACTCCAAATACGTTCAAAAGACAAAGTCTTTCTCCACTAGTTCTTCAAGTAAATCCACAATTATAATCTCCCCCTCATATGAGACTCCGTACCTCAATGAAATTCACTTGTAGAATCCATCCTCGACTACTTTTTACCTTTTCTTTTGGCAAAACAATTTTTATTTTTTTTTTCCTTTGAGCCAAATGTGTATTTGTTAAACCCCAAGATGTGCAATTCAACCATTCTTGTCCTTCAACCTAAAGTTTGCATACTTGTCCATCAGAAGATTCAGAACCATCAACTTCGCTATTGTCATCGGTACCACCAGTGTAACCCTGAAATATTATGAGATGCAAAGTATCTCTATTAATTGTAGATAGTATTAATAATTTTTATTGGAGTGTAGCACGTGACTACAAATATTTTTCTCTATTTTTAATCACTTTGGTTTTATTATGAGACGCAAAATTCGAATAACTTAATCTGTCAAAAAAAAATCAAAATTAAAAAAAGATAATACTGAGGAACAAACTCACACTACCAACTCACACCAACAAATTTATGGATACAGGACAAAGATTTGCATCTTAATTTTATATAAGTATTTGATATTGTACTTAAAAACTGTATTTTATACTCCTTCCGTCCCACAAAAATAGTCCTAATTAAATTTTGAGTTTGGTACTGTTTTTTTTATAAATTTAAAAATTCAATGTGAACTATTTTTGTGAGAAGGAGGTACTACAATATACAGTCCCGAAATGGGAAATTGATGAATTTTGCTTACAAGAAATTGGTAAACTCTACCAACCGTTGGATGAATTATCGCTGTATCAGGATTTGCTATCGTGATGACAACAATGCAGAAATCCCACAGCTGGCACGAACCTAAGAATCTCTGAAACCTACTTTTTTTCTTTAATTAATTTTCTTATTAGTTGGTGTAAATGATGACTAAATGTGATTGATGCTGTGGCAAACTGGTAAATACGACCCAAATTTCCGCAGCTTACTCCCATTCTCTTCTCCTATTAAAAAGTGGGGTGTAACCTTTCTTGAGTGATACGCAGAAATCTTTTCTTTTTCTTTTTTTTTGTTTTAGCAGAACAAACACAATTCTCTCTGTTCTTCCTAAATTCCTAAATCATAAAAGACGAATTAAACCCCAGCAAGAAACCATAGCCATGGCTGAAGAGGGACAAGTGATCAGTTGCCACACCGTTGAGGCCTGGAACGAACAGCTTCAGAAGGGCAACAACGACGCACAAAAGCTGGTACCTTTCCCTTCAATTTCTCTTCTTTTTCCTTTTTTTTTTTTTTTTGTTCTCGATAGTTGATAAAGGTTTCTGGGTTTTTTTTGTTTGTTTCATCTAGTGAGATCTACGCTTTGGCTTTTTCTTCGTGTTGTTTAGTTTCTGTATCTCGCTGATATAGTCAGACTTTTTCATGCATCGTTTATTTTCTGATTCCTTTAGCCCTTTTCACTAATTTTGTGTGAATTTTGGAATTTCATTTAAGCTTTGAACTCTCTAATCTCTTTGATTTTTATTTTTATGTTTTCGATTTTGGCTTTTTCTGATTTTGTGTAAGATTAACGGATTGGAATTGGACTTGCCTCTCATATTTCTGCTCTTTTGCATGCCATGCCATTGGGTTTTAATGGATCAATTTTAGGTGCATTACTTAACCATATCTCCCCTCACACCCCTTCTTTGCCCCCTTTTGGTTTCGACATCATTGATCTCTAGTAACATTTGTTTTAGTCGATCTATACAGCTCTGGCTGTGCGATCATTGTTACTGTTCATGACGCTATCAAGTGGGAATCCCCTGCACTAGATAGTGATTTGCCTTTGTGGAACATCAGAAATTTTGCACTGCCATTCAGTTGCTTTGTTTCTGATGATTGGATTTAATGCAGATTGTGGTAGACTTTACTGCTTCATGGTGTGGACCCTGTCGCTTCATTGCTCCATTCTTGGCAGAATTGGCTAGGAAACTCCCTACTGTCACCTTCCTCAAAGTGGATGTGGATGAGTTGAAGGTAACACACATCACAGTTTTTGTGACCCCCTACATTATATCTTTTTAGAATTGACTAGCATCCTGAAAATTTGAAAGGGTTGTTGCTAAGCAATCCCTGAGTGAATACAGATATCCAACAAGTCACATTTTATTGGTGCTAATGTGTTCTACTGTTGCAGACGGTTGCTCAAGATTGGGCCGTGGAGGCAATGCCAACTTTCATGTTCCTGAAAGAAGGAAAGATTGTTGATAAGGTTATTGGGGCAAAGAAAGAAGAGCTGCAGCAGACCATTGCTAAGCACATAAGCGCTGCTACTGCAAGCTCCTGATTGTTCTTCCTTGAGCAGAAGAGGCATTAGGCCTCCTTACATATATATGTTAGTTTTATGCCGTTGGAAACTGGGAGAATGAAGTTTGACTTGTGGTTTTTGTGACATTTATTTGCAGTTCTCAAGTTCTATAATGCGACAGTTGGAAGTCTTGTTTATGCAATATTTTTCTGGTGTATGTTAATTTCCTGGGAAAAGTTTACATGGGCGTTGGATGAGGGTGAGGTTTTGCAGAGTTTAGCGTTGTGACAAATCAACCATGAAGCAGGCTCAATCTTTGGGTAGTAACTGATGTTTATTTGCCAAAGTGCATTAAACCACTGGGTGATACTGCTCCAAAAGTGCATTAATCGGCCTCCTTTATTTTCAGTTTGTATCATAAATATGAAGATCATTTAGAATTGATAGTATTGATTTGAGTAAGATAAACATCTTAAAGTACTGGAAATCAAGAGTAAAATTGTAAGGATTTCATATTGCACTATGAGCCACGCTCAACAATGAAAGGGACACGGGTTCATACTAGGATCCATTCCCATCATGAACTTGCGTTCTGGGGAAACATTCCCAATGTTGGAAACAAGTTTAAACTTGTGCTCAACACCGACAGAGATGACAACTTACATGCACCTTCCCGGTTCTCATTTCCAGCTAAAAGGGGAAAGAGACTGAGGATGTTGTGAAAAACTAGTACCTAAAACTCAACGCATGCCCGAGGACAACTGGAGTATGAGAGTTCCTGGGGATGCAACAAGTACAAGCATGCCTAACAAACTAGTATCCTGACGATGGCCTTTCACACCGTTCAAGGCTACCTAATTTTGCACAAACAAATGCTTAGATGGTGGTAATACATTCAATCTTAATGACATACATAATACACAAATTTGACTATAGACAACTTGTTGCTGACAGTTACTACTCTATTTTCTCATGTAGAATGCATTTTTCATGTAAAGTTACTCTTAGTGTTGTTGAGTGACACCCATGGGAGCACAAACTGCTTCGACTGACAAGCGTTTCATCACCTTTGGGCAAGGATCTCGGCCAAAGTTACTATTTGATATAGTCACTGAGCATCTTTGCCGCCCGATACACTTCTGCAGTAACCAAATTGCAGACAGAATACATGAAGTCAATAAGGGTGGGACAGTAAAAAAAAAGTCAATAAGGGTTTAACACGTGAGGCAAAGTATGTTGACAAAGACAATAGCAAAGTCACTGTTACCTTCTCTAGTACATCGTGTGATGCAGGAGCATGGCAAGTTCCCTGCTGGAAAGCCCCACAAGTTCCCAAAGGAGTTCCAAAGCTTGCAAACTTGATTGCAGATATAGATTGTCCATGAGCACATCGAAGGTGAACTTTGGGATTATGAAACTCTTCTGTTTTACCATAGCTCTCAATGTGCCAATTCTTGATAGTGGGATGATATTCAGAAACATCAGCACAAACAGAGCTCACTGATCTCTTCACAAGGGAAATTCTTGTGGGATCTCCTCCAAGTTCTTCAAAAAGCACCAATAGGTTCTGTGTTGGCTTCAGCCAAGATCTTGGGACATGGTACCTGAAACAGAAAACTCTTAGTGATTCAGAGAACAATAGAGGAAGGTTTCACATTTTGGGCACATCCAAGATGCATAGGAATTTGTAATTGGAGAACAATCAAATGTTCTCGTAATTAGCTATAGCCAGCCGTAGGAGGCATACCATCGCTGAGTTGGTTGACCACAGCCAAGCTGACACTTAGGAGGACGGAAAGTCCCGGAATAACTGCATCCGTTACAATTTCCAGAGGCAAATGCAGTCCAGTATCTTCCCAGACTCTGGCCATTAATCCACACTTGACCTTTTCCCATGCTGCTCATATCCAAAGCCAATGGTTCATCTCCATCAGGTGCATTGAAGTAAGCCTTCAATTTGTTTGCAAACGTCTTAGTTTGTACACAACAATTGAATTTGGTCTTGTATCTCAGTTTGGTTTGCAAAATAGTTTGTTACCTTATGCCAGGTCAAGGGCTGCTGCTTTTGGGCAATCAGCGACCCCTGCATCCACTCAACAGCTGATATGCCAGTTGGAGAAACAAGATTCATAGCTTCTCCTTTTAGCCCCACCTGTTCATGTATGTAACCATCATGAAACATATTCTAACATGACCAGAAGTATTGTACAATAGATCTCCAAGAAAGAAACCTGGTAGGTCCATTTTGCCCAGGATAAGTCCCATTTTCCTTGGTCAAGTCCGTGCAGGGCCACTGGTCCTAATATCCCAGTGTTCCAAGTCTCGAAATGTCCTCCAATATTCTTCATCATCAAAGAAAGCAATAATATCAGTTACAGAGAGAAAAAATCATAATACTGGTAGTGTAGCTGGTCTATGTTTGTTAAACAGGAAGACATTGTGAACTAAAGAAGAGCAAATGAGGATAAGAACTAACTGGGAGTCCAACAGCGACACTGAGCAACGCTATTGTATTTGCTCCAGCTCGAAGATTGACATCTCCATTGTACGTAATTCTTCTATTCTCCCGAGTACCAAAAGCAGAACCTGCATAATAACAACAAAAAACAGGGTTAACTTTTAAGAGATAAAAGGGACCTCCTTTTACCATCATCATTCTATGAAACAATCAGTCGCTACTACATACCCGAAAGTTGCCCATTAACAAATATGTGCAAAGCATGGCCAGTTGAGTGCACAATGAGAGTTGGAAGCTTTCCACCATGCAGGAATGACTCAGATGAACCAACATTGATGCTTTAGAAAAACAAATATGTACAGTCAATATCAGCACATAGAATTTTACAGAGAACAATATACCAGCGAATAAAAAAGAAGTTTCAGCAAGGATGGGAACATGATAATAGTTTAGTGGCTGCTTTCACAAACTTTTTTAAGCTACATCTATGCGTATGGACTATGGTGTACAATTGTATTGTCTGAATTTCATAGGGGGCATGTCCATGGTTTAGGTAATATAAGCAGATAAGGAGCATCAAGGTAACTGCTTCCTCACAGTTTTCTTATCAAGAAGCAGGTTTGAGATGGAACAGAAATAGTTCTTGGAGGAAAATCTTGTAAGAAACACGAATACCATTACCGAATTGAATAAACAATGATCACCCGATATTGGACACAGGTAAAGCTAGTTTGGTGTAAAAAATCGACTCACCTTGTGGTGTACCAAAGATAATCGGTTGTGTCCCTGGTAACATTTACCTGCTCCAATAGTCCAGGAGCAGAAAATGCAGAACTGTCATCCAAAGAACTCAAATCTTCATTGAATGTTTCCCAAGAAAAGATTTCAGCGTTACTAGGTTGCATTTCCATCTGGGAAGTTTGGACTCCAACCTGAGAGAGCAACACTAATCAATAACAAGAAAATGCAATAATATGAGAAGGAACGACAGCATAAGCTCCCCATACTTTGGCAGTGTTAAAAACCGCATTTCTGCAATCAGGGAGGATGCTGATTGACCAAGGAGGTAAGTTATAATGCATGTTATTGAACATCACTCTTGCAGCGGATTTGGGGTCATAGTTTGCTAGAAAAGCTGCACAGTCCCCTGTTTCTGAGGAGAATACATGAGCCTGGAAAAGTGCAGAGCATTCAATTAAAGCTTCCTAGGATAAACTCTTCCTTATGAAACGACTCTAAGAGCAAGTAGCACTGATGATCACCTGTTGAAGGCTACCTAGAGAGGTGACAGTAGGATCAGCTGAAACTAAAGCTCGTTCAGATAGCTTAATGGCCCTATGAAGCTCCTTCAAATGACCATATTTTGGCTGCCTGATCAATCCTGTGAAGAAGAAACACCACAGCTGTCAATCACACTTTTCATTTTCAATTTTGAGCTACATATTTTTCAAGTGAAATTAAAGCCATTTCAGCTGTAAAATCAGTTACGTTGTCCTAATTAAATCCTATGTTCATTTCACATAAATTACCATTTCCATCTCAGAACACAGCGTTAGCCATCTGTGACCCATGAATATTCTATAAAACAATATGGTCCTTCAAAACTTAAGCAAATGAAATGCCTGTCTAGCATAGAACAACGAAGCATGATGATAGTGAAACTATTCAGTGAAGAAGACCATATAGGCACAATCACAGTCAGAATAAATGGCAACAGGTGGTGAAGGGACCGGCAATGTTTTAAACTCTCACCATATTCATCAAGTGGAGCATCATAATCATAGCTAGTTGTCAGGAATGGACCACCAGCAGACCGCCCGAAGTTGGTACCTCCATGATACTGTTACACATATCCAGAAAGGAAATCAGTTTCTAAGTAAAGAGATCTCTCATTTTGCATTATGAAACACAAGTTTATTGTAGCCTGAAGAAAGTGATGAAACCAACCATGTAATAATTGAAGTATGATCCACCCTTTTGTATGAACCGAGCGACAGCAAATGCCAAATCCTGAACTGGCCTCTGGTATATTGGTCCGCCAAACTCCGTAAACCTTTTCGTTGGTCCACAAGAGGAGTCAGAAAGTGCATAGTTTAATTTCACATAAGCAGCGGAAGGAAGTATTTACTTACCACCCACTCCAAGCCTCAGTCCAAAGAGTTGGTTTGTATGGTCTGTTAGGAGTGAATGCATCACAGTAGAATCCATTGCATGAGTTGATCTGTCAGGGTAGCCGGAAAACCATCAAAAATTGGTCAGGCTGAAGAAAATAAAAAAAGAAGGCACATTCTGCATTAAGTTATAACCAAAGATCTTCTAGATTCAAGTCCTATTCCAATCCACTTATTTGACTTGCACAGCAATTAGCATGTAACTTCTACCATACAACCAGTCTTTTTCTCAACAGAAGTGCTACTACAACAACTTTTGATTTCACTGTGATGCATTGACTAAGATCAGAATTCAGAACCACCTACCACAGGATCTGGAGCATCTTCTTCTTTGCACATAACCCAAGGCACCCCTGTATCCGTTTCCACAGCCATGTTTGCAGCCCAAGTCATGTATTTATATGCAGGAGCACCGAGTTCCTTAACTTGGGGTCCATACTCATTTTCAATCTGCAAACACAAGCAGCTCAAGGTTACGCTCCTTGGATATATGCTATTGCTCAAAAACACGGATTAAATCTTGAAAGACATATATTTGGCTCTAAATTAAGAACAATTAAAATAAAAAACAAAACAAAAAAATTGGTACCTGAGAGAGTATGATAGGCCCACCCTGGTTCTCAAAGAGATTTTCACTCTTCATCAGATTAACAATTTTCTTCGTGAACCGCTCCATATGCATCTGCAATTCAATGTACTTAACTAAGTTTACAGAATATATGCAACCACCAGCATTTCTCTCAATTCTTTGTATTTGTGGGAAACATCAGAGGAATAAGTCGGTTGCTTCATCAATTTAGGTGGTAAAATTACATAGGATTGTCATAATTGAAGCACAATCAAGGAATAAACAGATTGTCTTTGACATCTACCTTGAAAGGCTCATTATCTGTTCTGAAGCTAATGCCCGGGACATATTTCAACCAAACTGGAAATCCTCTGTAGATGCAACACACGAAGAACGTAACACAAGGCAAAAAAGCTCATATGAAGCAGAAAAACTTCCAGCTGACATTGTACTACAGATCTAAACAGAACATCAAGAGAAAAAATAAGTACCCGAAGTTCCATTCAGCACAAACATAAGGACCAATGCGGAGATTGGCATACAACCCAGCTTTCTGTATGGTCTTCATGAACCTCACTAAATCATATCTTCCTTCAAAATTATACTGCAAACCAAGAATTACATGAGTACAAATAGAAATAGTTTCTCTTTTGGCCAATGTACATATTATTCAGAAAAGAGCTAGCTAATCGGAAAAAAGACATCCTACATTGCCCTCAGTAGGCTCATGAACATTCCAGAAGACATAGGTTTCAATTACATCCAAGCCTCCATCTTTAGCTTTGCTAATTAGATCCTCCCACATCTGCAAACATTAGAACCCGCAACATCAGCAGCATTTCCTCAAAGAAAATTCAATAAACCACCAGAAAAAAAAAAACACTAGAAAAGTTAATTACATCTGGGGTGCTTCGGGGATAATGTATGGACCCAGAAATGAGAATTCTTCTCTGCCCATTAATCACAATGGCTTTCTTATCATAAGTCACGCCGCACTGGATAAACCCGGAACACAAAAACCCGACCATGCAAAACACCAAAACCCACTTGGGAACTCTGCAAGTATTCTCCATTACTGCCTGAGGGCCTTCTCCAAAATCCAACTTCTCCTTTCCCTACTTGGGGTTCTTCACCTGAATGGAGGGAAATTTGAAATTGGACTAAGAACTTGAGAACTCCCAAGCCAAGAAAGGGTGATGGGAGAGTGCAAATGGGTGTCAGTGTGTGACTGTGTGCGGCCAAGTGGTCTTCTAGTGGGAATGTGTGCGTGAAGAAAACGTGTCCATCTTTCTAGTTTGGCCAACACAACTCAGAGGGCCTTTCTCAGGCAACCAAAAAAAAAAAAAATCAGAAATTTACAAGAAGGAAAGTGAGATGGGAGTCTAATGTGGGGATATATAGATGATTTGGCTAATACAGTTGTGAAAAAATTACAGCTTTGAATCAATGGTGGTGGGGAAGGGAAAACTGGAGAGAGAGAGAGAGAGTATAAAGTAGTATAAAACAGAGTCAGCAGTACGTGACTATGAGCTCAAAACTCAAAAAAGAGTCAAGAAAATGAAGGAAGTGACAAACAGGAAAACAAGAAGGGTGTTGTAAAATATTGGCTATGGCGAATTTCAATGCAAAAAGACTAAAAGAGAGAGAGAGATTAATAAATAAATTTATAGGGTTAATGTAGGAAATGTTTGTAGTAATTTGTAGGGGGGAATTAATCAGCAGCAAATCCGGTAATGTTCCTTCTGTTTTTTCTGATTTTATGTTGTTAAGTATCTGAGGCTAAATTTATTTATTTATTATTCCCTGTCCTTATTGGTGGGGATCTTGAGGTTGTTACATTTTGACTGTTTTGGTCATCATGAATCAAAATCAAATGTTTTCCAATTTGCAGTAACAAATTGAGCAATAGTTGTAGTAATTCTTCCTGAGCTGTGTTGGTCAACGCGACGCACGTGATTGACAATCATTGAGCCATTTTTCTCTTTTTCTATTTTTCTTCTTTACCATTTAACATCACAGTACGAGGCAATAAAAAGCTTAAGCGGATTAAAGTTTTTACTTTTTACCGCCAAAATGCAATATAGAAATTCTTTATTAGAATACGGATCGTGATTTTATTAAAAAAAAAAAAAATCATATGAAGCACCTAATTAAATATTTTCTTCTGGTTCTATGATAGTCGGTAGAATACAATTTTGAACTTCAATTTGATTTTAGAAGGAACTGCGTGAGTGAAGAGTGATTACTAATCTATGAAAAAATCTTGGCTTTTGATCACTACATTAATGAATAGTGGATAGATCATTCAGTTAACTCTTTTGCTAGATTCAAAAATTTTATTAAAGCTAAAGATATTATAATTTCTAAAATTCTATGAAAGTGATCATTAATGTTGATTTAAGTTGTGCATCATAAAATAGCACGGGGACTTGTCAAATGTTACTATGGTTATTGGTTAAGTATATTAGTTGGGCTAATAAAACCTAAAAACAAATTATTAAAAAAAAAATACAAATCCTGGTCAAGACTTAATAGACTTTGTACGAGGAAAGGAGGAAAAGCAATAGCACTTGCGGGGAGGGGACATTTATATGTGTTTTCATACAGTATAACCATCCAAATGGCATCAGAATAGAGTGTTGTACCTAAAATCCCCCAAAGTGAAGAAATAAATAAAGCAGTTGGCCAACTTAATACTTGCTTTAGCACTATGATGCACAGAGTAGAATTGAACTTGGAACCCCACCGACACAAAGCGAAATACTAGCTACTCTGCATGATCAAGTTAATATTTTCGTTTTTGCCACACACACACACCATCCAGAAGAATAAATCAATCAGCCTCAAGGAAAAAGAAATGGAAGGAAAACGGGGAATGCAAGAGCCACGTATCACGTCTGCGTGATTGGCGTTGTTGTCTGGAAGGAAAAAATAAAAAGCCACTGAAATGATGGATTTAATGGAAGTGCTTTTTAGCCCAAAATAAAGGAAATTTGTGGGGCTTTTTTCTCCATTTCCATGTGAATTTTGCCTTTGCAGTTTGCATCTCCCATCATCTACGAGTGCCTAATATTTACCACATTCATCCCGTTTCATGCTTTGATTTTACACTTCACATTCTATTTGGTAAGTCACAATTTTAAAACTTAGTTCAAACAGATGTCCCTTAAATAACATCGGAGATACTTTTGTTTTTTTGGGTGTAGAAATTATTCCCTCTGTTCTAAAATTATTATCCAGTATCTGATTTCGCTTTTAGTATAATTTGAACTAATAATGAAAATCTAAACTGAACAATAATTATGGGACGGAGAGATTATTAGATAGTGTCTTAGACTAATACGGAATTACTTTTAGAATAATTTAGTGCTGTACGGTATATAATTTAAAAGAAGAAAAAGGAGGAGAAAGGAAATTCGCTGTGTATGCATGCGTCTTTTTTCTCAGTGGATACTGCTACCAAACACCAACCATCCTTCTCAACCATATATTTACTACCACTACCAGCTCTGCTATCTAACAAAATTTGTGTTAAAAAAATAAAAAAATAAAAAATTGGATATTTGCTAGCAAAAGAGGGTTAGAGGTGCGGAGAGGCAATATTTTGGGGTATAGTGATCAGATTCAGATATGCATTGCTTGGGGATCATGTGTGTCAGAAATAAACTCGTCATGTTCTTGTTTCGTTAATTTTTTGCTTGTTTGCTAGTTGTGACCGATATATTTTTAGTTGTTATATTTATATTTACTGATCACGGGGAGAGACAAGGCCTTATGCCACTCCATTACTCACCATCCCTCTTTGTTTCTCACTGCAAAACTTGTAGTATTAATGCACCTCCTTGAGTTGAGTTCTGTGGTCTACAACTACGACCTAAATTATCGACAAACAATTTATGAATATACAGAGAAGATATAATTGGAAAGGGAAAAGGGCAAAAAAAAAAGGAAAAAAAAAACAGTTTTTTTAGTAGACTTTGTAATAAAGGCATAGAAGAAAACAAATTAAAGAGAACTTTGATCATCAAGTTCCCTGATCTAATGCATCAAAACCGCAAGTCCCAATTTAGGTTACGAGTACATACAAAATATAGAAACGAAAAAAAAAAAAAAAAGGTACTCTATATGATGGCATTCTTAATATTGTCACATTGATTCATTCACTCAATAACCTCCACCTAAAATGGTGGCACTGCACATCAAAACCCCTAAAAGCGAGAAGGAATGATTGTGTTTTACAGTTGATGTTGGGTAACAGTTATCAACCATTCTTGATTATTGCCGCGGAATGTGACAGTCGGGTTGATCATCAGTAAGTCCATTTTAGAATGTGAAACGACAACATCAATCTCTCTAATATACTGAAAATAAATACCCACAATCATTTTTAAATTAGATGGAGTATTTATTTTATTTTTTTAGTGAAGGCATGGGATGCCGATAGTCCCCGCAGTTTTTTGTTTCCGATGTTCTTTAATGAGGGATTAGTTTCTTCTCAATCTGCTTTTTCAGTCCTTTTGTTAATTGGCTTGCTGCTCATTTGCATTCGGTGAGGTTCCTCTTTTTTTAAATAATCTTCCCCACTGCGTGAAGGACGGAAGTTTGGTGATCCGTGAATTTTAACCCCAAATTTATTGCGAAATGGAGAACCTCAATAACGAACGTGGGTCCTTTTTGTTTTATTTTTTTAATCTCTCCATTTTTTTTTAATTATTATTATAGCATTAAGTTATGTCCATTTTTGTTTGACAAACTCCGTGACATACTCGCCTCAGACAGCAGCAGCAGCATTCGGTTCTGCTTCTTGAGTCTTGACCAGTCCACTCGGTGAAGAGACTACGGAGCTTATAAACTTTTAATAATTAAATAGTTGTATTTGTGTCAATTTGTGAACCGAACTGCTTGTCGCTGACTCCCCTGCTACTTTTGTTTAGCTTAGCCTACCTTAGTCACCACCTACGATAGCCACGAATTTCGGTCCGGCATAAATACATGCACTTCCGACCATGTCTGATTCCGGTGTGGTTGTCTGTACAGTTTTCCCCGTGTTTTAATTAACTAGCATTTTAATTTGCCTTTTTAATATCGTTTAATCTAGTACTTTTTTTTAATGAATGGTAAAACTTGAGTGTACTCTCTCGGAAAAATAATACACCATACAGTTATCAATAGTATTGGTTTTAACATAATTTGTAAAATTCCATTTCTTGTGACCCAAAAAACTGAAAAAAAAAAAGAGAAAGTAGTTTATAGTTCATGTAATGGACACAATTATTTTATGAGTTGGATCTTTGTTAAGCAGTTCAATATTGGGCATGATGAAAATCCAGACCAAATAAAAGAGAAATCCCACAGTATGTAGTTATTTAGGAGGTCCCGTTTTCTTTGTACACAAAAAGAACAGGACTACAAACACCGACACCCCATGCAACGTTACAATCAACTGTCATAATCATAATGTCTTTCAACTGAAATCGAACCCAAATAACTAAACTTACTCCCCCCATCATTTCCCCCCAAGAAGAAAAGGAACTTACTCCACACATCCTATTTCTAGATTGCTACTTTTTGGATAAAGTTTTTGGCTGTTAAATTTACATCATGGGATGGATGTTTTGCTGCCAACTTTCACTAATTGCTATTAGACCCTACCATTATTACTTACAAAAGTTCCATTTACTGTTACAATGTATCATCAAAATCTCATAAACTACAAATGTATTAACCATAACAAATTTTCTTGTACCGAAGTAAAACAGTATAACTAATCAGCGTGAATCGTTATTTTTTTTTTCCGTATCTAGTAAAAAATTACATTGTCAAAAATGTTAGATCACACTAATAATGTTAGCAATAATTAAGATAAGGTTTGTGTCCTTTCTAATAATGTTATGGTGACGTATTAGAAGAATATGAGGAAGATGATGGGGTGGCAATAGAAGAGAGGAAATGGAGGTCTTGTCGTGGGGACTACGTTGTTAGTACTATACTTAGGATTAGGAAAGCGCGGGGAAGGAGGGTCGTTCATGTGTCCGATAATGAATTTGCCGCCACAGAATTTAACAGCGTTTTATGTTTTATGTGAACGTTGTTATTAATGAGTGTTGCCGATTCTCACCGTCGTCGTCATCATTGCCCCTTTCCCGGTCTCCCCCCTCCCTTTTTCCTTCTCGAGATACCGATTCCGTTTTGCGTCGGTGGTGGTGAAAAAGTGTTAAAAGAAGAAAAGCAAAAGATCCTGTTATTCTTACTGCTGGGATTTCCTCCCCCCACTTTTTTTACTGGTAATATTCCCCTTCCTAGGTATATTTTTGTTCCCACGCCCTCTCTCTGCGTGACTTTTACTTGCTAGTTTATTATTTTCTCAACTTCCCACATAAATGAGTATGGGTTGAACTTGAACCCTAACAGTGGACTCGAATTTGATTTATTTATGATTTCTAATAATGTGAAAAAATGAGTACAATATTTATATAAACTCCGCAACATGAATTATTTATGAATATATATTTTTTATAATAAAAAAGACAATTGCCTAGATAACTAAATTATTACAGCCCAAGACACCAACCATATATTATGTTCCAACCATAGTTTTAACACCAATGGTGAACAATCTAAGCACAGATTGAATCAACTAACTCAAACTTTCTTTCTACCAAAAAAAAAAAAAAAAATCTAAAAACCTTCGGATCAGCAAGCATAATAGTAAAATGTTTATAAATAAGTAGGGACATCAAACCTGAAAGTTTTTTTTTTTTAAAAAAAAAAAGAAGTAGGCATGAGATTATAAGGATTTTTTTTCCCCTCAAAAACAAAGAAGAAATGGCTAAATGATATAATGAAAGGGAATTGAATGCAAGGACCAAAAAATGCACGCCTCCAAAATTCATGGATTGAGGTGCCTTCAGTCACAAGGCTAATCCATAACCCAAAATTTCAGGTGCATTTAATTGAGATGGGGTGATTGATTACCTGGACTTCATGACATTCTCCCCCTTCAATTTTGGGGAGCATGTGTTAAGAAACCTTTTTTTTTTACTTTAATTATGTTTTTGCAAGACCAAGACATGAGTGAACGCGTCACTCTGACCTCTGTCCCTAGCTATTAATTTGTTAATTATAACTTATCTGTAGTGTTGTATCCTCCAGATTTGGTTTGGATTAAACTAATGTACTCCGTAAGTAATAATCTATCACCCTATTTACCCATGGCCAACAACAGTACTCAGAATGTTTGTCGCTTAACGGGATCATCATGTTACTAGTATTATACTAGGAATGGGGGAAACAAGCAGTTCAAGAGCTCCAAAACTTACAACAATAACACAAATATTTCTCCCCACTATGCCGCCTCAAAATATCAAAGGACAAATTGAACTAAGTACAGTTGTGCCAATTTAAATATAATTAGTTTGATGGGAATATGTCCAAACCTTCTTAATAGAAAGAAAAAAGTATAAACGGAAATATAAACTCATTGCAAATAAAAATATGAACTCGAACTAACTCTGCTTTTAGAAACGTATTTTTTAAAAAAAGAAAAAAAAGTAAAAAAGATTTCAAACTTACTCAACACATTTACACCTTATGGATATCACTTTTAGATTATTTATATATTATCGTCGACTGAATGGTTTAGTTATTCGAGATTTGGATGACTTCATCGATTAAAAATTATGATCAGATGACTTGATTTTTGAATTGAAATATGAACAATTCAGTCCCCACACTAAAAAAATTCACTCAATACGTCAGCTAATGAAAAAAGAGCATACATTTTAACGTGGCCATGGTCTATATTTACTTTTCCTAGAGGTTTTTTTTTTTAAAAAAAAACTTTTCCTAGAGAGTTAGCCTTGAAAACAAATTAGTACCAGCATCGCTTGGGCGAGGGAGGAGCAAAATAAATGACTTAAAGACCGATAAGGCCCATTTAAAACTTTAAACCCAAAGGATCTTTGCTAAACGTAATAATATTTGCATCCGGCCCATTAGCCCCATTCTACATTCTGCAAATTAAGCCGGGAAAACTCAACAGAAGTGCAAAATTCAATCATCTCAACGTTTTTTGAGATATCTGGAAAACCTGCTTAATAATCGAGGGAAGAATGATTCGTTGCTGCCGCAGATCTTTTACGAGTAAATTTCATTCCATCATCTCCCAGCATTTATATCCAGTTCAACTTCAACCGATTCGCACCAACTCAACCCGCGGTTTCAACCTTAGAGATTCTGACAGAGAAGATGACGAGGATGACGAAAACGGATGCAGTTCTTCTGGGACGGAGGTTAAAATCGCAAAGGATAAAATACAGTTATTCAAAAGCCGAGGTCAACACCTCCTCACTAACCCGCGAGTTCTTGATACAATCGTTCGAAGGTCAGAGATCAATCAAACTGATACCGTTTTAGAAATCGGACCCGGCACCGGAAATTTGACTATGAAGCTCCTTGAAGCTGCTAAGAATGTTGTAGCGATCGAAATAGATAAGCGAATGGTGGAAATTCTTCACAGACGGGTTTCTGAGCGAGGTTGTGGAAGTCGGCTAACTGTAAGACTCTTTAAGGACTATCAAGTGTTTGATATTAATTCTAAGTGAAAATTTGATCAGTCTTATTATAGCGAATTTTGAGATGAACAGTTTCGGGAATTTCTTTGTCAGGTGATCAATAATGATGCATTGAAGGCTGAGTTTCCGCCATTTGATCTTGTTGTAGCCAATATTCCGTTTGGAATTTCCTCACCTTTGGTGGCCAAGTTTTTGTTCGGAGGAAGTAAGTTCAGAAATGCAACACTTCTGATTCAGAAGGAGTTTGCAAGGAGGCTGTTGGCAGATCCTGGAGAGTCTGAATACAACAGATTAGCTGCAAATGTGAAGCTGGTGGCCGATGTCGAATTTGTTATGGATGTAAGCAAGAGGGATTTTTTGCCTGTTCCTAAAGTCGATTGTTCCGTGGTTAAAATCCATCCTAAAGATTATATTCCAACGGTTCATGAGGGTTTCAATTTGAATGAATGGTGGGCATTTACGAGGGTTTGCTTTAGCAAGAAGAATAAGACCTTGGGTGCAACGTTTAAGAAGAAGAGGAAGTTGATGGAATTGATGAAATTATCCAAAAGTGATGTAAAACCCGAAAATTTTGAGCTATGTGATGATGGATCAGACTCGGAGCTTGATGATAACGGACATGACAGCAAAACGAAAAATGATTCACCATCGAACTCAAAAGATGGAATGAGCCTTTTTAAGGATAAAGTTATGGACATTTTAAGATCAGCAGGGTGCGAGAGTAAGAGACCTTCAAAGCTGTCGAATGAGGAACTGCTGCATTTGTTGTATTTGTTTAACCAAGCAGGGATATACTTTTATGACCAATCACAGCTCAAGGATGCAACAGAAGATGCGTTTGAGGCATCTTATGATCCAATGTAGCTGGCTTTGACTAGTTTGTCAAGTACTCCCTCCGTCCCAAAATTATTGTCCAGTTTGAGATTTCACTTTTAGTACAATTTGAACTAAAAATGAAAACTCAAACTGAACAATAATTATGGGACGGAGGGAGTAGTATTTTAAATGGTGTTGTCGCCGCAACCAGTTGCATACTACTTTCTGGCTATGTTGAAAGTAGAAAAGCTGGCTGGGATGATCCCAGAGGGCCAAGACAGATGTACTACCGCGCTTTTCGCTGAGTTTTGGATGATTATGTCTGTGAGTTTTGTATCTCTGATGTTCATTGATTGGTTGGATTGAAGCTTAAGGTGCTGCACATTAGCTAGCCTTTCAATCCATACTTACACATATTTCAGGGATCCTTTTCATGAAACAAAGTTCATGAAGATGTTTCAAAAAAAAAAAAAAAGGTTCATAAAGAATATCGAGGATGAATCTTTCAATTTAGTGACTTGTCCTTTTACATTTCACATCGCCATTCGCTAATACTACCATTTTGAGTTATGTTTTTCTACCAAAAACGAAAATACTGTTTCATTCGTTCTTTTATTTTTCACCTTGCAAAAAAAGGAAATAAATGAATAAGAACAACTTCTGGGCGCTGAACGACGCCGTTTGACTCCATACCGATAAACAAAATCCCCCTTTCGTCACCAGTTGAACATTTCAGTTCAGCAACTCAGTTAAACGCCATGGCTTTCGGAGCCTTACGATCCTTAATCCGGCCCATCTCTCGAACTCTTCTTTCTACGCGGTCGCCCTCCACGGTTTCTACCCTGAGGCTTCAACCTCTCAGCGGGGTGTCTCCGGCGTCTAATCTTCATCTTTGCCGCCAGTTTGGAGCCTCTCGCGGGTTAGGTTCGTTCTTCCAGCCGTCCGGCGGTTTTGACCGATTGACTGACACCCGGTTGCCCAAAAGACGGCCGAGTCTCAACTCTCGCCGGAAAAGGCTCAGTCCGGATCCCCGAGGTCTCACTTCCACCCTGTTCCATTCTCATAAATTAGGGTTTTGGGTTTAAGAAATGTATTGTCGTGCTATTCTTTTCATCTTCTTGATTTTAGTATCGCCTATGACTGTTCCTCTTTTTATTTATGAATGATAAGTGCATACCAACTACACGCTCAAAGCTGATACTGTTTCTTAATTTATTTCTTTAATGTTTTTTTTTCCCTTTTGGGAATTAGGTCCGGCTGCTTGGGTGAAATATTTACATCCGGATCAGGAAGTTGTTAAGAAACCTAATGAAGGAAGCGTGAAACGAAGGAACGAAAAGAAGCGGATCAAATTGCACCGAGCATTTATATTGGTAATTTCTATTAGCCGAGAAAATTCAGTGGAAACGTTGGTTCTGTTCATTTAAAGTTCATCTTGAATTAGCTATTGATCCTTTCGGATTTGAAACTGGTTTTCAATCTACTACGAGTTACTTCTTTTGTCATTTTGGGTGTGCTTCTGTGATGCGTCCTGAATGAGGAAGTCTAGATCTTGTTACGGGTTTGAAATGAGAGTGGGACTGATGATCCGAAGTATTTAAGATAGTTCTGCACTTGATAAATAATTTTGTAACTTTTTTTGTTTGAAGCGAGTAATGCATTGGACATTCAACACATGAATGGTTTCGCCTGAAATGTGAATTACTTTTGCCTTGAACGGCTTAAACAGAATTGGAATGATGCAAGATGAATGATTTTCTGTTATGAACCTATTATCCGTCTCTCATTGATTAAGTCTGTTAGTATGACTCATTAAATCTATTGATTAAGTCTGTTACTGTGACTCATTAAGTCTATTATCCGTGTTTCAGTAGTGAGCCTTTCTTCTTCGTACTGTATTTATATTTATGAGATTGAAGTACATTGGAAGAACATGTCTCATGAATTGAGAAATTTGTATTGTGAGTAGGACGTGCTATACTAAATAGCTTTGATTGAGGTCTCGTTGTTTGATGACTCCCAAGAATTCCCACATGACTAAGTTTATTGATACAGTTCTAGTTTAGTTTTATGGGCAGACCACTTTTTAATGTTTAACCTGTTTGAACTAATTATCCATATAGTTGGCGTATGTGTTTTGAATGATGTAGGCTAGTTCACTGTACGTTTCATTGTATTTGTATGTACCGTTCACATAGTAGTGATCTTCATGGGGTTATGTCTACTTTGGCTTTGAGCATTTGAAAGTTTTTTAAATTTGTCTAGCTATTTTTGGTTCTGCTAACATTTCTTTGTTCCTTGGCAATGCCTGCAATATGTGCTTGATTACAGATAGCTTAATAGGCTTACTGAGACATATTAGTATTTTTCATTTAAAACTCTTGTGAAATGTACCATGACAGGATGAAAAAAAGAAACGGACAGCTTTGATACAAGCTGCCAAGAAAAGGAAGGAGATAGAAAGGGTAGAGCGAAAGATGGCAGCTGTTGCAAGGGAAAGAGCATGGGCAGAAAGGTTGGTAGAGCTGAAGCAGATGGAGGAGGAGAAGAAGAAGAAGGCAGCAATGGCTTGAAAGCTTCTCTCTGAACTCAACAGAATAGGTGTTTTGTTTCGGAAGCTGGTGGAAAGTTGTTTCTGTAGTTGAATGGCACTGCCGGTTCTTTTTTGTTTCCGCATTTTTTAAAATCAGTGCTTGAGCTGCATGACTTTGTAGTTCAAATTTTAAGTGGTGCAGGAAATATCCATTTGGGAAATTCTGTTTTTATCAAAGTTGCAACTACAGGCGGTTGGTTCTATACGCCCGAAAAATACATTGTTTTTCCATGTATTTTTCTTAATCACTAACTGGGTGGTAACTCTTAGTTACACTCGATAATATTTACATATTTGTATCTCAACCCAAGAATTGCGAAATCTACTAAATGTTGCTGCTCTTAGCTGCCCAACAAATGAAGTTTGGGAGATTGAAACGCCAAGCTAAAGATTCTTTTAATTTGTTTCCCCCCGAATTTAAAACGAAGAAACCATGCACTGTCCTCTTTATCAAAATGTTGTCAAAATGCAGGTAGAGCACATGGAAGAAACGTTGTCAAATGTACAAAGCAGAGCACATGTTGGCCATGGTAGAGGACCACAATGCAGCTCCATCTATTCTTATCAAAGAGAATAGGGAAATTATATGCTAACATACGGATTATCAATGAGAAGGCCGGAAACAATAACCCCACTCCTTTCGATCCTATTCAAGTTAATTATCATCTGGGACCAGAAAGAGAAAAACCTCCTTCAATCAAAATGACAATGACCCCAGAACCAATTCAATGACAATGCACCGAAAATGCCGATTCATCTCAGTACTTAACTCTGTAATTACCTAGTTAACAGACTTGTGCGTTGGATAGTGAATTTCCTTTTTTTTTTTTTTACCAGGTTTAGTCCTAGAATAAGCTTTCGTTGGGCAATGGATGATTTTTGAGTCTTGAGGTTTCTAGTAGTTTTCATATAGCACCAACAAGAGGTGTGATGGTGATCGGGAGCTTCCGTCTCAATCTGACAAATGGAAAATATGTGATGTCATCATCTTCAGCCACCCAGCTGCGAATCAGAAAGAGAAAGATCATATTAGCTATGGTTACTGTCATTAGGCCACTAGTCATCATCATAATTAATTATGGCATTCTAACTAATCTTATATATTGCCACTGTTTTTTGTTTAGCTGAATCTCCATGTGAATTCATCTGCACCATAATTATGAATTGAAATCACCGTTTCAACATTTAATCTCAAGTTATTTACCTGTATGTCGTAACAAGATGATGAAGGGATATTGCGATTTCCAGTCTGGAAAGTTCCAATCCTGGACAGAGTCTCTGGCCACCGCCAAATGGGGTAAACTTGTTGCTGTTAACATTTGCTCCAGATTTCTACCCGCACAAAACAAAAGTGAAATTAGTATGTAGATCAAATCACGAAAGAGTAATTCTAATGGAGCCATATGGACCATTTTATAAATTGTAGTACTTCCCATAGGAAAATTATAGTTGGAAAAGACATACCTCCCATCGGTGGGGATTGAATTCATAGGGGTTTTCATAATTTGCTTCATCCATGTGAATAGAACTAAAAGATGCCAAGACACACCATCCTTTTGGTATAAAATGACCTGTAAAAATCAATCATCAACTCCATTTTCTCTGAGGTAAAAATAAATATGGCCTAAACCATGTTTTGTAATGTAATCTCTACAATAGGAATTTAGGAACACTTACCTTTAATTGTCACATCTTTTACAGCTTCCCTCCACACTGCATTCACAATGTTGCCCATCCTTAGAGTTTCACTGATCACCTAGGAAACCCAAAAAAAAAAAAAAACAAAAAATGGAAATAAGACTAACAATTTTTTCTGACAAGCAAAAATTTGATTTTTTTTCCCCTTTTTTGGTCGAAGCCGAAACCCCACCAAAGATGATGGTGAAACCTACATTTTGAGTAAATGGTAGCGAAACGTAATCTGTCCAATCATATTCATCACCAGATTGTTCCTTCCGCTTCTTCAACTCCATATTCTCCTCCTGCCACCAAAGTTTAGATTATTATCATAAGCTAGTGAAGTTTTTCTCCTCTTCTTTTTTCCCCTAATTTATTTACATATATTTTAATCCGAGGCTATTGTTACATTTTTTATTTTTTTCTTTGAGGCGATAGTGTTACATTGAATGTGGACAAATCCAACTAATCTACAACTTGAGCTGAAAAATTAAACGCAAAAAAAAAAAAAAACAAAGCTTGTTCTTTTCCAAGGAAAACAGTAGAAAATATAAGTTCAACCGAGCTGACTGATTTTTGCAGTGGAGCACCGCAGGGGAATTAATTACTAGTATTAAATGGGAGATGGACCAGATGGTCCAATTTTCTGACAGCCGTTCAATCCAAATCTACGGCCAGAAATATCAACGACCCAAAAAGGACGGATGGGCCCATTGGGCCAATGGCTCAATCGCCCCCACGTGTGGACGATCCAGTGTCGGATTGAAAATGACTTTGAAAAGTCAATCAGTACTGCACAGAACCGTAAAGTGAGATTGGAAGAACCTCACTTAGGTCCCACTATAAGCAACCACGTGGCTGTAATCAATCCCATCCGTTAGATCAAACCCAATCATTAATCCTATCCGTCGATTATCACAACCCAAAATTGCAAAATCATAGTACTACATAATGCATATACTTACCAGCAGGCGGGCTAGAATGAGAGGACTGTCACTCAAGAATTTGACGGCCAGTGTCAGAGACGTCGGAACAGTTTCTTCTCCGGGGATCATCATCTCTATGATGTTCTCGCTGATGGAATCCAACGGCAGCCGCGGCTGCGTCTCGTCGGCTGATGATTCTAGAGTATCTCTTAATAATACATCTATTATGTCTTTGGGTATTGATGTGGAGCCCTCCTCTGATGATGATGATCTTTTGTTATTTTCCTTCTCGATTGAAATTTTCCTTTGCTCTATAATGCTTCTAATCACCTTAATCATTCTCCCTTTGGCCTGCATTGCATGGACCCTTTCCCACGTTACCAAAATCAATAATTTGGTACGTACATTATGATGCAAAGAAAATTATGCATCTACCTTTTATTATATACCCTACCAAAATGATTCGCTAGCTAGGGACGAAAACAATAATAATACACCTGAATATCATATTTTTTAAGAAAATATCACACGTCTATAAAGTTGTGATCTCATGCATGCATGTATGAAAGTTACAACTGTTACATATGCCAACTTATATTAGTGCCCACTGCCCATGCTGTGTACATATTCAATGAAAATAATAATCTCGTTTGTTGATTATCTCACAGTAGTATAGCATAAGCCATTAACGAATGTTAGGATTTTGTAGCCATATGTACGGGTATTAATTTTTTAAATGATGAAGTTTGATGGGGTACCTTCAAAGATTTGTACAGCCTGGTTCCAGGAAGTTTGATGGGCAGAGAGATGAAGCCTTTGATATATTCTTCAAATTCTCTTCTCAAGAAGTTCAAATCTTCACCAGGGCCAATGCTCATCAGGGTTCTGACTATAACTTCAAACGCAATCTGAAAGGAAGTAATCAAACATCAGAATCACCATAAACTAGACCTAGACCAATAATTTTGGGACTGATGGAGAGTATGAAATAAAGGACCTTCTTGCTTTCGTCTTGAACATAAACTGGTTGAGGCTGTTGTTGATCAAGATCAGTAATCCTCCAGGAAGCCAAAGCACGTTGGACTGCACTTCGAGTTTCCCGAGTAATTTGAGCTTTGAACTGAGGGGATCTGAGGAAACCGCCGAGGAGAGCGTGCATTCTCTTCTGGAGTGGTCCATTAATGTGAAGTATGGAATACTTGCCCAGCAACTCAGATATGGATTTAGGATAATGGGGAATGAAAGCATTCCCTTGATTCTGAAGTACAACCTTGTTCACGTCCGGGTCAGTTGATACTATTATGGCTTTGCCTAGGATATGGGTTCTGAACACCTTCCCGTACCTGATCAGACACCCACAAAATTAAATGCATCATCATCTTAATCATACTAATCTTTTTTCTTTTTGGTTAACATTAATATTTTATACATCTTCTAAAATACTCCTCCATTTTACTGATCACTTTTGAATTAAATAGTGAATACTACGAAGAAGCTAGGATCCGAGAGAGCATAGGCTGTGCGTGGGTTTTATTTACTACACACTGCCTCTTTGCAGCTTTTATTGATGGTGAAATTAACTTTACTGTGAAAAAAGTCGATGTTCTCTAACCAAATTTCTTTACCTCTCAGGCTACTTTTATTTAGTATTCCAAATTTCCAATAAAATTAACCATTCAATGCTTATTATTTTTTTATTTGGATGTCCGACATACGAAGTATGAAGAAGTGGTATATGTGCAGTACTAACAAATGTAATAATTTCGAAATGAATGGTTATGGGACACAGATAAAGGCAATTGGTGACGGTACGAGCTTTAATCCATCAATCAACACATACAAAAGACAAGATATGCAGAAGAAATAAGAGGAGAATACCCCCCAAAAAAAAAAAAAAAAGAAAAAGGAAAAAACATAAAGTGAATTTTTACGTAAATTTGGAAAGACCAAATTGATTGGATATAACAACGTAACAACATGTAGTATATGACATTGGACACTAGACACACGTGAACATATATGGGTTGTGGTGGATGGAACCTTTGATGCCCAAAATGTGAAGATTAACATCAATCATTCATCAATGGCAAAATATGGCATCAACCCAGAACCGTGCCGTCTTTCTCCTCTAATATGTGACTATGTGTGATGAATGATGGTACGTTTATTTAAATTTATAGTACTACATGTTCTTATTATCTGAATTTATTTTTATCTTTTTTGGGTCTCAGCAGGTTACCATTTTTCTTCAACTCATCTCCGTAAAAGTAAATACAATATCATTACAACAATGGAATCTTCTTCTTCTTTTTTTTTTTGTCCTCAAAAGAAAACATAAGATGTACAGTAAGTAGTAAACGCGCGCGTTGATCGATTCAGGAGACAACAACCTTACAAAAAGATGTGGTACATCCAATCTGATTTGGTTCTTAATTTAATATAACTATCATTGATCAACAAAGTAAGTATGTGCACTAAAAGCAATGATTAAGCCTCATTTGTGAAAACAGGAAAAGTAGTAACCCAAAGAAAAAAAGAAAGCTAACAAAAAGCAGGCTGGTAACATTAAAAATACGACGGAAATCCGACGATGGACCGACTATATTCACTGACCGGTAATTATATCAATTTTCAATAATACTCCCACGCCATATACCCTTGCGGCCAAAAGAAATTCAGAAAAGTTGTTCTAAATATGTGGGCTGATGATGCCCTTTGTTTTTTCCAGCTAATTACTGGAGATCTTCTTCCCCTTCTATTAGTAATTTTTTAACAAGATAGATATGCTTTGATATCACGTGCCATCAAAATCAAAGTAGAGCGTAATGCGGATGGAGTATTTATTATTATTATTTTTTTTTTGACAAGAACTATATATTTACACCCTTTTTTATTTTCCTTTTTTTTTTTTTGCCCTTGTTGTTTTGGTTTGAGAAAAATAAGGAAATGGAATAAATGAAGAGAAAAAGAAGGGGGGGCTTACAAAGCTGTGCGTTTCTCCATGAAGCTGACGGGTCGAGAAGAATAGCCACAAGAAATGAAGTCGAGAGTTTCGCCGAGGAGTGGCCAGCCGGAGCTTCCTCTGGGAATCTCATAATTTCCCCCTATTTTTGATTTCTGATTTTTTCTCATCTTCAGTAACCGATGCAAACACGACATGGAAACCACCGTACCAATCAGGATCCAGCACCACATCAAGTCCCACGTCATCTTCACCGACTTAAATATCCCCAAATTCAATCCAATATGTATGTATACAGAAAAATTAAAAGAAGAGAAAGAAGTTACGTATGTATTTTGAGATGAGAGATTCTGGAAATCGGAGTGAGGGGAAAGGTTTGTTTGAAGATTATGAGAAAGGAAGTAATAAAAAGGACTGGGATTTTCGTAGAGAGAAAGAGAGAGAGAGAGAGAGAGAGAGAGAGAATCCAGAGAGAGAGTCCACATGCAGTATTTATATATGGTGGGTAGAGAAAGAGGATTTATTGAGGACGACGATGATGATGAAGGGAGTGCATTATTCTATTCCAGAGAGAGAGAGAGACGAAGAAGAAAGTTGTATTGTAAGTGGGGGAAGAGAGAGAAAATGGGTGTCCCATTGTCCAATTTGTCTCCTTCCTAAATTTCAATCACCAAAGAGTAAATAAAACTGATAAATTCTGGGAACAAATAGTTACAAAATATGAATTTGTAATTATATAGAATGATTACTTTTTAAGACGGAGAACATAACTTTTTTTTAAATAGATGGAAGAGCAGTACTAGATTATCCCTTTTTACCATATTAAAATAGAAAACAGGATATTAATGTGATAATTTCTTATTAAAATATTTTGACTCCAAATGTACTATGTTACATAAACCATTCTTCCACGTGTCATCTCCTTTTAAAAACAAAAAATATATTTACAATATTAACGAAGAGATCAGACGGCCATGTTCATTCAAATTTTGAATTTGACAGTGAATGAAACTTTCCTCCTCTACTTATTTAGGACTTTCGAAAAAATTAATTTTCGATCAATCAATTATCTTCATCAAAAACTAAATTCATTCCTAATTAATTTTAATTATTTACATATTAATTTATTAGGTGGGAGGACGCCCCCGAGCATTTACCTGGGACAAGGATCTAGTTATAATTACATCAAGTAACAAGATTCAGATTTACTCACACACACACACACACACATATATATATATATATATATATATATATATATATATATATATATATATATATATATATACTCGAGCAAACAGGCATAAGAAGAAGAATCTTGTTTGTACCATAACATATCCACCTAACTTTTGTCCACGAGCATATTTTAATCACTGATGAACGTCCATAACACAACTTGGGCTTTGGTTGGCAACTAATAAAATGACCCACTATTTTCCATCACATGAGTGAAGGCTTATTAATTGTTTTACCATTAGTAAAAGTTACTTGCAATCACCTCACCAAATGGGCCGAATAAAATTACAGGAAATGCATCAAATAATCAATCGTAGAATGGCGTATCCATTGCGCAGGCACAGGGGACTCGACTCCGGCATTCAATTCAGTCAAGTCTACTGTAATGGCTCTGTCTCTGTGCTATCTTGACTTCACCTCAGACATATACTAGTAAGTAGTATTTTATGGAGTTGTTCGGTTTCCACTTGTCATCATTCTCATAATTTCACCATATTGCTCTCCCTCCTTCGTTGTCAGAAAAATAGGGTCCAAGTTGAAGCATGCTCCCTTCACATGAACCAAGATTCTTCTTCCTGTTTTTTTCTTTAAATTAACTCAGATTCATATCACATCATCTCAGCTTTCTCAGACAAATGCCTTGTTTTTATTTCCTTCCCGAAGCGAACTTCTTATTGCTATCGAATTTCGAACCTACAACAACATATGATTGATTTGTAAATTGTACTAGTAATACATATACCTCCCACGGATTATACTTTTTCTAAAGATATTCTTCCATATTTTGAATCCAATGAAATCTGAATCAAAACAATTACAAATTAATGTTGTTGTGATTTTCCTGGATTCCATGAACCAAAACAATAGACCAACGGATGTGGGAGATAGGATAAGCGGGACTAATTACAAGCTCATGATTATGTTCTACTTCTTCTTCTTCAGGTTTATCTTGGACTTGATGGAGGCGGTAGCAGAAGACACACTGGGTGCGGCGACGTCTCCGCATTGAACTCAGGGCGAATGCACACGGTGGTGGTGGGCCAGCGATCTGGGACGGACTTGGTTTTGCGGCAAATCCCGGTCAGGGGAGATTTCGTAATTATCTCAATAATATTCACTTGGGGGTTTTTGTAGTGTTTGACAAAGTTGTAGGGAGGTTTTTTCTAAAATATTCAAAGATTTCAATTGACAAGAGTAAATACATGAATCTTTAGTCACTCTTTTTGTAATATTCGAAAGATCCTTACCCTTTTCGTTTCTCTCTCTCTCTCATCTCTCCGAACAAAATCCCTAAAAACATCATCATCATCCACGGTGGTAGTAAGCGACCACCCCATCTAATCCGCCGTCGACCACCATCCACCCTGATTCTCACCGCCGCCATCTCATTCTCCATCATCTTCCAATCTGTGATTCATCGCATCCTCTAGCGGCAAAGCGGCAGCCACCACCAGATCGGCCGCCGCCGTCGTCTTAGCCAGTCCATCCGATCCGCCACAGCCATTTTTATCGTCCTATTCGTTCCCCATTCATCATATCTCACTGGTGGGAAACCAGATCTGCGACAGCCTTTTTTTTCCCCTGCAACTCAGATCTGTTACCCAGCATCCTTTCAAATTCTTATGGATTTTGAGGCTGATGTCGATGTCAACGGTGAGGTGGTCGCGAGTTCTATCGACCTTGAAGGCAGAACAGATGATGAGAATGCGATTGCTGGGAGTTCATCTGTTGATGGATCTTTTCAGCAGTGCGGGAATGTAAAGTCAGATATGGAACTTTCAAGAAGGGAAATCGCTGCACTGGAAGAAGATGCTCAAGCTGTGAATAGTTCAGATTCACTTGATGAACCTTATGTAGGCCAGGAATTTGAGTCTGAAGCAGCTGCCCATTTATTTTACAATACATATGCAACCAGAGTCGGATTCGTGATAAGAGTGAGCAAGCTATCTCGATCGAGACGGGATGGATCAGCAATCGGCCGGGCCCTGGTTTGCAACAAGGAGGGTTTCAGGGTGCCTGATAAGCGTGAAAAGGTTGTGCGGCAGAGGGCGGAGACAAGGGTTGGTTGCAGAGCCATGATTTTAGTTAGAAAAGTAAGCTCTGGAAGATGGGTTGTTACCAAATTTGTGAGGGAACATACGCATCCATTAACTCCTGGGAAAGGTCGCAAGGAATTGATATATGATCAGTACCCGAATGAGCATGATAAGATTCGGGAACTTTCGCAGCAGCTGGCCATCGAGAAGAAGCGGTCGGCTGCGTATAAGCGGCAATTGGAAATGATTTTCGAGCACATTGACGAGTATAACGAATCCGTCTCCAAGAAGATCCAAGAAATTGTAAATAATGTAAGGGAAATGGAGTCTGCAGGCACAGAGCAACAAAATTATAGTAGTAGATAAATGTAGTTTAGTCATGGAATGAGTTCCGAAATGGTGGGAATTCAGGACATTGTATTTAGGGTGGTGTTTAGGGAAGAAGACATTACACATTTACTCAGTGGAGGAAGAAAATGTATTGATGTAAGCTCTGAGATTTGGATCAACCTGTTACAACTTTTCTCTGCTCAGTTTCTACTTGTTATCATAAGTTTTCATTTGTTCGAAAAGTCCATTGCTGTATAAATTAAGATGAAGCATGCTCTCCTTCAGCCACAAGGACCAAGAACCTTCTTGTTTTGACTCGGATTTAGTACACCTCAACTTTCTCAGATGATCATGTTCAATGCCTATTTACACCCCAGTTTTTCTCTCCCGAAGCACACTGTTTGCTGTTAAATGAACTTTGAACAAATGATTACTATATGACGTGATTTGTTTTGTGATACATACTCCATTAAATATAAATTACACTTTTGTAAAGAAAACAATGTGGTGTAGGAAACCGTAAAGATTTTACAAATTTGGTTCAGCAAACCAAGTTCTTGGCTAACTAAGAAGCCTAATTCATCTCTTTGTGAGCCGGGATTATACAGTAAACGTGAGTTTGAGATGAGCTTCAATTTAGTGCTAATGTATGGTCATGGTTGGCCTCTCAAACAACTCGAGAAAACGCAGTCACAAGAAGAAAATTTCTTCTCCAGCTAAATCCTGATTGCATGCTCCTAGTTCGATTTCCCTGGTGAGAAATGTGACTGGCACGTCTCCTTATCTCCCACCTTTAACCCGATTAATCAAATGAGGGAAACCATCATCCCTTTCCAGGCGAGCCAAAACAATGCAACATCATCTGCCCCAGCATACTATTCACGGACTGCACGGAGTTTAATCCAATGAACCCTCAACTATTCGCTTGATAACAGATTAATTCAATTAGTATAGACCAATTAGAAGATTAAGGGGTGAAATTGATCTATCCATACTTCAAAATACACTACTGGCAGTAGATATAACCAGGGGTGAAAGAATGTGTGGGCAGTGGCATCTTGGAAAAAGAGCTCAAATGCTGCCTGCACAAACAGCAGTATTTTCTTGCAGAATGCCGTAAAAAGAGCTCAGTTTAGTAATTGCTAGTGCTTCTCCAGACAATGAGGCTCTCGATGATTTTGTTATACGAACTTCCACAAAATCACCAACTTTCGGATTTCTTTTACCAGCATTATCAACCATATCTGGGAGTGGCAGGTTTCTGAAAGATACCCTGTGGCCTCTATCGCTTTTGCCAATAAGCTCTGTGTCCGGGGCTCTCTTATTGGGTCCTTCAACTAACACTAGCTGGACAGTGCCCACTTGGGAGTCAAAGCACTGACCTGTACTCTCCCTGAAAGCTTCTATGAGTTCTGCTAGCCGTCTCTGCTTTACATCTTCAGGAACATCATCAACATAAGTCCGGTGGGCATGGGTTTTCTCCCTCATACTGTATGCAAACATGTATGCCATATCATAACCTACGGTCTTGACGAGGCTAAGTGTATCCTGATGCTCCTCCTCTGTCTCGCCACAAAACCCTGGTGAAAGGAATCAAACTATTCAGAAACGGAAAAGAAGTTCGAGTTATAATAGCTGCTCTATATGCCAGGGAAGCAATTTAGACATCCAGAGTCAAAATGGTCAGCCTAACAAAACGCGATGCAAAATTCAAGCTTGAAACATCCATATATGTTAAGTGACTCAAAAATATGTATTTTTCATGCAAACAACATCCAAAAAATCATAAGAAAGAAAATCATGAGCAGAGACAATTACCACATATGAAATCACTGCTAATCCCCATATCAGGAATTGTACTGCGTATCTTAGTTACCAGTTCCAAATATGCTTCCCTAGTGTAACCACGCCGCATTCTTTCCAATACAGTGCTGCTCCCTGTTTGTGCCGGTAAATGGATACTTTTGCATATGTTGTGTCTATCTCTCATTACATATAATAACTCATCTGGAAAATCTTTAGGATGTGGAGAAGTAAATCTGAACCTCATCTCTGGATATTCCACAGCAAGTCTATCCAGTAGATCTGCAAAACGCAAACCCATGTTTTTCACCTTACACCTGCTGGAAAAACCTTCGCTAAGTTTCCAGTTCGATCCTGGTTCAACCTCTTTCTCAATTCCTGATGTATCATTATAACTGTTCACATTTTGACCAAGAAGAGTAACTTCCTTAACGCCTTCATTCCAAAGTTCTCCCACCTCCCTGACAATTGATTCCACAGGCCGTGATCTCTCTCGGCCTCTGGTGAAAGGAACAATGCAAAAGGAACACATATTATTGCAACCTCTCATGATTGAGACAAAAGCACTGATTGAGTCTTTGGAGACACGAACGGGACTGATATCAGCATAAGTTTCTTCAAGTGAAAGTAGAGTGTTGATCCCTTTCTGGCCAGAATCTACCTCTTCCAGAAGGCGTGGCAGGTCCCTATAAGCATCAGGACCACACACCACATCAACCATCTTATCTGCATCTAATATTTTGTCCTTCAACCTCTCGGCCATGCAACCAAGTACAACAACTTTTGGAGGATGAAGGGACTGTGATCGCCCAATCTTTACATTGCTTTTCCAGTGTCTCTTAAGGAACCAAAAGTAGTTGAGCCTTTGCCACACCTTTTGTTCCGCATTGTCCCTAATTGCACAAGTATTGATAAATATTATCTCTGCACTCTCGGGAACATCGACCACTTCACTGTAGCCAGCTTTCTTCATGATAGATAAGACAATCTCCATGTCGTTGACATTCATCTGACATCCATACGTTTCTTGATAAATACGACCTTTTGGAAGAACTTCTGAAGTTGCTATTGGACTAGAAAAGGAAAAAGAACAAGATCAGATACATATTATATGTTTCCTTAGTACCAGAGTTATCCCTGGTAGCATATTACCGCAAAAAGAAGATGAAGTTCAACCTTCCAAGATATTCCAAATGATTTTACTAACAGTAACCAGATCAGCGTTTCTGAAAGCAATTAAACCATGCTTCCTCAAAAGGCCACTCATGACATACAGAAAGGTTTGACACACTGAAAAATCACCCTTTGGTTTCTGTAATTACTTGTCTTCAAGAATTGATCTTTTACATTGAATTGGGTTATAGATTTAGCATCATCTGCACAAATGTTGATTACTCCGACAACAATTACTGGTTCCATCAACAACAACATCAATTAAGTTCAAGATTATCACAATATTCTGAACACGGAATCTTCCCAGAAACATGGACTTAGCAATAAGGTATACTGCTTTCGATAATAAGAATCCTGAACAACGAAATATAAGAAGCCCATATGTCTGATGGTAACTTACTCGATCATTTGTGGTTCGGAAGAAGCAACTGTAGCTTTGGGCATGAAGTGGTGGAGACCTGGAGCATCAGGCTTCTGAGATGAAGCCATCTGTGACAAATTTCCAACAGACCCAACAGAGAAATTTGTCAAGCATCGCCTTTTAGATTCTGACAATGGCCGCCTACACAAAACATTATAGGTATGGAAGGCAGAAGCAGAGGTTTTCAACATATTTCGGGAGAACCATCTACGAGGGAGCTTCATCAGCAAACCGTTGTGGGGTTGGATTAACACAAGTGATACGGAGGACAGCGAGCAAGAAGTCGCCATTGTTGATTGATTTTTTAGAGTCTCACTCAATACGGCTCGCCAAACCGTGGAGGAGGCGTTGGCTAGTGAAACAGAAGAAGACTCCACCGTGACGAAATAATTTGGATAGGGCTCAGGAAATGGATGGGACCCGACTTGAAACGGGTATTAAACCACCGAGTCAAGTTTCAACTGATACCACTTGTTGTGTTCTTCAATTACCATGCCCACCCACATAGATCCGACCCGAATCTTTGTAGGATCTTCTCTTTCCATCTTCGATAAGTACAAAACTGTACAAGTGTAAAAACTTTGAAAACTCACTGGCAAACAGTCTCATCAGCAAGAAGATATGGAGAAATGGAGAACTTCCTACCGTCTACTCAAATTCTGCAATGGAATTAGCTATCGAAATTCAAAATATCAATTTTCAGGTGAGTTCACAATTTACTTCCCACTTTTTGCATGGAATGAAACAAAGTTGATTACTTTTTAAGTAAATTCCAGAGAAACCGCTAGGATGGCGGGTATGGAATTAGCTGTTTTTCCTTTTCTCTTTTAATTTTTTAGGTTTGATCGGGTACGGTTAAGATGACAAATATCGTATCTTGTGTTATTACTATGAAGAATATATACTGTGGTTGTATGATCAATTTTTGATCTCTGGTTTACTAATTTTGTTAAGGAAGGGATAGCTGGAGCATCCATGGAAAATGCTATTCTTCAGTTGCTTCTACAGTATTGCAGAGGAACCCGTCATTCTCTGGTATTACTTTTGATGATATTAGTTATTTCAAGAAGATATTAGGGGATAGAGGTGTTGTTCAGGATGAAATGGCTCTGGAATCTGCCAACACCGATTGGATGCACAAGTACAGGGGCAATAGTAAGCTGATGCTTCAACCTAGAACAACTGACGAGGTGGATACTTTCTTCCCCGTGTCCCTTCTATCTCCAAGAATTTGTCAATTATTGTGATTCCTTCTTTACCTATTTCTTTTGCTTTTCTGCAGGTTTCTCAAATTCTTAAATACTGCAATACCAGAAGTTTAGCTGTTGTGCCCCAAGGTGGAAATACGGGCCTTGTGGGGGGAAGTGTTCCTGTTTTTGATGAGGTAATGATCTTGGAGTCATTTTCTCGACCTCTTTATTTCTTGAATGTGAATCTGGTTCGAAGTGTAGTTTCCAAGGATACTACTCAAGGTAGGGTGTATCACTGCTATTCAATCTTTTTCAATCATCATAAGCTTTTAGTCTTAAACTTGCTGATCAATTGTTGGCCAAGTATGCTGCTAGTGGTCAATTGTGAATATAATCATGCGCTCTAAGCATATGAAAACTTTATTGCACTTATCATATACAAGAGTAATGACTATCGGTATCTGAAACTCTAGAATTGTAATTTTGTACTAACCATCACTTTGTCTACATGACATGATTGCTGGAACTTTGCAGGTAATTATCAATGTTGGTTCCATGAACAAGATCCTTTCCTTTGATAAGGTATAAGCAATTTCATTTGGCTAATTTTCGGAAACTCTGTTCTTTAGTGAGTCTCCTGGCTTTTGCCATTCACCTGCCATCTTGTAATATTGATCATCTTGTGTTCGCTTTTGTGGAATGAAATTAAGCATCTTTTTCTTCTTTATCTTTTGGTAAACGAATTTAGGCATTTTCCTTGATATATATATATATATATATATATATATATTTTTGTTGGTACCCTGCTGTTGTTGGTGTAATCGCTTGTTGATTAAGTTGCTGATATGAGTTACGGTCTCTTCCAGGTTGGGGGTGTCTTGGTTTGCGAAGCTGGATGCATATTGGAAAACCTGATATCTTTCCTTGATACCCGAGGGTAAAATTTTTTCAAGTGTCTGGTCTTTGCACATCACTGACCTATGTAGAAACTTTCTCTATTGAATTCTTCATACATTGATCATTAGGATAAGGCAAACCATGTTAGTTCCATGTTTGAATAAATTATGCTTGAGGAATCCTGTTAGTCTACTTTAGGAGTCTATGATTTCAAACCTGCCTAACTTGGTAGAATCTCTTCCCTTTGATTATGTAAACTTCCTGTTATAAATGATGAAGTATGCACAAATCCTACTACTTTGTTTTCCTGATCAAATATGTATCCTTCAATGATATTTCTTCCAATGTATCTTCTGCCTTGAAAATTTTGATGATATAGCTTTAGTTTATAATTATCACTTGTTTTGTATGATTAGTAATTTCTTGCATACCAAACTGTAGGAGTGAAACTTTTGTTCTTTTCTAGATTTATTATGCCACTAGATTTAGGTGCTAAAGGAAGCTGCCAAATTGGAGGAAATGTCTCAACTAATGCTGGCGGGCTTCGGCTTCTTCGGTATGGTTCACTTCATGGTACTGTACTTGGTAAGTAATGTTATTTAACTGTCACTTGTTATAATCTATTAATCTTCATTTTCCGGATCAAATTTTTGTCTAAGATCAAGGAAAGTTATTTTCTTATGTGAAAACCAGGCTCTTTTTACTACTGTTTTTCAGGTCTTGAAGCTGTTTTGGCAAACGGTACTGTGCTTGATATGCTTGGGACTTTAAGAAAAGATAATACGGGATATGACCTTAAGCATTTGTTTATAGGTAATAGTATTATGTTTTACCTAGTTGTCAGGGGTTAGTTATATATGGATGGAGAAATATGTTTACCATTCTCTTGCTATATAAAGTCCATACTCTTTGTTACAGGAAGTGAAGGATCTTTGGGAATAGTTACAAAGGTTTCAATTCTTACACCTCCAAAGTTGTCCTCGGTCAACATAGCTTTCCTTGCTTGTTCGGATTACTCTAGCTGCCAGGTAATACAACTTTTGTTTGTCCTCTACTTGGTGCCCCATAAATATCTCAGCATTCTATGATCTTTATATACCCAAATATTAATCCAAAATCTGGGATCTGCTTATAGTTAGACAAAAAAACATTCGCAGTGTTTCGCACTTTTTACAGTAAAATGTTGAGATGATTTTAAAGGCAGAGATAGCACTTGATATTGAAGTTATAAGTGCTACAATTTCTGCATTTCATTGATCTCTGGCACTGTGATATGGTCTACCCTACTCTTATAGTAATAAAGATTGATCAGGAGCTGGTTTCTGAGTTCTTCTGTTGTCTTTATGATTCAGAAACTTTTGTTGGAAGCAAAAAGGAAACTTGGTGAAATTTTATCGGCATTTGAGTTTCTGGATTCTGATGCAATGAATTTGGTAAGCTTTCTCAAATTCATATATTTTATATTTCCTAAATTTCTTACAATTACTGTGGTTTCATGCTTGTTAAATTCCTTTGGATCTTGCATTGCCCTTAGATAAGTGAGTTTCGAACAAATATTTCTATTCTTGGCTAAATAGAGTGATATGTTTTAGAATCCCTTTTCCATGCTTATTATGTTAAATTCAACAGGTTCTGAAACATTTGGATGGTGTTCGCAATCCTTTACCTCCTTCAATTCACAACTTCTATATACTGATTGAGACAACTGGAAGTAACGAATCTTTTGACAAGTAAAACCTTTTCTCACAATTTTGGTTTCTCTAAATTGTACGTCTCAGACAATGAGTGCTAGCAATGTAGCACAAAGTGAACACTTAAAAAAGATACTTCTTGAGAAATTCTTTTGTTTTTCTTAATTCTATTTTGAAGGATAGACCTCATCTTTTGGATAACTGTATAGTTGACTATAACATAAATGTGTTGATGTTGCCAATAGATTTCAACGATATCTTGTTTGTTTGGCTCAAAACATTCTATCTGATGTATCCAGGGAGAACCTTGAGGCCTTCCTTCTTCATGCAATGGAAAGTGGTTTGGTGACTGATGGAGTTCTTGCACAAGATATGAATCAAGCGTCCTCATTTTGGCACATTCGAGAGGTTGTTTATCATAGCTTGCTAGATTTGTCAGAATCTGGGATTTAGATTCTCATTCCTCAGTATATGCTTTTTGGTTCATACATATGAGTAATCTAACAGGAAAATGATGGTTGCTTCTATCTTAAGTTGGTTCTTTAAAAGTGCTTCGCTGAGATTTCTTTACGCATTGCAAAATCTTTTATGAAGATAGAGATTCGATCTATTTGCAGAATGGAAAGAATGATGATACTTATATTGGATAAGAATGCAATAACATAAAGATAATTTGATTTTGTTGTTGACACTGTTTAATAGAAGAGATAATCCTCTGAATCTTCAGGAATTTTGTTCGAAAAGAGACTTTCTGACCATGTATATGCTTATTGGTCGCAGGGCTTACCTGAAGCACTCATGAAAGCAGGGGCTGTATACAAATATGATTTGTCGATTCCTCTTGAACATATGTATGAACTTGTTGAGGAGATGCGGGCACGACTTGGTATGAGAAGTAATGTGATTTTGGTTTTTGGCGGTTTATGTTCTAAATTTAGTTCTACTTCCCTGGTTTTGCACTTAAGTTTATCATTAAAGCCAAGCTTCATATCTGCTTGAATTTTCACCTTCACCTGGTTGATGCGCAGTCTACTCTTTATTTTTTTCCTTTTTTTTTTTAATCTTTTTGCAATTAAGTCGAGCTATGAATATGATGCTTGACTGACACATGACAGTGACTGTTAATCTTTTAAAGGTCTCTCATATTTCTTCCCCTTGGATTTTAAATCTCCAGATGCTGAGGCAAATGTAGTAGCATATGGCCATCTTGGGGATGGGAACTTACATCTTAATATCTCAGCTCCGAAGTATGATGATAAGGTACTATTTTTTGTGTTTTCTTGGTGAAGTTTTCTGTGATTCAAATGTTAAGCTTACGTTTTTGAGATGATAATTCGTGTCAGATTTTAGCACAAATCGAACCATTTGTCTATGAATGGACATCTAAGAAGCGTGGGAGTATAAGTGCAGAGCATGGCCTTGGATTGATGAAAGCTAATAAAATTCATTACAGCAAGTCGCCTGAAACGGTAAGATTCGTGACCATGAAAATTACCAGGAATTTAGTATTATGTTCTCTGAGGAGAACTCATGAGCCTGTTGTATCCAGTATGCAGCTTCTCAAATAAAGTGATTTTGGTTACTTATTTTACAGGTGGACCTCATGGCATCCATAAAAAAGCTGCTTGATCCTAATGGTATACTCAACCCCTACAAAGTTCTTCCATCAACCCTTGTTTCTCAAACTTGATAGAAAGGATCCATGATTGCAACCCACCAGTCTTTAAGATATGAAGTTTAGGCTATGTGGGAAAGCCTTTCTTTATATACTGTAATTTTTCTAGTGATGTAATTTCCCTCAGTAATTTGTAACATATTTAACTTGGAACTAAAGAGAGTGGACACAGAGTAACCTGATACCTTTCTAACAAAAGTGTGCAAGCGAAGTCATCATTTTAATAAGGACTCATAAATGACTGGCTATAAAATGATTGAACAAATTGTCGCTGAATTCCTGCAAAACCCGAAATGGAATTCTCCGGCAAGGATTTGGACAACTTCATTGCCGCTTCTCGGGAGGTTTGAGGCCACAAGTCAGTATCAGTGGCTGGTTGTCGTCGGATTAGAGGGTACATTAACGACTTCAAATGGAAGCGATTCAAGTGAGGCGCCCCCGCTAGAGCTCCAGTTCTTCTTGTGCTCTTAACGTTTCATGATTTCTTTCAACTTTAAACTAACATACTCTTTCGTTCCAATTTTTTTTTTCCGATTTGTATTTTCATTTTTAGTTCAATTATTGTCTAGTTTAGATTTTTATTTTTAATTCAAAGATTTTCTGGATAATAATTTTAGGACGAAAGCTTAGATCAAATTATGCCTCCTCCCTGCTTAAATTTTGACGTGATATTGTCACCATTTGCATTCCCAATTCATCGTCTTTATGCACTTGAAAAACTGGATGATCGGTTAACCATAAAAAAAATTTAAAAAAAAAGAAGAAGAAGAAAAACTCAGATGGGCTTGGTGTTTTGCGGCATTACAGCTAACAGTGTCACCTCAGCATGCAGATTCACCGTCTAATTTGATGATAAAAATAGTATATATATCTATATATCCATACACATTAATTGGATCTCCTGCGGCCTGACTTTATGCTTCTGTCAGCCGTCTAAATTGTTAGTAAATCACAATAATTAATCTTCTGAAAGTAGCTGGATGTTTACAGCAGAATTTACTCGATCAGGAATGTCTTGTTAGTTTTTTTTTTTACCGAGATTTTTCTAAGGCGTATAGTAAACAGATGATGATTGATTTATTTGTCGACTGTAGGAATTCACACAACAATTTTGGACTTCTCACAAAGGGAGAAAAGGAAAGTAAAAAATAAAAATAAAAAACTAATTTTATCAAAGGTTTTACGATAAAAAATTAGTACTAAAAAATGTTAAAAGTGAGATCTTGTACAAATTTTTACGTCCTTTCCTAAAAAGCACAAGTAAGTAGGAGTACTACACAAAGCATAACTTATCGTTATCTCTGCTAAAACAAAAAAACAATAATAATAAGGCAAAGATTGTATTTGTACCTAACTTTCATATGTAATCTAAACATTATTCTTTTCCACTTGACCCATCTAAAAAAAATGCAGAAAGTCTTTTTTTTTTAACTGATTTTTCTTGTTATTTTCACGTATCGAGTGTATTTTAATTTAGAATATTAACTTTTTGACTTCCTTCATTGCATCAGAAAGAAAGAAAAATCAGAAATTAAATATATTACTTCATATTTTACAAAATATTTTTATTGTCTCTTGACGAATTCCTAAAAAGAAAAAAAAAACTAACAAAAAGTTCATTTACTAAAAAGTGACGTATTCACTGAATAAATGAAAGTATACTAGTAGTATAGTACTCCCTCTCGTTCTTAATATAAGTCATTTTGATCTGTTCTAGAATTTATCTTGTAAGTATTTTATCTAACGAAAAAATCTTAAATTTTTTTTTTACAATCAAGAGAATACAATGAATGTAAATATATATTCTTAAGATTTTTTTTTCAAATAAAAATACAATATTAAATAAAATTTAGAACAAATCAAAATGTCTGTCCAAAATAAAGATAAAAACAGAAATTGAATTTAAATATAAAAACAAACGGTGAAGAAAAAACACGCCAAAAAAAGAAAAAGAAAAAAAAAAAAGAAACAGAAGAAAACGTAGAATTAGCAGGCCATAATATAAAAACCAATTTATATAAAAAGCGCTAAAGAAAGCAAAGCATCTTTCATATCGACACCGTCGTCGTCGTCAACACTCCTCCTCCTCCACCTCCTCCTCGCCACCGCGTAGTAACTACGCCATGACTAGCTCCTCCGCCGCCTCTCGCAAGGTTCTTTCTTTTTTCTCTCTCTTCCTCTCTTTTCAAATTCTGCATTTTTATTCAGATTTCCAAGATGTGCTTTTTTTGTAATGGAGGAAAAAAGAACCTTTTTTTGACGGTGGTGACTCGTTGATTAGGCTTTGAGCAAGATAGCCAGCAATCGGCTGCAGAAAGAGCTGGTGGAGTGGCAGGTGAATCCCCCCGCTGGTTTCAAACACAAGCCCACAGATAATCTTCAGAGGTTTTCTTTATTACCTTTTTTCCTCTTATGGTTTTTCTCTCTGTTCTTCTTTGGATAATTTGGGGTGACAAGATTTCGAGAATTGTGAATGATTTTGCATGTTTCTGGTTTCACTTTAATTTTATTGTGTTGTGATTCACTTATTTAGTGAGTGAAATCTCTTGAAAAAGGTGGGTGATTGAAGTGCATGGAGCTCCAGGGACTTTGTATGCTAATGAAATATTTCAGCTCCAAGTGGATTTCCCAGAACATTATCCCATGGAAGCTCCACAGGTAGGCACAGTAGTTTATGTGTTTGATCCTCATTCAGATTTTCAAGACTTTGTACTTTATATCTAGTTTTGGTTAGCCAGAGTTTTTATTTAAGTGGTTGCTGTAGGTGATCTTCTTGTCTCCGGCTCCTCTGCATCCTCATATCTACAGCAACGGCCATATTTGTTTGGGTAAGCTCAAGCTAATCGCATACTTCATGTTGAAGCTTGCATATTGGAATTATGCATTTGGATATCATGTCTTTTGATTGAGGGGACAACATTTTCTGTGCATGTGTTCATGATACCCCAGAATGAGTAATTTGAAGCATTTTTGGTTTTTCCTTTTCTTTTTTCCTGAATTCATGAGAAGTAAAATTTATCGAACTGTGATTTTGAGTGGAGCGTACAAAACCACTGGTTGCTGGATCTGCTATAGTTGTTTTGTTCCCTATTATATAGTAGGCGGCAAGACAAGATTTTGTCGCACTTTTTTGCGTCATGGGAGCATTATACCTTTATTTCGACGTGTTTTGGCTTTTTATCAGAGTTATTCTTTGTCGTTTTTCTGTCTACCCGGTTTTGGAAGGTATTGGGTCATTTGCTGATTTAATGTATGTTTACATGAATTTTAGCCTCCTAAAATGGAGATATAACTACTTGAATCTTTTATTCTCACACCACTTTGGGAAAATCCATTAGCGCCATGTTACCCGGTGTTTTGAATGATTGCTTTTGTCACGAGAGCAATTTTATTTATTATTTTGCGTGTTAATAGAGGAAATGTTTTGCCTTCCTTAGCTAGTCAGACTTCTTGTGCTTGTCCTTTATAGTATATTATCTTGTCGGTCTCAGGTGATGTCATGGTTCTAACGTGTACCCAAAACTACCATCTAAATAAAGGAGATGCAGAATAACACTGTCTGCTTGATTACAAGTATAAGACTCTTGTTTAGACCGTGTTAAAGGTCTCACTTTTAGTGTCCGGCCTAAGATTTTTCCATACAGCTCAATTCAGTTCTTTCAAACTTCTCCACGCCGGAGTATAATTAGCCTGGTCTTTCTTCGTTCTCTGGGAATGTTTTTCTATATCGTTAATAAGGCTATCTAGTCAAAGTATCTAGGGCCTATGATTTACTTCATTCCTTGCTCAATTTTCCTTTTGGAGATCTCAGATCTCTATTCTGATAGCTGAATCATGGAGATGTGAGGTTTCGCATCATCCTCCTACATGAATAATCATGAGATTTAAGTTTGGAAATGAAAAGAGACGGGAGAAACATTAATGGTGAAATTTTAGGGCTGTAGCTTTGGTTGCTGTTGGATTGGCGGTGTTGATCGGTGAACTTTCTGTTTAAATGGGCTTTCTATTGATATGGATAATTGTTTTGGGAGGATTCAAGTTCATCGAGATCTTATCTTGGGCTACAATTTTTATTCGGTGGTTCAGCCTTTTTGAATATTTTATTTTATTGGCCAGGAGGCCTGCGCTTTGGGGTGAGGGATGAAGAAAGGAAAGGAAAGAAGGAAAAATGGTGAAAACAGAGAGGATTTCTTCTCTACATGTTTTGGGGTTACATGTTCATAAAAGTTATTGGGGGGCCTTTCGTCGAGTATGCTAATAAATTATGATGGCCCCCAACCATTAGGCTCTCAGTTTCAACTTTCTAGGATCCGATACCAAGGTTATGATAAATCCAATGAGTTTGAGTAGCCAAGGTTTAATCAAATTGATTGAAATGTATGTTAGGATTGGTTGCTTTGCCTCTACTTTGTCCCGTGGAGCTCTTGTTCCTCCTTAGCTAATCCAGCATAGTTGAAGGATTTAGACTAAATGGGATTATTCTTACCAGTTATAAAAAAGGTTTTATCAGATTCTTTTGATTAAATCTTCTATAGTACGTCTTGTAGCTGTTATTCTTTCATCCTTCGCACATTAATAATATTCCCACTGATGAGTGGCAAATTTCCTCTATGGTCATGTAAACCAAGTGATCAGTGCCCTGAAGGGCATTGGTGTTGCCACTTTTCATCAGCCTCTGTGTGAAAATGGGCTAAACAGTGTGCCCGGGGATCTAACGTTTTGCATCAACAGACAGATTATATTGGTATTTGGATTGGCTGAGAGCTATTATAATCTAAAAGAGAGATGTAGAGACTTATTCATTTGAAGATGAACCCTACATTGAAAGTAATGATGCTTTTCTAGTTTTGCCTACCAGCATTCATTGAAGTTATTCAAAGGGGAAATGATTTGTCTGCAGGATTTGGTAGCTGAAACATGTACTTTTTAACGTTGTAAAATAAGAATCTTTCCTAATCAATTTGGTAAGACATCCTACGGGGCTCTTAGTGTTTAGAAAATGGGCAAGAGATAGAACATAAGGTATTTGCCTTTTGTGGTATTATACTCTGTTTAGATAAAATATTAAGCTGTCGGAGTCAGTCTCATCTTTGTGAATCTTCTTCCCGACTTTTAAGTTAAAGTTCTACAGCTCTGTATCTGAAGATTGTTTGTGGCAAAGGAATGATGATGTGGAAACAGGGCCAATGTTTTTTGTGAAATTTTTCTGATTCACTTGCCTGGAGAAGTCTATTGTTTTGTACAGCATGCTTTTCCATTATTAATGTTTTCTATAGTATCCACAATTTTTTTCATCTTAACTAAATTTTCTTTCTTAAAAACTTGCAGATATTTTGTATGATTCTTGGTCCCCTGCCATGACTGTTAGTTCTGTCTGCATCAGCATTCTGTCCATGCTATCAAGTTCAACTGTAAAGGTCTGTTAATACTATCCTGGCAGCTTCCCGTGATGTTACTTTGGTGTACTGAAGCAAGACTCCTGAAGAAACTACTATTTACCTGTAGTATTTTTTAACCATAATTATTGATTTCACTTGTGTGTCTTTAAGCAGCAACCACCTGAAGATAATGATCGTTATGTAAGGAACTGCAGAAATGGGAGATCTCCAAAGGAAACGAGGTGGTGGTTTCATGACGACAAAGTGTAATGACAACAATTATTCATGCGGCATATTGACCGTTCAAGGGGACAGCGAAGCTGACAATCTATCTGTAGATGAATTCAGCTTGATAGTAGTAAATCAAAATGTTGAAAACCATAGTAGGGACATAAAGTGAATTGGCTGTATTTTCTTAGTAACTTTGAATGAAGAGCAAATTCTCTTTTGTGCTCATTTCAATTTGTGCACCGTGTAAAATAATGTCCTATTGTGTTATGTTTTCTGTTCTTTCTTGGGCAGCTTCCTTTTTACCAAATTCTTCTTAGTCACGGATGATGACCAACCAATCGGAGTATATTAATAGTTCAAAAAACTAGTACTACCTTTTCGTGGAGGACTCTTTGGGAAGATGGAAGTTAACAGAAACTTGAAGAAAATGTTGCCCATTGATGACAGTTCAGGATACCCGGGACTGATCAAGGTAAAACCAATGATGGATTTATTGTGCCTATGGATATGCTTCGAGATTTGGTTGTTGCTCCAAATTAGTTGGATATGCTTGGAGATTAGGTTGCTGCTCCAAATTAGGGTTTGAATTTTCCAGAAGAAGATAATAGAATCATTTTCGCCATTAAACTTGTACTGCGAATTCTGAAAGTACCTTGGTCGAACAAGAAGGCATCAGGTTCAAGAAAGTGGGAAGAACGATCCAATTACTACAATACTTTCCCCGACCCCTTCATCAACTACATTCTTCTCTGAGTAAACACCCGCTTCCTTGCCTTTCTAGTCTACAAAAAGTTCGATATATTAAATACAAAAATCTAGAAAACTATTGATCTCTGTATTTTGCCAACTTTAGCATGTTTAGGACGTTTTCATAGACAATAAATGTTATTGAAGAAGCTGGAACATTTTTCAGGACATTTGGAGTGACACCCTTGTAGAATCCTCGTAGGCCTTCGTATCTGTGAAGGGCAGGAGCAATCACATTAAGACCTTATAAAATACTAATCATCGGATTCAGAAAGAAGAAGCCTGTCAGTCTGACGCCAACAACAGAACAGTCTAAAATATTTAAGAGCACAGCAAAGACATACCTTGCAGTTTCCTTTAGAACATGCCAGCTATTCTTGTATCTGGGAGCTCCATCTGAACTAGGCCGTTGCTAAAGAGCAGCCAGGATATATAGTTTGTTAAATAGTGATGCTAAGAACTGAAACAGGTTTATACAAATGATAATAATAATAGCAATAATAAAATGAAAAAAGATAATGAACATATGAAACTGCTCTCTCTACCTGCAATCTAGAGCGAATGACCTGAAACACAGAATGAGCAAAGTCTTAATAATCAGATTTTCATAATTTTGGGGTAAATTAAACAGTATGCTGTTCGAGTTGGAAATTCAATATTAACAAACATTACATCCATTTCTTGCTGCCAATACCTGAAAAGGGTATGTTGTGAATATGGCAGCCAGTTTGGAAGAGGCTCCTAATACCGCATAATCAACTGAATCCTGAAAGGGAGATACATACAATGAATGAAATCTGCAATTTGGTTTCATAAAAGAAGATAAGTGGCTAAAGGAGCAATCTTTCATGTCCCAAAGCAAAGAGAAGTTATGGTGGCCAGACACAGAAAGGGCAAAAGATAACATCATGGAGCAAGCAAAGCAGATAGCATCCCAAACTCTACCTAACTGCAAATTAACATCCATCAAGACAGCTAAATTATGCTCATATGACTTACAACCATACCAAGATTACTTTGATATGGTCAACAATTTTTATTTTTGTTCTACAAACTGAATGCTTGAATCAGCAGTTTCTCAACTATGCAAAGATACTCACCAATGAGTCGTCACTGTTGCCTCCACTTTCTTCAGACCTGCGTTCTATAAAAGCTTTACGAAGCTCCTCGTATGCAGTGAACTGAATAGCTCCATGAGTAACCTGCTGAATGCAAAGTCCTACAATCAGTTAATGCAGCAAAACCTTCAAAATTTGACACATGCACCCAGAAGAGTTTTGATGCATGAGCATAGTCAAATTAAGCTCATATAGAGAATAATTATGCCAATGAAACTAACAATCCTGGCCAGCGCCACATGTAATCTTTGTGTGTGTGTGTGTGTGTGAGAGAGAGAGTGAGAGAGAAAGAGGGAGGGAGGGTGGAGAGAGAGAGAGAGAGAGAGAGAAGACTAACAAGAAATAGGCCAGGAACAAGTCCTTTGTAAAGTGTCCTCCATCCTTCTTCTTTTAGGATGGTGAATATAGCATCTGTAGTAAGAACAGGAAAATCAAAAGCTATGAGATCAAAGGATGTCAAAACCTAGTAACACTAAAGGTTTGCGCACACCAAAATATACATCTACGAGGCAGCTGTGTTATGCACCTCAAAAAACAAGATGCACAACATATACAAGTCAGTTCAACCCCCAAAGAGTATATATCATAAAAGTATGGAGATAGGAAGAAGCCATGGCCACATACAAATAGAGCATTTATGTTCTAATTTGGGAAGTTAAACAATAAATGAAAGTGTGCAATTATCCATCCCTGACTAAGAAAAGTCCCAGCAACAATCCACTAATACTCAACATATTAGGAAGACTTATGAAGGGAGTCTATAGAATGAATCATAGAACATTCAGTAACCTATTATACGAAATAAAAACAGCCATAAAAGTCAACACAAGAGCAAAGCAGACCATGAAATCCAGAATATGGACGAATCTGATGTTGAGGAGTCTGAAGTTGCATTCTTGTTTTCACCAGCCAAACTGGGTTCGTGCAGAAACAAACCTGAGATAGACAAGAAAGCACCTTTGATAACTGAAATAAAACCTTACTCCAGAATAAGAATTCATAATGGATGTTAAATTTCGAAATTATCAACTCTAGCAATATCGGCCCACAATCAGTGATACTAAAGTGATGAACACCAGCAACAATGACACCTGACATCATTTTATCATGAACTAAACTCACCAAACCTCCTGCTTCAGCAGCTGAAGCAAGATGTAGACCAGGGCTCAGCTCTTCTCTGGTTTCCAAGTACCTCTGCTTGGCTTTGCTATAACTGGATGGAAGTGAAAAAGCACAAGATTAAAGATGCAGGATTAAATTCTTATATACTTTCAGGCAGAACATGATCAGTTGAAACATCTGGATTACAGTTAACAAGCAATAACCTAAAACATTAAAAGATCAAATACTATTTCCATCATCAACGATTATCCACAAGAGAAAAAGTACCCGAGCAAAACATTTCAACCTTAAGGCTGGAGATCACACTTGTAAACTAAAGAATAAGAGTGTTCAACATGGTACATGAATTCTCTCGAGTAAAATGTGCAGAATAGACATCAAAATGACTCAATTAAGTTATGGTGCTTAATTTTACTGAAGTTGCTAGAAAGCAATACATCAAATGCACCAATTCATAAACAGCCTCTTTGTATTGAAATACAGGGGTATGGCTGCGTAGCTCTTGACCCCCCAAACCTCAATGAAGGTGGGAATATACTGCGGGGTAGCTGTAGATAAAAATTTGCAGAACTAAACATGGCAAGAGCTATATTCTAAGAATTTGAGCAATTGAGTATCAAATCATCCCCAACACCAGAAGTGAAACTTACAAGAAGAAATACAAACCCCATGAAATAGTTGAGCCGAGAACGGCAGGATAAAAGCCTGCATAAAGGCCTCTAAGTCCCTGAACCAAAAAATAAAATAAAATAAAAATAGAATCATGGGAAATGGTGCAATCAAATTACAAGAACTGAAAGTGAAAAATTAATCCTTCAATCCTCCACCAGTGATACGAATTCAACTCCTAATACCAACAATGGGGTGGGCATATCAATTAATTAACTCAATGGAACTAAAAATCTAACCATACTCATTTGAGTTACTAATGCCAAATTGTAAACAAATATTCTAATGTATTACAATAAGCAAAAGAGAAAGAAAGAGACCTCGGAGCGGGCAATGGTGAAGAGAGCATGCGGAGTACTTTTATAGCTGGGGAGGTTCGAAATTCTGCCATCGTGCACTATCAAGAGAACAATACAAAAACAACCCAAAACTCAGGTTAAAAAAAAAAAAACACGAAATTTCACTTCATAATCAAAATTTCGATAAAGAAAGATTATCAGATGAAGAAGGTACCTTGGAATCTGGTGCGGACAACGTCCAAGGGATGAGAAAAGGTGACGGTAGCAAGACCGGCGAGAGCTCCGGCAGTGGCGTTCTCCCATTGCCAGTCTAACGCCGACTTGAAGGCCGACATCTGCTTTCCAAGGGAACGAGTTCCGATCTTTAATCCTGGGGCGGCAGCGTCTCTTTCATGCCAATAATAATAAACACATTTAAAGTTGGAATCTTTGAAAGGGAGAACTTTGGCCAGAAATTTAGGAGAACGATGCGAAACCCGCAAAAAGTGTAAGCACCAATCAGAGATGATGGGAGGTCCCTTGCCGGCTTTGCTTTTCTCCCCGCCCCGCTCAGGAGGATCAACTAATTCTGTAGAGCAGAGGAGGGAAACCCAGAATCTAACGAGCCGGAAACTTTTTCACTAATAGGCGGTTTATTTGTGGTTCAACTTTATAATAATAAAAAGTATTGCTATTTATATTTTGGGAGGAAAATTTGAGCGCAAGTAAAGCAACTACAAATTCATATATCTTTCTGTGTTTGGGGGGTTGTTCTTTTTATATTCTTTTCACACAATCCCTCATTTCATTTTCTATTTTGGAATATGAACATTCATCCTTTAAGATATTGAAGCTCCATTTTGTTTATTATTTGTTTTTAGAGAATGCAATAATGCAGCAGATTTACCAAATTGCGATGGTCGTTGTGAATGTTTTCGCGCTTCTTCCGTTTAATCTCTTCCAATATTGTGTTATTATTATGAATCAAGGAAGACGAATATATATACTTGCATAATCAGCTCTTTGCAAGGATCAAGTAATACTATACTATCTGTTTGTCGCTAACTGTGAATGGTGAAATCAAACTAGGAGTTCTCCCTTGATCAATGCAGAGGCATTAGACCACATAATTCCCTTTTGATTGAGGAGATGAAAGCATGATGTGATTGTCTATATAATTTTGAGAAAATGAACAAGAAGACATGGTCCTGTAGTTGATGTTTTCTTAGGTGATGCTCATCAATCACATCACGCACCAAAATAACTATTGTCTATATTATTTGACAAGGAAGAGGAGAAACAGCAAACAACATTCGTACAAATACAAGAAAGATATCTGGTTCTATCCTAGATCATACTCAATACTGTCATACAAGCTGCTTCTCTACTTCAAACTGCCCTTAAGAGCGCAAGAAAGAAAAAGTTTGAGGTGTATATTTCAGATTGAAAATTGAGTCAAATTGGTGAGCAACAGCGCTTCAAACATGAAATTCAAGTGATCAGCAGTGCAGCTAACAGTTGAATGTTCAACCTGGAAATAATGCTCTCTCTATGATCAAAAGGCCAGACCAGAGCTATTGCTCAACTATAGCTTGAAAATACAAATCACCAGATGTTAAATCTGATAAGAAAGTTGTAACACTTGCTTAACACGACAATGGGATCGCCAAATAAAAGAGTTCTGCAAAAGGATGACCGGAAACTTGTCAAATTAAAGCAAAACTAATGTCAACTCTATGTAACTTGTCAAATGTCTCAACAGCTATTGAAGGTCAATTAGCATTATAAACAACAAACCAGCATTTTGAAATTTTATGATAAGCAGCAACGAAATATCTTAAATTGTGGCAAAACACGCAATCTAATTACTCCTTTTCTGCAGAAACAAAGACAGCCCTGTCTACACAATATCACTTTACAGGTTGCTTTCAACTTGGTAATCCTTGGACCGAAAGGAATTGTTCAAATGAGCCTCATGAAAGCAAGCGTCAAAAAGAAAAGGAAATGGCATCGTCCTAAATCCCAATCACCGATCGTGCTTCTACATGACCAATAGCACAAATAGCCAAGTTCATCTTCTTTGGAAACAAAGGACACAACACAATCACTAAACCATTTATCCAACACCAACTTCTTCACTTTGATTCAATAAAAGAATACAAGAACAACAATCTCCAATCTTCAGCACCGGACCAACATAACTGTTTAACACACTCCTTTACCAGGCACTAATCACTATGCTCCAATCTCCAATAACCATTTCACATATGAATAACGATTAATTTACACCAAATTGATAACAAACTGATGTAACAAGGGCAGAGACCACTACTAGTTGCAGAGCATAAATGTATTTAATCTCACACATGTAACTGTAACTCACTTTCTTCAAGCTTGTCAATCAAGAGTTCACACTCATCCCTCCTTATTCAACAATATCAAGACTTTATTGAGCCTACAGTATTTGGTAGAAACTATTGTTGTGAAATAGCCCATAATGTTATTTCATCCTTAATAATTTGAATCAAATGAATACAATTTCCCACTATTTGCATGCATGTCTTTACAGCTACATATCCAACCATAATTAGATAAGAACAATTGACAAAGAATACATGCTCCAAAGCGAAATCATCAGTATTAACATAAACTGGGAAAAAAATATATCTATTGGAAGGCTGGGCTTTATCAAGAACAAGGGTAATGCAATACCATACTCAATCAGAAGAAACAATCTTTTTCCCAAACAAAAAAAAATTGTAATATAGCAACAAGTCCGGGAATTTCATCCATATGAGAAACTTTAAGGTTATAATATTATTAAATTTAGTACAAGCAACTCAGTAAAAGAAATGAATTTACCTCACTCCATGGTGACTTTGGCCCCAGCCTCCTTCATCTTCTCGATAATTTTCTCCGCCTCCTCCTTGGTTACTCCCTTCTTCAACAAAGTGGGAGCCTTCTCCACCAATTCCTTAGCTTCCTTCAGACCCAATGCCGTGCACGTCCTCACTTCCTTAATAATCTTGAGCTTCGCCCCCGCATCGAATCCACCTTCCAGCTTCAAATCAAACGCCGTCTTCTCAGCCTTCTCTTCTACCTTGGCAGCCGGCCCTCCGCCCTTTACTCCTGGGGCACCACCAAGCTTCATTCCCGGCATCATCACCGCCATCGTCGGCATATCCGGGATGCCAAATTTCTGCTTCAAAACATCGTTCAAATCCATGACGTCCATCAATGTCAACTCGGACAATTCGTCGACCAGAAGAGACACACTCTCTGGTGCTACAGGCGGCGGGGTTAATTCCTGGGCTGAGGTTGTGAAGTTGGCGAATTTAAAGCCCAAAACTGGAGGTTTTGAGACATGGTTTTCCGTTTGATTGACCAAGGGACACCGGAAAGCATGATTTTGGGTCTGCCGGATAGATTCAGAACGCCGCAAGAGAAATTGAGAAGTAAGCCGGCACCATAAATGCCTCATGGTAAAAACCGTCAGAGCCAATGAAGTGAAGAAGCAAGTTTATAATAGCATAATCTCCAATGGCTGACAGAAGGATTCGCAGAAATGGAGAGCTTTAAAATTTGAGAAAAGCCTGAAAAATGGCTACACTCCGATCAGGCAACGAGAAGAAGAACGAGAACCCCCGACGAATATTATGTTTGGGTTTTAAGGTTGGGACAAATTTTGCTTTTTGGGCCTAATTGGACTGTCGACCGCATAATGGGCTTCATATTCTGATCTTGCCCTTTATGGTTTGCATCTACGTGCACTTTAATAGGTGATCAAAATAGTAGAGATTTTTTTTCTTCGTTTTAGCTGAACCTTCTTTATGAGAAAATAGGTGATCAAAATATGAAAATACAAGGTTCGACGCTTCCATAAATGATAAATCAATTCTGAAAGCTGTTTCTGTGTAGTTCGATCGCGGATTATCAGTACTCGTTCTATCCTAAAATTATTATTCAATTTAAATTTTTATTTTTAGTACAAATTAAATTAAAAGTAAAAATCTAAATTGCGCAATAATTTAGCGACAGAATGAGTATTTATTACGTGACTATGTAGAATGAAAAAATCAGACGTTGAAAGTAGCTTCCTCTTTTTTTAAAAAAAAAATATCAAACAACGGTGGTGGGGTTTCATATTTTGGGTCAAAAAGAAAGTGTAGCCTGTTTTTCTATTTGGATTGTAAATCTTACTAGACGTTTGGCCCAGGCGATGCCCGACCGGCCTGTCTTTTAACTTGTTTAAATGAAAAAAAAAAAAGAAAAGAAAAGAAACAAATCATACAACAAAAATTATACACATTTTCTTATAATATGAATGAATGATATTATAGAATTGGATGACATTCCATGCCAATGCAAAGCCCCGGCTTGATATATCAACAATATTTCTAACAAATAAGTATAATGATATAAGTATGATATTTTTTTTGGAAAATGATACTTATTTTGGTAGTATACGTGATTTTAATAAAAAAAAAAGTTTTCTTAACAACTAACAAATGAATGATTTATACATCAATCCCTCTACTTATTATGACAAATAATGAAATAAACAAATATGCGTGCATCATTCAATGCCATGAAAATTTTACTCTCTAATTCTTAAAAAAGAAAAAAAAAAGTAAGGGAGAATGAAAGGGCCAAGAGGTAAAAATTTATAACTTAATCATTTTTTAAGTGTTCGTGAGTACAATATTACAAATGTTGGTTCTGAAAATCATGCAAGCAGTTGGTATGGTAGTTTTTGCTTCTCTTGCAGTCTTGTGGTCAATTAACTGCTTGCACGGTGTTTTGAAGTGCTTCTATCTGGCTTCATAAACCAGTATTTGCAGTCTTATTTTGCTAAACATTGTGATCAATTGACAGGATGAAATTGCACTCCAAAGCGCCCAAAACACCACTCAGTTGGCTCCTTTTACCATTAAGACACATAAATTCCACTGGGAAAAAAGAAAAATTGCTGAAAAGCTTAATACACTTGTTTAGTGCTTAGAAAAACATCTCTAATGTTAAACCACTAAATGAAAATCAAACACATAATGAAACTTAAGTATGTAGTGCTGTGACAAAAAACATAACATTGTCTTACATGTATAGTGCTCTGATTAACTTAAGTTTGAAGTTAAAAGCTGAAACAAAAATACGATGAAACAGATAGAATTCTACCTCATTCCGAAGTTGAAGCAGCACTTACAAAAGAACACTGCCTCATTACAAAAGAATCCAATGCAATCAGATGTATAAAAGGTATCAGTCACTGTTCCCTTTTTTTAAGAATCAACATACCAACCCAGGTACCGAGCCATCGGTGTACACGTTAATTTTCATTTTTATAATAAAATATGAAAAAAATAAAAACAATGCAGATAGATTTAATGTAGGTTCACGTTACCACGAAAGCCATTAGAACATACATCCAGGGCATTATAACATGTATCAGGATTCCTTTTTCTATGTCATTAACAATACAAAATCAGCTAAACTGATAAGTGATAATGAGATCAAGGAATAGAATATGTTCACTGATAAACAAGAGAGCAAGAGGAATAAAAATAAGCACAGCTCTGTGTTATCCAAACCAGCCCAGTTCTATCAATGCTTTTAAGCACCAGCAGAAAACTAAGAACCTCATCATTATCATGTATTTCCTGGTTTTTCAAATGAAGATGTTGCAACATGCTTAACTGCCCAATTGTTCCAAATACTTTACTGATGTACAAATTAGATAGCTTGAAAGATCATCACTCATTTTTCCTTGAACAAATTAACCTTGTGAAATTAAAAATATGTAGAAGTTGAAGCATATGTCAATAAAGATAATGGTCATGACTTGTACCTCAAAGAACAACTCGTGCTCAGCATTAGCCTCAAACGAATCCATCATACATCTTTTCAAATGTTCAGCACAAAGAGGTTCAAAGGCTTCCATTTGCTGCTGTTTGTCACCCCCAACAATTGCAGGTAGCAGAATATATAATTCATCTCCCTTCCCGAAATCGCTGATGGACAAAGCAAAGCACATCAGCAAGTTTTCCCGTAAGAATCACACATTTATCAACAACATCAGGATTGCTATTGAAACGAATGATGGGGTTCACCTTAATATCAATAGAAGTAAAAACTTATCATACGCATGAAACACGAATTAACAACTACCTAACATGTTTTTATATTAGCCAAAAAATATAAAAATCTTACAAATTATCGATGAGAATTCAAGAATCAATGAGAAAGATCTTTATAAAGCCAACAAAGACTGGATCTTTGGATCACGAAAAAAGAAAAAAAAAAATCCATTACAATAATAGTAAAGAAATAGCAGTAGAGACAAAGTAATTTACCATGTCTTTGTCAATATGCATGAGGTCAATGTCTGCAATTCACTCTACTTGTTCATATCTCTTTGAAGTATTAAAAACCATAACCGAGATGATCTCCAAATTGTAGCCTTGACGAAAAATTCATCCCATTCATCAGTTCATTCCATTAATACCTTCATCAACGGCATAAATTATATAAAATACATATAAAGTACATGACATATCTGGCCCCCAAAGAAGAAAGAGATTAAATGAAAGTTCTGAATCATCCACATTAGACACGCCAAGAATCAATCTTCAGTAAATCAATAACTTCCATACAAATTGATATCATCATAATGATACTTAAGACAACCAATAAAGGCGGCAAACATCTTACCGTGACGACCAAATAGAGCTTCCCAAAAATCAACACAGCTTTGATAATGTCTGCCGATTGGTCTGAACTTTATTTTTCCCTCCATCATTCTGATTGCACAGAAAAGAGAAAGAATATGCTTAGGGATTTAATTGCCAAATAAAAATGCATATTTAGACACTTACTATTGATTGAGAACCGAAACAAAACCATGTTTATGTCTGCCTTGTAGACCTAATAATGCCAAAATTAAAAATATCAATAATATCACGTGATTAAAGGTAATCAGTCCATACCTATTCAAGACTCAAGGTGTTGATTTCATAAGCTGAAGAAAGCAACAACATTATAATCAATCTTCACCACAAAACAGAGGCCCAGAACCTGGGTTCTTAAAAAGTCGTACAAATCAAGCTAACAAATCTCTCCCATTAGCAGCTCAAAGTATACATGTAAAACTGAAGAAAGCAACAACATCAGAGTCCAAAAGCCATGGCCATAGTCATTACATTCACATAATCAACTTAAGGAAATCTATCACGAATCAAATCAGTTAATAACGCCCAAAATTCACAGTTCAGAAAAACCAATAAATATAACAAACACATCAAGTGTACAAACTGGACTCTATATCAACAAAGAAGCACGCACAGGAATGTATTTCTGCACATCCATTCTTTTATAAGCATTTATATGCCAATTGAATTGTAAAAGAATCAATTAAATATTCGATCCCAGTTGGAGGACTGATCCATAGCAAAGCCCACACCGAATGATTCTAAGTAAAAACTATCAAAGACTGAAACTGAGGACATTTGGCAGAAAACTGTGGACACTTGTAGGGAAAACATAGATTGTGAAGCAGCCAAGTATCCTCAAGTATTTCTGCTTTAAGTAAGTAAAAGGGGATTTTCCGTGAAGCTGGTGCATCATGCATCTCAAAATTGTGTGCCAACCAAGGAGAGTTTAGAAGAATTTGTGTGGATTGTCGTGTCCATTTCGGACTCATATGTTGTCAATTACTTCCGTACCGAGAGCATTGTGGAAAGTTTTAAAGCCTCATCCCAAACTCTTAGGAATTTTTTGTAATTCTAAGCTAATTTGTGTGGCAATCCGGTCCGATAACAATGTACTCCTAGTACTCATCTATATTCCTTTTTTTCTCCTCCATTAAATGACAATCAAATAGTAATATTCATTTTGTCAAACTAAAACTATAGAATAAAGTGTAATAAAAATACGAAATTGTTGAAAGAAGCAGGAGTATTTTAAAACTTTCACATGTTTTGTGCTCGTCTTGTGCAACAAAAAATAATGTACATTCACGTTACAATTTGTCCAGTTTGAGTTTTCATTTTTAATTCAAATTGTATTAAAAGTGAAATCTCAAATTGGACAATAATTATAAGATAAATGAAGTATTTTTTTAGACACTGATGGAGTATTTGAAAATTTTCTAAGAGCGATCTTGTCCATGATGGCAAACAATTTTCGTGAATATTTCCCTGAGAATACTCTATTTATTGCAGGATTCTAAATTGATCTAAAGCGTATCTGTTCCAACTTCCAATGTCTCATCAATTGAGCACAGAGAGTCTCTCACGTCAATTCCAGCTGTTGGCCAAAGCCAAGCACTTGTTTTGGTTGGAAGGATTGGTACTTCAAATTGAATTCTTTACACTAATCTGGAAATCATGAATGTGACACAAAAAAACAGAAAAGAAAGCGCTCTCTCTCTCTCTCTCTCTCTCTGCCCAGTAAAAGCAAAAAAGAAGGAAATAATACCTGCCAATTCTCATCAACACGGGAAAGGAGTTTCTGTCCTCTGCCCAAGTGTCCAAGACCACCTTCTGCTGCACAAGTATAACCAGAACTGAAAGCTAAAATACGATCGAGTCCAATGCTTTAAAATCACTTTATCTGTTTCTGCCGAGAGAATCACAAAGAAATATCAAGCATCAAGTAGCCCTGAAAAGAGAGGTGTGAAGAAAGAGGGAAAGCATCAAGCTCCAATGATGATGACCAGAGGAAGAAAAAGAAGAGTAATGTTGGAACAATATGTTCAAGCTGTGCATGAGTTGCCATTGGAGCAGGAACAATTGACCCCTGTTCCTCAAACTCCTCAGGTGTTCTTAAAAAAAACCCTTGTTTGTGTTTTTTTATTTGATTTGATGTGGTTGTTTTCTTTCCTGTTTTTGCTTTTGGCCCTCATCGCCTGATTGATTCATGGGGGTTCCCCCCCTCCCCTACCTTGGTGTTACATCTTCAACTTTGAAGCCGCCGTAAAGGCTGGTTCTTTCGCTTTCTTTTAGTCCCGGAGTGAAAAAGTAGCTTCTCTTTAGCTTTAGCTTCAAAAAGCCCAAATCTTTCTTTTGCATTTTATATCAGTAGATTCATATTTTGCCTCAGTTTGGTTTTTCCACAACTGATAACTTTGCATGTCGGTCTTTACTTCCATCTTTTAATAGGATTTTGTATGGATGGGTGTGGCGATGAAGGGTATAATTGTCGTGTTGTTCTGCACACCATTTTCTTGTTGAGCTGCTGATTAAGCTAGTAATTTCTTTTTTCCAACACACACACATTCGAAAGTATTGGCTTTGCATTGTCTGCCTATTTCTATCATTCACTGCATAAATTATATTATGTCTAAGTTGATACTGAAGGGAGCTTGTCCGTTCCTTGTATTATATGTGTTCTTGATAACTTTGGGATTTTCCATCTCCATGCAGGAGAATCCTTCTCAGGGTGCGAGTGGTAGATTCATCTACTCCAGAGAATCTACTGAACCCCTCAATCGACGTCAATTGAATGCATGGAGGGTTCTGTTAGGGCATTCACAACCAAACCTGCTAGCTCCACAAAGACATAGTTCAGAAATTCCCCACGAGCACAAGGTAATGAAAATTTTCTGCACATCGGTCCCCTGTTAATACATGTGTTTCCTACTTTCTATCCTTGTATATATTTTGTTAATTCAACATTTTTCCTGTTCTACTTTCATAAATCACGTTCGTTGGTTAGAGAGTGTTTTTTGTTTATCGTTCTTAAGTATGATCTAAATGGACTCTTTACCGCGTTGCTATTTTCAAGCCTCGAAATTCCTTGAGCTGCTCCACTGTTTGTATTTTCCTACCATTTGCTGCAAAAATTAAAGTGTATCTTAGCTCTTCTTATACTGAAAGGATCTTGTCCAGTCCTTGTATTCTCTACCTGTTGTTATTGACAACTTTGGGATTTTTTCTATCTTTATGCAGGAGAATGCTGCTCAGGTTGTTAATGGTAGATTCAACTCTGCCCAACCACCTAGCAAAGCCCTCAATCAATTTGCTACTGCTAGCTCTGCTATTCCGGTCAGATCTCATCCGCAAAACCTAGAGAGCAATGCTGATCGGCGTCCATTTAATGCATGGAGGGTTCTGGTTGAGCCTCCTCCACAAGAACAAAGATCAGATATCCCCTCTGATAATGCTGTATTGGTAATTTTCTCTAGCTCTTTTCCCTGTTAGTACATTTATTTCTGTCCTTGCGTATGTTTGTTTTAACTTCTCTACTGTCATGGATCACGGAAATTTATTAGCTTGGAGATTTTTTTTTTCTTTATCATTCTCAATTTTTGGAAGTATGATCCAAATGGACTTTTTCCTGTGTTTCTGTTTTCAAGCCTCAAGATTCCTTAAGCTGCTCCAGTCCACACGCTGAACATGATCAAAGAGACATCATGACTGATGCTACTTTGGCTCAAGAGTCTTCTAGTATTGCCATGACTGAGATCGCTCTAAGGTGCAAAGACAGTTTTGAAGTTGATGACGATGAGGTTGATTCCGCCTGTGATTCTGCTCTGGTAACGTTTCAAGGATACCGGGTCAAAGAAGAAGTGGTTCCCCTGCTTAGCAAGATTTTCGCTAAATATGGCGATATTGTTAAAGACTCTGTATTGAGCTGTTCCAAATATCGTTCACTTCTTCTTCAAGAGGTCTGCTTAATCTGCCAGGACTTGGAGAGAACAAACTTCGCTGAGATTACTATTTATGAGGTGAATTCAATGCTTGGTAGGATTGATGATCTGGAGAGCGTGAAGCTGAATGTGGAGTGGCTCCGCAAGAAGCTGACTGAAATCAAGGAGACGAAGGAACTAATTGGGGGATACACTGCTTTCAAAGATAACATGGTTAACATGGAGACCAAGCAGAAAGAGCTGACTAAGAAAAATGCTGAGCTAAATAAGTTGCAGCAGGAAATCAACCTATTAACCGATGAGCTGACAACTCTGAAGATCGATCATGACCGTTATCAACAAAACCTGCTAGAGATGAAGGGTAAAATAACTGTTTACTATAGCAAAGATCTAGTGGACGGACTTTACTAGCTCACTTACCTCCCCAGTATCTTCACATATTCAGTCTTCAGTATCTTCTTTTGTCCAGGAATTCCTGATGAAATCTAAAGTAGGTTGTTGGGATTTTTAGAATCTTTGGTGGTTTTTAATGTGATATCTCTTAAGCATTAGACTTTCCACCAGAGAGGGTATCTACCAATAGGACTTTTGCCTATGCGAAGTAATGTTTCTCCATTTTACTGATGTTATCTACCAAATGTGTGTTTGATGATTTCTTTCAAAGTGACATGGTAGAATGGAAGCTTAAAGCGTTAAAGAGGAGATAAAAGAATTGCACTTGCAACAAACATAGTGATAATGCAATGCCAAACTTCCATGAAAATGGATACAGCAACAAAAAACTGAACTTAATTAACTCTTGATATGGATTATAGTTACAGTTAGGAAATGGATTATAAATTAGGTATGACGCAGAAATGCTGCCCAGGCAGCCAGTCCTAAGAGTAAGAGGTCACCCTCCAGCAGTTTTTAAGGATTTCTCCCCTAGAAACTGTCAATGGTGAAAGGTTCGCCATCTTGATTAAGGACTTCGCGAATTGCTCTAAGAAGAGTTGTTTATTCTCCACATATTGTCTTCACCAGCACAAGTGATTCACCAATCTTGACTACAAGAACCTGTCATAATACATAACAAGCCCTTTGAAGCCAACATGTTCTTGAAGTAGCTGTTATTGTTGGAATGACGAGGTCCAAGACAAATAGGTTTAGTCTCGCTACCCGATCTTGAAAATTGTAGCATTGCTGAGATGCATACTTTTGGCCTAAAGAAGTCAAGTAGCAACTACCTTTCACTTGTAAAGGTAGTATTGGTCTATGGCACTTGTGAAGCAAAGCATTGGTGACTGCTTTCCGAAGCACTGACCTTGACGAAATGGCCCTGTTTAAGCAGCATCTATTCAATGTTTGCTTTGATTTTGGCATTCTTCTGTCTGGAAGGGATTGCTTAATGAGCCTCGTACTAGCAAGCGATCGGTTGAAAGAGAAGGATATCATTCCAATCACTAATCATGCTTCTAACAGAAGCACTATCACCAGCTCTCTGGACCAGGAACTAAGAGCATATCCTTTTGAAACAAAGGATCTGCCACATTCACTCGTACATCAAAAAGGTCCAACACTAACTTACTAAATTGCTTCCGTGTGAGGAAGAAAAAAAAAAAAACTAATCTCCAAATCTACTGCAACAGACCAACCAACTCTTAAATACAGGCACTATGTTCCAGTTTACAACTTTCAAGTTTCAATTGACACATGCTTAGAATGGGATTAACATTGCTACGCTTTCAATTGATGCGTACATAGAATGGAATTTACGTTGCCACATACCAACAAACTTATGGGATACATCCTAGAAGCAGATAGAACTACGTGTTGCAGAATTAGACAGATTAATAGTGTTTGGCAATAGGAAGGAAATATGTATGTAACAAACGTAGTGCATATAGCCTCTTGACTCTTCATCACCAAACAAAGAATGAGTAAAACTAATGATGATTGACTGGTCGACAGTAACTTTAACAATGTAGAAGTGTAAAAACTTCAACTACTGCCTAGGTCATGAAAGGATTCTCTACCGCTAACACCTGAATCATCTCTTGTTTTCTTGTCTACCTTAAATTTAACTACAACACCTCCCCCATTCTCTTTATCCAGGCCTAAATCAATTTCAGTATTGGAAAACAGACCTAAAGCATCAATATTCAACTTTGCTGCTTCGACATCTTCAATGTTGAATACTTCCCCTTTGCGTAATCCATAGGGCAACGCACTCTCAACAACAGAAGCAATGTGATGATTATCAGAATCATTCCTAGATGCATCCACAACCTGTATCCGGGAAATGTCGCCTTCTGCCACCTCACATACCAATTCTTCAGTGTTCAATTTCCCAAACCCAATAACTTGTGCACAAGCATAGCCATGATCATCATACCATTGCTGCACCTTCTCCTTTATCTTAACCAATACTCTTGAACTCATTTCACCAGAGTCCTTCCTCCTCCTCAATCTGTCAGAAATCTCTTCCTGCAGAGCCATTGGCAACAAACAAGGCCTTTCATCACCCCTCTCAATCTTTTTACTACATTCAGCTTGTGTCCCTTCGTTGATATATTGTAACATGTCCTTTTTGCCTTTTTCCTCGTTGGTGCTACCAATTTGAGGGTTCCATTTCGGGATCATTCCAACATTTATGCACCGGAAACTCTCAGCAGGTTGCTGCCATGTCCGCTCTAAGAATGATATTCTTAACCGAAGCAACCCATCACGATTTCTTTTACAATCTATATCGACTTCCTCGAATAATCCACTTCCCGCAAGTTTATCAAGCTCTTTCTGGAGCTGGGACCTAGTGCAGACCTGACCAGAGATTATGTTAACTGATTTGAACAAGGGATCCTCTGTAGGATCGGTGAATGCGTTCAATTTCCTGTCAAAGAAGAGAACATCGCAAATTGCGTACTTTTTCAATATCCCAAGCATGTACACCGGCGACCCAACCCGGTAGAACTCCGATTCGGATTCCAATTCATCCTCCTTGTCTAACCCCTCCACAGAGAACAACCGTGACAAGAAACTGGAACTCTGTCCTGCTTCTCCACCGCCACCTCCTCCCCTTACTATTTTTCCGGCGTTATTACGTCCGCCGCCGCCGCCACCTTCCAGCAGCATATACAAAAGGTTGGCACCGGCGCCGAAAAGGGTTGCCGTAAAGAGATTACCTTTGAAGGTGGAGGGAAGGGACAACGGTATCCGCGGTACCCAGGGTTTAGATTTCTCCGACCTACTGCTATTTCTTTCCGGATTGTGCGCAGAAGCCTTGAGGGTGATGGGGCGAAAAGCAGACGAACGAAAAGAAACAGAGGTTGTGGCGGGGAAGTGGTTACGGCGAGGGTTACGGTGGTGGCGCTGATTGAGAAAAGGGCCTAGGCTGGGGTTAATGGCGGTGGAAGCACAAGTTAACTGGGATATGACCGCCATTGGAAGAAGATCGGAGAAGAAAACCGAACAGACTCAAATTTGAAAACGACTGGAAAATTGAGTTCGTCGACGAGAAGAAGAATGACAGAGTTCTAAAACCCCAGACAAATTTCAGTTTTGGGTTTAAGGTTCGCCACAATCTCATGCTTTAGGCCCATTGGACCGTCAACGCCGTATGGGCTTCGTATTTTTATTTTCCTTTTTTTTTCAATAAATTCTGCTTCTTTTTTTTTCCCCTTCACCAAACACCATCTGTAGTCTTTAATTTTTTTAAATATATATATATAAATTAATCAGACTAATTATTTCAGAATAGTGATAGCTAATAGCCTAATACGGATAAAATGATGCATATTAAATCTTACCATGAGATAAGAGAGGATTAGTATTATATAAAATAAATTTAGAAATGTTTAGATAGAAATTATTGATAACTTAAACTACACATTTTCATATTTTTTTTTTTTGGTTACAAACATATTTTCAATTTTTAAAATACATAAACATTTTCCAAGCGACATTTTCGTCCAAGCCACATTACAAGTATTACATGATTTATACAGAGTGTAAATGGTGATTTTTGTTGTCCAAAATTGCAAAAAATAATTATGTAACATAACACATTATGTTGGCCAAATTACCTATTTGAATAGTGGTACAACTGGTAAGAACTAAGAAAGGGTATCAGTCCAAATATTCTTTCACTAGCATGGTACTGCCAACTATGAATGCATGACAAAAAGTTGCTCCAGTCCTCTGTCAATTTCATCTGCCCAGCTCCATTTTTCTGATGCACAATGCAGAGGAAAGCGTAAAAGAAAGGTTTTAAAGTTCAGGTCTTCATTTGATTTTTTATCGGTTTCTGCACAGTTAATCAAAACAGAAATCAAGGCCAGAGAGAGAGAGAGAGAGAGCAGAGAGAGATAGGGGTTTGAGAAGAGTGAAGAAAAGCATCAAGCCCTGACAACTTGAAACTTGAAGAGCAATGGCAATAACCAGAGCTGGAAAGAGAAAAGAAATGGCTGAAGCAACATGTTGCTCTGCTACACCTCCCCCTTCAAAACGAAAGGTATACCTCACTTTGAGAATTTTGTGATTGTAGTATTTCCTCTGCCTATGATGCGGTTGTCTTCTTTCCTGATTTTTCCCCTTTTGGCCTCATCGCCGAAGAGACATACTCTTTGCTGCGCTTTTTATTGTTCTTGGATTAGTTTTTTTTTTTTTTTTTTTTTGGTCTTCTGGGCTTCCTTAGCTAAAACTTTGAAGGCCACTGAAAAACCCTCGTTCTTTTCCCTTTTTGTTGTCTCGGAGGAAAGATCTAGCAGCTCTTTAGCTTCAGTTTGAAAAGCCCGAATCTTTCCTTTTATTTTAGTGTAATAGATGGTTTATCTTTATTTTCCTTCTATTTGGAGGTTAAGCTTCCACAATCGATCATTGATGTTTGCATGTTACCGTTGCTGCTTTTAATGTATTATCGGATTTTGTCTGGATTTGTGTAGCAATGGAGGATAGAATCTGCATATTGTTCTGCTCAATGTTTTCCTTTTAAGATTAGGCGTATTGATCAAGTGGTGAGATTTTGTGTCCATTTTTAAGACCAAACGAAAAGGAAAACAAACTGAGTTGGTCTTATATTTTGAATTTATGAAGAATTTAAGAGTTTCCAGTGTTTCCCTCTTTTTACCATTATAACTGCAGCTGTCAGAATTCTCTTTCTGGATTTTTAGCCCGGAATTCTCTTTCAGAATTCTCTTTCAGATGTATATCAAAATTCTCCCAATACTGAAACTCCAGTCGCTTTGAGTTGCTTATATAGATTTGAAATTGCCATCTTAATGCAGGGCAAAGCTGCTGAGTCTGTTCATGGTCTATTCACCTACAGCAGACGATGTATTCATCCCCTCAATCGTTGTGATGGCGATACAACACAGCCTCAAGAGCAAAATACTACTGCTGGTAAAAGCCAAGTTGGTGGATGGAAGGTTCTTTTAGGGCCCAATCATGGGCCTTCTCCAGAATCCTTGGACCTGCACACTTCATCTGAAGAGAAATCAGAAATGCCTCATGAGAATCAGGTAATGACAATCTTCTCTACCTTTCCCCTGTTAGTATACACACATTCAACACTTTCTATCCTTGTAAAGCCAAACTGCCAACCTGTATTCATTTGTTCGTTCATTTCTACTATTTTGCTCTTCTTACTGTCATAGTGTCATGGATCACATAATATTAATAGCCTAGAGAGATTTTCATGGATCACGTAATATTAAGGCAATCAATTTTAATTTTCGGAAGTACTATCTAAGTGGACTGCTGTGTTTTCTGTCTTCAAGCCCCGAGATTCCTTGAGCCGCTCTAGTCTTCGTGCTGAGCGGGGTCAAAATGACAAGATGAATGATGAAAATGTGGCCCCAAATTCTACAAGCATTGGCATGACTGAGGTATTTCACAGGTGCAGAAAGAGTTTTGAAGTTGATGCAGAGGTTGAGTCTGCATATAAATCTGCTCTGGCGGCAATTGGAAAGTACAAGGTGAAAGAGGAACAGGCCCCAATGCTTGGAAAGATTTTTGGAAGATATGGTGATATTGCAGAAGAATCTGACCTGAGCTGTTCTGAATCTCTTTCTCATTTCCTTGGGATGGTTTGCGATATTTGTTTAGAGTTGAAGAGTACAAGTTTTGCAGATATTTCTCTTCTTCAGGTTGATGAAATGCTTCGTAAGATTGATGATTCAGAGAGAGTGGGGCTGAAAGTAAAGTGGCTCCGCGAGAAACTGATTGAAGTTAAAGACATGAAGGAACTGGTCGGGGGCTATAATGATTTTAAAGAAAACAGAGCAAAAATCGAGACAAAGAAGGAAGAGCTGAAAAAGCAAAAGGCTGACTTAGCTTTGTATCAACAGGAAGTTAAGGCTAATCTAGCTAAGCTGCACCAAAAACTCGACCTGTTAACAGATGAGCTGACATCTATGAAGGCCAAGGATAAGCATACTCATCAAAAGATCCAGAAGAGGAAGGAGAAGATAAAAGCTTATTACAACCAGGATCTAGTGGAAGGCCTTCTCTAGTCTCCATTATGTACATATCCAGTCTTTATTATCTTCTTCTGTCAAGAACTTGCTGATGAAATCTTTAGTAGGAAGCAGAAACAGTAGGATATTTTGTGGTTGCCAATCGTCTTTTGTTTGATGACGCGACTCCATGGCGAAATTATTGCTTTTGGTGAACTTGTAAGAAGAGCAAGAATCAATAGTATCTTGACTCTTAGGTCATTGTGTATTGTCAAATGAGTAAGGCTGCTCTGTTTACGGGCTTATGGTAATTAACTTATAAGTATCATTAATGGTCCTAGTTTTTTGACTGAATTTTATCGCATAAGAATCAAGGCAAAATGTGGTAACAACTTTTAAAGATTTGTGAATGCATTAGTGGCTGTGTCTTTACTGAATGTCAAGTTGTCTAGTGTGTAGGATCATTCATTACTACATGGTTCCAATAGCTGTATAATGTTAAATCAATCATGCTAACTCCAACTTGGAAAGCTTAAGATTTGTTTCTTGTTAGAGTCCCTGATGAATCTACACAAGAAACAATCCTGGCTTAGTATTTCCCTGAAGAGAGTCTGAGTGGACTCCAAATGCTTTATTGGAAATCGATTCTCTTTATGCCAATATCTAAAGTATCATAAGCATCTGGATAGAAAAGGAAACTTAACCGTTAAAGAAGATATGAGAATTGCAAGTTGCAATAAAACATCGATAATACAATGCCAATGTTCCATGAACATGGATATGGATACTACAACATCAAAGCTGAAAATAAATTCTCTCATATTGACACTGAGAAAAGAACAGGTGATTCTCTGCTAATAAGGGGGAAGGCGGTTGCAGTGGGATTCAGAAACTTAGAGGCGACGTCTTTCTTTTGCAGCTGCATGCCTGCTGGAATCTAGCCTTAGTAAGAATTCACCCTTCTGCAGATCTTACGGATTTCTCCTCTTGAACCAGTCAACGGTGAAATGTTAGCCATCTTGATCATGGACTTTGCAAATTGTTCAAAGAAGAGCTCGTTATTCTCCGCATATTGTTTCACCAGGGCTAGTGATGCAGCACTCTTAGTTACAAGAACCTGATCAGAATTCAGCAGGCCCTTTGAAGCCAGCAGGTTCTTGAAGTAGCTGTTGTCGAACTTAGTTGGGGTGACGAAGTCTAGGACAAACAGGTTCTGGTCACCACCGGATCTTGGACAGTTGTAGCGGAGTTGGGATGCATACTTTTGGTCCAAGGAGAAATCAGGTTGCCCGTTTCCTGTTTGGTTGTAAAGCCTTTGCCTGAAGCTGGTACATCTTGCATTTCCAATTGTGTGGCTTCCTGCAGCCGAATCACATCGTTACTCATTTTTTTTCGTGCACAATATGAAGTCTTAGAAACATGATGTTTCAGTAGGGATCGGAAGGCAAAATCCTAAAGCTTGAAGATACTGTAGCAGCATCAGGTGAATTCCATAGAAAAGAAAAAAGTGTAATTTTGTTAATGTTTACCAGATAATGCCACAAGATCAACCAGGTCAAGGCCTTGAAGCTTGAATTTAGTAAGAATGGTCTGGAAAGTGTTGTTTGGAGCAGGAATATTGTTGTTGGCGCCACTTAAGCTGGCACTTGTGGAGTCTCTTCTTCCCAGTGGAACTTCCCAGCTTGGTCCGCCAGTCTGCATCATGTCATGATCAAATATATGTTAAGCTATCATCCACTGACTTTTTGTTTCAGTAGCTCAGCAGAATTTTTGTAAGCTTACTAAAACGGTGGAATCTCTAGCCGCGAGAGCCAAGATATCGGCGCAAGAGACAGTATGAGGGCATTCCTTCTCCAATGCCGATTTGATTTCATCAATAACTTCGAATCCACGCGCTGAATTCCTGTTGGGATTGGACCTTTTCTCGCTGACTATGCTCCCGCTGCTGTCCAGAAGTATTGATGCATCACAGCCCTGAAATGAAAAAGGACAGAAACGTCACAAGAAAGATTTATTTGGCAGAAGCACTCGCAGCCATTCTTCACAAATAACAAACAAAATAAGAATTAGTAATCATCTGATGTAATGCAAATGCAATGACTGATATCTTAAGCAATAACCTTGACAAAACAATCATGGAAATGGAGCCTGATCAATGAAGCCGCCATACGGGGTTCTTTGTAAACCGCCTTAGCAACGACAGAATACACGATTTCTTTAGCTTTTGGACATGATCTGTCGTAGAACTGAGGATACAGATAACCTCCATTGTTCTTGGCACCCAAGCAAAGGGGTGCAAAAACAAGGAGAACTGCAACAATGAAAAAGCTTACGGACTGAGTCATTGTTGTTACTACTAAGAGAGCTTATGGGAAGACCAAAGTAGTTGTTCCCAACAGAAGATGCTTGATGGAATGGGATTTGTTATGCCAAGTTAGAGAAGAATGTTGACAATTTATAGTACAAACTTGAGATGGCTAGTGGAAAAGAGATAACATATATAATTAATTGGAGACAGAATTATGGAGTTGGTAGATAGTTAGGATTAGTACATCTCTACATGATGGAAGTAGTGAAACAAACTTTTGTATAACCATGATTAATTTTCCATTTAAGTTTTAGTACAAAAGCTCTAAACCATCTAATCTTTTCATTTGTACAGCTTCCTGCAGGTTAACTAATAATTTCGCTTCACCCCATAAAGGGTAATCAAAACTTTCTTTCTACTATCTGTTCAATCTAATCATTCACAATTGTGTTCATCTTGCATCTTACATCGGATTCTGGACCTTTAACTGAAGCACCTTTCATGAAGAATGACAGCGTGAATGAGTAACTAAATAAGCTCATTTCGCAGAATTACCAAGTTGATTTGGTCAACCATATTGTTATTGCTTTCATTCTAAGGCACAAAAACCTTGAGTAGATGACAAACAGGCATTTGGAAAAATGGAGTGGGAAAGGTTCAAAAAGTGGGAGTAGAACCACCTGCTCTGTTGACGAAAAACTGAATCAAATTACTAAACAAACCATCTTGATCAGTCTAAAGTCTAAACATTCCTGTTACCAGATTCTGTTATCATACGATCAAAACCATAAACCTTTTCTTTCTTTTTTCTTTACTTGCTTTTGCGGAATGACACGAAGCTTCTATATATCCGTGCATGAAAAGATTAAAAGAGTCAAAACAGAGATTTAACCTGTCTTTACTTTGTCCTGATGTCCATCAAATATGCTATCCAAAGTTCAATCATTTGTTACATTACTGCTAACTAATTTTCGTTGTAATAAACCATCTTGAACCCAATTACGAAAAGGGTTGTGAATAATTATGATTAAAACTCTTTCAAATTTCTGAGAGAAAAGGAAAACAAAAACGGAAAGTTATTTCCACCACTAGGACGGTGTCTTTGATTTCATCAATTGGTTCAAATGTAGGGAACCCTGGTTTGAGGGCAGAATCATAAGTCGTTAAGCACATTCCCAGTATCTTTTTCCAACACTATTGAACTGTAGCTATGGTGCCATCATTCCAAAGGGTCATGCTTTTGATGTTATCCTATGGTTCTGTGACTTATGTGCACACACGAAGGGTTGAGGCTTTTGTTTTGATACCGTAACAAGGGTTAATGGATTGATTAAATCGTGGCTGATGATTTTTTTATTTTTATTTTTTACCTCTCCTTGAGATCTGCAGAGAGATTACTATAATTAGACATGTTCACCAGTCGCCAATTCCAATAGAATTGCAAATAAAACAAGTAAGTTGACCTACTTAGGACATGAGAATATTAATTAGATTAGGTTGAACTTTGTGTGATCCAGTAAACTATATGTGGAATACCGGTAGGGCAGGAGACCTATCCCTCCAGGACCTAACGAAAAGATAATACCATTTCAAGATATATGTTTTGTACCAATAATTTTATCAATATCAATGAAACATTAAATAATTTGTCTAAAATACAAAATAACCTTTATTTATTATCCATATAATTTATCACCAACCAATACAGTCTCATTTTAAATATCATTTTATTTCAAATGCAAGCATAATATTGAAAAAATAAGATAAAAGTTACAACTATTTTGTAAAACCACATATATTTAAAAAAAAAATTGTAAACCCTAAAACGATATATATGTAAGAATGGACAAGTAATATAATAGAAAAGGAAAAACTGATTAAAAAATAAATAATAAATTAAAATTCGTTGACTTAACCGTGGCTTTTGCTAAATATACACAAATAAGTTGACGTTTAAAGTTTCAACCAAAAAAAAAAAAAATTGAGATTGTTATTGTAATACTAATAAATCAAAAAATATTTTAATCAACCATAAGTTTAGATAACTCGATTATTATATACATATATATATATATAAATAATAGTGTTCACCGTTTTATCGGTTAATGAAAGCAGATGACCGTGTTGACAATAAAATGCACGATATAATATTAAGCCCGTATTAACATGGACTATAATACAATGAGGGAAAAGAATATAAAAAGCGACTTTGATAAGTAGATGAATAAGTTGATATAAAAAAGTAGTCTACATTGAGTTTTCAATTTTATACTAAAAACAGTACAAAACTTAAAATTCAAAGTGGACTATTTTTGTGGGACAGAGAGTGTATTAAATTTTTAAAATATTATTTATTTATTTATTGTATAGGGAAGATATTGTTGAAATTGCTCATGGTTACAACTTTGTAATGTTAATTTGACTTGGGTAATTAGCTTCTTAAAGGAAAAAATGTTTCACATGAGGAAGTCTTAAGCTAAAGGATTATCTCAAAAGAATTGGGAACGGAAAAAGTTGTAATTATAATATAGGGATTCTAGGTACATTTAACAAGTGAGTCTCACGCGACTCAAAAATGGACATCTCTCAATATTTACAACAATCTCATTTAATTCCCCATTTTATGTGATTTTTGGAATTTCAAACCCCACCATTTTCTCCTAATTTTCAGCCATTAACCATATCCATCTTCCACCCCATTCATCACAATCCATCTCAAACCAAAAAAAAAAGCTAAAAAACTAAATTTTCTCTACATCGATTTGGCCAGAAAACCTCTCGTCAGCTGGATTTTTTGGGACGGAATCAGATTGTGCATCAAATCCAGTGAAAATTGTGAAAATATACTCTGTTCAAGATGCGATTTAAGGTAATACATGAACAAAATTCATGCACGCAGAAACCACCGATTGAGGATCCTGGACCGAACAGAAGCAGTTCGGAAAGTGAAGATGAACGAAGGTAATACTATTAATTTTTGGACTATTGATGCATTTTTTGGTACGTTTTGTAGATTTACTGTCTATGCATTCGATTATGCATATTTGTTCATCAAGTTTAAGGTTTTCTTCATATTCAACCATTGGTTTTTTTTTTTTTTTTGGTTTTGTAGATGTAAGGTATATTCACTCGATTGACGATGTTTGTTCATCAATTTTAAAGTTTTGTTCTTCTATTGGATGTTGTTTTTCTGAGAAATTGGTAGATTTTTGTATTATTCATCAGGTTGGATAGTTATTCATTGTTGAAATTATCAGATTCATCGTTTACCATAACTATGTAGTATTATTTTTTGGTAAATTAGTCGATATTTGTATTATTCGTCAGTTTGGTATAATTATTCATTGCTGAAATTGTTAGATTCATCGTTTACCATAACTATATAGTATTGTTTTTTTGGTAAATTACTGGATGTTTGTATTATTCTCAGTTTGGTACAATTATTCATTATTGAAATTGTCGGATTCATCGTTTACTATAACTATGTAGTATTGTTTTTTTGGTAAATTACTAGATGTTTGTATTATTCATCAATTTGGTATAATTATTCATTGTTGAAATTGTCGGATTCATCGTTTATCACAACTATGTGTTATTTATTCGTTAAATTTTTTCACCAATTTGGTAATTGGTATTCATCATAATTTGTTGTAAAATTTGTTTTGGGATAATCATCCGTAAAGGGATGTTATTCATTGGGTCGGCAATTATTATTAATTTTCCGATTTCATAATCCCAGATTATTCATCATCTATATACATTTATTCATTAATTCATCGAATAGTCATTCATTAAGTTTGTGATACATCTGATACGTTGATATTAAGAAACACACTAAAAAATTCATCACATCTGACAAGTTATTCATGGAATTTGTAAACATATTGTAGTATGAGCGAAGAATATCAGACAGAATCTGAAAGAAACATGAGCGAAGAACAACAATCAGAAGCCGAAAGAAGCATGATATATGAATCTGCAAAAAGACCAGACCACAATAAGTGTAGACATTGATATAGAGGGTTATTCAGCAGTTTTGTAAATTAGTATTAATTTTTTTGGTAAATCAGTAGATCTTTGTATTATTCATCAGTTTGGTATAATTATTCATTGTTAAAATTGCCGTATTCATCAGTTTGGTATAATTATTCATTGTTGAAATTGCGATATTCATCAGTTTGGTATAATTATTCATTGTTGTATATCATCTATCTCATGAATTTTTTACTCCTTGTTTGCTACATACAAATTGTTTCCAATATACAACACCAGATTTGGACATTTTCTAATTTTTGAACCTTTTTATTGAAAAAATAATGCGCTAGAATTATAAGCAGCAAAAGCATCTTCCTCAGAGTTGAAACATCGTCCAATTATTCATCAATAAGAACTCGTTATTCATTAATTAACGTAAGATATTCATCATAAAAACGTAATAAGATAATACACCATCGGTCAGAAAACAATAATGAAATTCATGTTCATCATTAACCATATAATACGCATTACCTTACGCATGTATATTCATCAATAAAACGAATACATTCTATATCAATCATCTTTCAATAATTGCATAACATTATTCATTGTCTAAACGTTGGTTATTCATTACCGGGAAAATACACATTGATTCTCCATATTCATAAGTCTCAATGATTAACCATAGTCAATTTTACTAAAATAAAATCCATCGTTATCAAAAAAATATCTCATAAAATAAAATAATATAAAAGATAACATGATAAAAAAAAAAGGTTTAACATTAAACGTGCGTCAAAAAAAAGGGGATAAGATCAAGGAGTTAAATGCCAAAAAAAAAGGATAAAATTATGGAGATTAAATGCCAAAAAAACGGGGATAAAATTCGATGATTAAATGCACGTGTGAGAACTAAAAATCCGGACTAAAATGATCATTTTTTTCTCCTAAGTTTGTGACACACGCACTGCCTGAGTACACCTTGCAAGGTGTACCTAGGATCTTAATATTATTTGCCGGAAAAGTTGTGAATGGATGGTCACAGTATTGACCCATCCTAATACGGGTGATTCGGAAAAAAAAAATTGAATTTTATGTGGGCTTTTTTTTGGACATATCATCTCTTGGATTTTTGAAATTCAAGAGTTCGATTAAAATTAAGAAATTCGATTACAGAAATATGAAAGTCTAATCCGGTCTCAAGGACAAATACACGTACTCTGTTATACTTTCGAAGTTGAGATTACTTTCGGATTTTGTAAATCTTTTAAATGTAATTTTGTCCACTCTTCCCAACCCAAAAAGAGTCTTGTCCAGTCTAGTCATAGAGAAATATATTTAAATAAAAAACTCCATAATACGGGTGATTTTATTAGTCATTCTGATTGGAATGCACAAAATTTGGCCTCTTCCTTGCATTGCATCTCGATCAACCAGTCAATGCTCGTCTAATTGAAGAATTTGGTAATAAGATTAAGAGAGATTCAAACAACAATCTTTAATGGGATAGAATCACAAAAGTTATCAATAAAGTGCGAAGAAAATTTAAGGAGAGCAAATTAGGAAGTAGGCAAAAGAAGTGAGCAAAGAGTAAATGTGGTGAAAGAGTTGGTGCAACTATGTCTCATGAACAACAATAAGATTTGCCCGTGATTATTATCTATAAATCCTTTTTGAACTGTAAATAAAATAAAAGACACTTGTCCTATATTAAAATAGTACCTCTACTTGACTAACATATGAATGATGAATCTTGTGCATTACTTTTCTCATTTCCAATGACATATGAATGATGAATCATGTGCACTACTTTTCTCATTTCCAATTAATTTTGAGGTGAAACAATATGTAAGTTTTATATAGACCTTCAAGGTGGTACTAGAGCGGGGTGTCATCCCGTTGACTGGTGGATAGACTTTTACTGATCAGACGATTGTTAGGATCGGAAAATCCTGAACTAGGTATAATTGAAAAAGAATTGAATTAAGAGGGGGAAGCATCAGAAAATTAAGAAATTAGGGTATGAAGATAGAGTTCAGAGGAAAGGGGGAAAAAGAACCAATACTGGTCTCATTTCATATGATCAATCATTCAATCGGTAGATTTTACAATTGAGATCAGCCGTATGTATACAATCCGGAACAATACACTACTAATAACAAAAATACAGTACAGTCCTATAGTTCTAACTATATCTATTGTTGACCCGGTTCATGACAACAGTTTATCCGATTTGACTGATCAGAATTGGGCCTTTGACTTATGCCCGCATTGGGTTTTGATTGACTTGAGACTTGATAGTATATCTGTAACTACAGTTTAGGGGCGCAATTGTCGCGAATGCTCTGTTCGTGACGCCCCTCTTTTCTTCTTCGTAACCCTAATGCTCTCGGCGTGGTACAACATCCAATCCTCCTTTTCTTTTACAGTTTTCTCCTCTATCACAAGGGAGCGGCCATGGGAATATAGTCGGTGCTCTAATTGGGAATTCTGTTGGAAGAAATGAGGCTATTACTGGATCGTCCGAACAGACAGTGGGAACCAACGGTCCTCTGGATGAATTCACCCAAAAACTGCAAAAAATTATCTTGTGGAGGCATTTGGCGAAGCCAGAGCCAAATCGTTCATCACTAGGATTTGCGACCCAGTAACCCCACTTGAGGCTTTCATTGCCGGCGGTCTTCTAGCCTCGGTTACAGTCCTTCCGGTGGTGCTGGTGCTTAAGCGTGTCGTGCGGCCACCACTTCCACCGATAGCTCCGCCACCAGCAGCACCACCGCCGCCACCGCTAATCCCTCCTCCGGATACCGTCGACGTTTTTGGAGCAGACGTGTCCGATTTGTTTCCTCCGGACTAAGTTATAGTATGCGCTTTTTTATTTTTTTTTTTAATGATGTTTCAGGAATCAGGAGTCGTATGTCACCATATCTCAGCGAGTTCTAGTTGTTCCTTTTTCATCCAAAAAAAAAAAAAAAAAAATCTAAATCCAGTTACTATATGAAAAAAAGAACATGAAATCTAATATTGGGAAATCTGGTAGTTGAATGAGATTTTTCAACTGTTCGTCCTTGTTATTATTATTATTTTTTTGGGTTTATCTTTCCAGAGCGCCAGTTTAGACTCGGTGGAACAGATTTGATATGGAAGTAGTCACACCCCACTGCATTCCATGGACGGTTAATGAACTAGGAATCATTTGTTGAACATTTTCTCTGGTTGTAACATACTAATGGACTGCATCGTATTGGGAGTACATGAATTTATGCACAAATCTTCCCACAAAGGGAAGGAACAAGGACCAAAAAACTTGATACATTTGAAGGCCGTTATCTGAAGTGCCCTAATGGGAGGGAAAAAATGATAACCCGTATGTACGCGTGTAAATGAAGGCTTTGCCTAAACATATGTGATTACATGTTGTAGCAGTTAAACATGCGGATATGATACAACAAACCTGAAAATTTTTGTAACCACAGTGGATAGCAACCACATTTTCCAACTCTGGAACGGCAAGAAGAACTAATCCTTTGCGTGTTATGCTAGAATCTTGACGCCGTGAAATATCTAAATCGCTCCATATCTACTGTTTTCATCTGATCTTCTCGTTGCTTGACCCGCACCAGGATGGCTTTCCCACGAGGCTTGACTTGCAAATGCACTGTTGGTATCTTCTGGTCTCGTATAGCTGTGACCAGCTCCACTCACCTGTAATTTATAAGTACATTTTTGGTGAAGGGTAAAGTAAGATGGTCATACAGTAGCTACACAGGGTCATCTATAGTTACTATACGAACTTCTGAATCACACTTAATTTCCTAAGGCAACAGCTTTTCTGCCTTCTTAATTTTATTGCAGATGGTTATTAACTTTTGCCAGAGTCTCTTAACTGAAGTTACAGAAGAGGCACATTTTTTTCATTCAACAGTACTTATGAAATAGTAGGGTGACCAGAACTTACAGTCTCCAAACAAGCTGATAAAATTGTCATTCCCGGCAATGCATCAAGTCCCCGCTGCAAGATTTTCAGTTAGCAGATAAATTGCAAGCAATAATCTCCTGGCCAGGGACCTTTTGATGGAAATAAAATTTGACATACTCCCTCCGTCCCTGGAAAAATAGTCCATATTGAGTTTTCAAATTTGTACTAAAACTAGTACAAATCTCAAAACTCAATGTGGACTATTTTTTTGGGGACGGAGGTAGTATTAAAAAGCATCAGCTGACCAGCTACCTGGTTCTCAACTCGTGATTTATAGACAAACCCCGCAACACAAAATACTGTTGAGAGAACGGTAAATCTGCAGTGAAAAGAGAGATTTCAAGTATTAAAAGGAAGAAAGACAAATTTCATGTACTCGATATTTACAAAATAAGAGATCATCAGAACAAAATCAAACCACAATTTGCACCTTATAATAAAGTATTTAAAAATACGGAAACTGAAGGCTCAGATCTGCCTTCATTAATAGCATATTGTAGGTATATTATACAAGATTAAAAGGGAAGTATGCATACACGCAAGCGAAGATTCCAAATATTGCCCATCCTCTTACGGCATCTGCACTTCCGCTCTGTCCATAATCTGAAATTTGTGGAACGAGAGTTAGACAGTTAGCAAAGAACTTTCATATCAAAGCCCAATTCTAATCCTGTAAAGGCGAAGTTAACTTTTTCTTACTGGAAACTATCGCTACTAGTATCTCAAGGGCCTGACAATGGAAGAAAACAGTAAAGCCTGTAATTATCTATTATTTCATTTTTGACAATTACAGAGTAGTTCCCCAGACTCCAATGCATCTCCCCACCCCACCAAATGCATCTCAAGTAGCTTATCTAAACAGTTCAAATAAATCAGGTGAAGCATACTAGCTGAATCATTAAAACATGCCACATCTGTATGACTGTATTATATACCACATCTTTTTGCAAGAGTAAACTGAACAGGATCGTAATTCTCCACCGGGATGGTCACTTCAACTTCAAATGGTGAGTCACGAGCCTTCTCACCTGTAAAGTGGAAAACAGCATTGCCAAGGATTATGAATAAACTAGATGTTGTTTTAGCTATAAGAAGATTGAAACTACTAGTTCAAATTTCAGGCTGGAAGAGATACCGTACATGTCCAGTCTATCAATAACGTGGAGGGTGACAAGGTTGTTGGTGCACCACCAGTTGATCCTGAACCTGATAGCCTAACTTCCAGACCTTGCTCCGGGGAAACCTGAAAGATCAACATCAAGAGAATGATTTCAAGCAGATTAAGGTGATCTGAATGTTGAGCATTCCACAAACCGAACACTATTTATTACCTTGATTGTAGGCTTTTGCACTAAACTGGACTGTGAAGCTATGGCTGTCATGTAAAGTACTACATGTGTTTGGTCTGTGCTGAAGCTGCAATAGCAACATGAAGACGCTGAAGTAGAGAAAACATAAGAAGATAGCATCGGAGCACTGAGTTGCACCGGAATATGATTTCCATTTATAATGCGTAATGTTTCCTTTTCCATCACTGCTAATGATAAAGATTTGAAGGTATGACATTAGGCAGATAGAAAAATCTATACCTGAAGTCATCGCGTGCCTTCTCAAAACCTAATTGAGTCATGCCATTATAAACCTAAGGAATTATAATGATTATTTTATTAAAGAACCAGTCGTTTTAGAGTAAATGCTAATGGCAAAGTAGAGAGGGAATTCTTACTATCTCCCAGGACCGGGGATGAAAACCAACTGTGAAGCCTTCAAATACTCGTGGTCCTGGTTTTGCACAAGGAATGGCAAGTTCAACCAGAACTCTGCTCAACTCAACCATTGAAGAGATGATAGCTCGGTGAGTACTTTCAAGCATGCATAAATAAAAGGAAAGAAATATATTGCGTGTAAAGGTACAACAAAAAAAAGGAGACAAATAATGACAAGGTCAGATTCTGAGATAACCTGCAAGTAGATTCATATGTCACATCACATACACATCCAAGGCCACCTGAGATGATTTCCAACAAATTTTTATAAGGGAAACCCTTCAAATATAGGGCTTATCTACTACATGCATGAAACTTTCATCACTACTCTGCATATCTTTTTTCTCATTATTACCTTTTCTTTACCAATAATTCAGTGCGACAAGCTACCAACTAGTTTTCGAAAAGTTTTGGTGGCCCCATGAAAAGATAGGATATTACTAACTTTAACATATCTTGTCATGGGCATTTAACAGAGGTTGGTGATTTTAAAATTGATGGAAAGCATTGAAATACTTGGACAAGTGTAATTTTTTAAGAAAATACTACAAGATGCCAACTTGAACTACTTTGCCAAGCATGCACCAAAGTTGTTAATTAGAATACTTTAGTACCTCTGCATTGTCCATTAGGGCAATTTCCACAAATGATGCTGACCTGAAAACACAAGATCACTCTCTTCAGAGATAGGATTCCTGGTATATAAACTGGCATTGGAAAGAATCAAATCCCAAAAGAAAAACACACAAGTAAAACCACAGACCTGTGCTGTTCGTCCCATTTTATCAAAACTTTGCTCACAATTCATCAGGTCACCATTGTAATAACGCTGAAGACGAAGTAGAACGATGTCAATACATCTAAACTTGTTAAGCCAGTAAAATTTACGATCTAACAGCTCAAACTAACAGAAGAAGCACTTAATTACATATTTTAAAGGAAGTATTATACAAACTATATAACCTACGGAATACATATTGCAGGAAATCAGGGTATAATTTGCAGCTTACTTGGACAAAATTCACATTTCCAGATCCAGAAACAAAATGGCTTACTTTGTCAAATCTGCCAAAATCCAAGTATCCCTGCAAGTATTGTTCACTATGCATAAATAGAAACCAGAAAACATATGACGGAGCATGAACATAGGGGACAACAGTTCCCTCATTTCCATAGTCTATCCAGAGTAATATATGAAAATTCTAAGAGTTCAAAGTACAATCCAAAATCGGCACTGAATCATGGTCATACAAAGATATCAAAAAATCTTCAGAAACTACATTTCTGTTTTCGTATTTGGAGGAGTAAGACTAACAGAAGAACATTACCGCATGTGATCGAGTTTCGACATCCTTACAAAATCGTATAACCAAATCCGAATCCTACAAAGATTAAAACCGCTTACCCAATTTAGCTGATATACCTACTGAAAGCACAACTAAAATTTTAAAAGAATAACGAATGGAATTTGCATTACCTTCCCATCATACTCAAAAGGATATCCAATCCAACTACTCTAAACATTATTATGTCAAGGAAAAGCGAACGAAACAATGTCTAACTGTTTAATTAACATAATAATCACTAAAATGCATGTAAACTAAAATTAACAATCATGGCGGTAAATTGATTAAGAGAAAAATAATAGGATACAAAATCGTAAATGCGGCTGGAATTGTCGAAGACATAGCAAGTGGTATTGGGTACAACCACTGAAACAGCTCCGAGAGAACCAAAAACAAACGCTGCAGAAAAAACAAATCCCAAAAAATCACAATTTCTCTACGCAGAAAAAGATTAAAGAATTGTAAAAACCCAGTTGGAAACATTACCTAGAGCTATGGGCACTATAAAGTTTTGTGTAATGTTGCGAGAATCGGATGAATTCTTCATGTTTCAGCTCAGCTGGTTTTTTCTCCTTCCCCAGTTCCGAACTGCCAGCGGTCTTGTCCGCGGTTGAGGGGATTCATCAGAGGGCCACCTGAGACGGGAAAGACCATCTTACCCTTATTCTTTATTACTCCTTCGCTCTGAAATTACTATTCAGTTTGAATTTTCATTTATAGTATAAAATGAACTTAAAATGAAAATCCAAACTGGACAATAATTTTGGGACGAAGAGAATATAAGTCACTATTTATTTATCTACATTTTGATTTTTCATGGATTCTTCTTTTAGACTCAAATATAAATATACATTTGAAAAGTAAAAGAAAAATTATTAGGTACAACTGGCGGTGTATCTTTATTTTTAATGTAAGTATAGTATCTCTTATTTTGTTGCCAAAATTTCCGTACAAACAATGGCAGAGCTAGAATTTTCGCATAGGGGGTGCGAAATGAAAGCAATCGAACAAATATATTGTTTACTGAAAAAAGTAAAATAAAACTTATTATTAAAAGAAAACTCTTTTTCTATACTAAAAAACATGTAAAAAATAAACCAAAACTATTTCATTAATATTTTACACATTTTGTCCACTTCTTGTTTTACAATTAATCAAACACTACTTTCAAATAAAAAAAGAAGTGATATTATTATACGGGTCAGTTTTATTGTAACAGGTATTTATCCAATCTCATAAAAGAAAATCAAATCTCGTAAATAAAACTGTATTACAATTTATCTTATTTTTAATTTTCAATGATCATTTTCAGTTGAGTAGATGTTTATACAATATTGGGAAAAAATACATACATTATTTAAGGGTTAACACATATTTAATCATTAATAGGACAGGAAAAAATAAAATTCCAAATTTGATAAATTTATTTTGAGAAAAACATACCTATTGCTTCTACGACGGTGAACTATTACAGAAAACCAATTTGAACATGAAATGAAAGTGTCCATTCCGTGTTATTGGAACATACATGAATCACCAGCATCTAACGGGTTGATAGAATTTACAAAAGGAACTACAAACAGTAAAAGTTTATATGTATTTTGTTATTGGATTTTATATTGTAACATTTACAAAATATGAAACTTAATTAACTTTTTTCATAACATTTGTTATTGATTTCTTGAAACTAAAACTTCTTATTGAGTACCATATATAACACATGGCTGCAGACTTTTTCAAACGTAAATTATATCAAGTTTTTCTAATCATTATTGAAAATTATTTGAAGGGGGTACGCATTTGAACTAATTATAATGTTTCACTAATAATTACATTATAATTCTGAAGAAAATAAAAAATCGAGGGGGCGTGATCGCACCGGCTGGTCCCCTCCTAGCTTTGCCAATGCGTACAAATTATCATTCCCTCCCATTCGAATTACTACAATGTCTGCACAATCTTTCGTGATATAACAACGACACATAATATTTTTTGAAAAGCTATACTCTACTTTAATACTTGCAACATAACTTTTATAAACTTTTGCATAGTCAACACAATTATCAATATTTTCTTATTCAAAATCAAAACAAAAAGGGAAAAAAAAGGAAAAGAAATTGCTATGCATACATACCAAAGTGATTAGGATCATCTGATAAATTTAAAATTCTATATTTACTGAATAATGTAAGCATTTGATGATGTATTTACCATCAGAACAAAAAAAAAGAAAAGAACTTGGTTAGCTGGGTTTATCTTCAATATCTATAGTACTTAATTAAAGCAGTAAACAAAAATGACATGTGTCAGCACCACAATGAAAATTTTCCCTCCAAAAGTCATTTTCAGTACAAAATCATTTTTGACACGTAGCACTCTAACTAATCAGAAAAAAAAGATAGAATAGATAAATACATAAATCCATTAATTATAGCTACATAAAAATATCTTAATTATAGGTATATACTAATCCCTTTAGACAACAATATTTAGTTGATAAAATCAAATGTAAGGAAATCCCCTTAAATCAAGTGAAACACCAGTAATATCTTCCCAATCCCCAATTTCAAAAAATCTCTTCCATTCCACTCCTCTCTCACACCCAGGCCTTTAAAGCAATTACTTAAAATCTGACATCAATTATTAATCTATCTCTTTCTACAACAGAGAAAAAATAAGCTGTCATGAAAGAAATTTGATTTTTTAAGGATGATTTTTTTTTATTCTTCTATTGTAGATATTGATTTATGATTTATGTAAACCCAGGCATAAGTTAAGTGTTATAAATTAAATGCTATAAATATGGGCATATATTTATGTGCAATAACTTACTTTCTGTCCTTTTAATCGATTTTTTATTCTTCTATTTTTTTTTATTCTTTTAATAATGATTCATATTTTTTATTTAATCAATTTAAAAATACATGCGACACCCCGGGCATTCACCCGGGGCAAGCATCTAGTTGGATATTGTACGATTATGAGGGCTGAATTGTGGGGGTTATTTTATGCTTTGCAGTTGGCTTGGGATCGAGGTGATCGGCAAGTGATTGTGGAAGTTGACAGTAGTTGTGTGAATAAGATGGTTGTTAGCCCGACAGAGACGCTGGGAATAAATGGCGGGTTAGGTAAAGCAATCAAGGAGCTGTTGCGAAGGTCTTGGAATGTGAAAGTGAGACATGAATACAGAGAAACTAATTTTGTGGTGGACTGCTTGGTTTTTTTGGCGGCGGTGAGTCCGGGAGGTTACCATAGACTAGATGATCCATTTAAACCTTGGTTGAGGCATGATATAGTCGGTGTCTCATATCCACGGAACATGTTTGTACCATAACCCTAGGTTGCGGTCTCTTTTTTTTACCAAAAAAAAAAACACAATGGATTTTATGTGTTTTTTTTCCTTTTTTAAATAAAGGTTAAGTACTCAAATTCTTTTTCGATAGAAGCAAGGACGTTATGGTAAGTTAACATATTTGTCTTTTTCCACACAAGTGGTATACACAGTATTGGTAGTCAAACGCCGCCGTATTAATGGCCTAAACCTCGGACAGAGGAAGAGAGTGAAGAGCAGCACACAGGATGGTTTCTTCTTCTTCTTTAGAACAGAGAAGAACTTGAAAGAAGCAGAAAGAGTTGAAATCCTTTTGGAGGCAAAGAAAACCCTCGCAGAACCCAATAAAGCTTTTTCCAACTCACCCTTTTTGTCTTTTTCTTTTCCCCAATTTTTTCTTCACTGACAAATGTTCTCCATTCACAACTTTACTCCAAACACCTTACCTGTCTTCAAATGCCTAAATACGTGACTCCGATTCTTCCCCCAATTCATCATCTTCTAAATCCTAACGCCGTCGACGTCATAGCTGCTGCTTCTGGTGTTCAATGGCGAAGCACGGCGCTCCTTTATCTTCTTCGGCTGCTATGGGTGCGCTTTTCTTCCGGATGCGGTGGATGATGGCGGTGGCCTTGTTCCTTTTCCTTTCCTTTGCTCTGATCATCCGGTCCAGTATCGATTACCCCTCTTCTCAACCCTGCCGTTGCCCTCCCGCCGCCGTTCCTGTCGAGAAGAAGTTCATTTCTGCTTCACCGCCTCCCCGACGGCCGGTTCTTACTCGAGCTCCGTCTTCTGCTAGACCTCTTAGTTTCATGAAGTCTAAGCTCGTGCTTCTCGTCTCCCATGAGCTGTCTCTATCAGGTTGGTTTTCCTTACTTCTCTGTTTGTGTCATTTTTTCTTTTTAATTAAACAAAAATATACTCATTGGCATGCTTCCGTTGTTATTTCTTTTTATTCTACTGCTAGTCCAGTTTATTGGAACATCGACTGAATATCCTTTACTTGATTTTATATGTTGGTGAAAAAATTTGTTTGCTACAAAGCAGGTTATCTCAAGGCTAAACTTTGTGGATGATTCCAATTTCCTATGTCGTTGTAATTAACCAATCCCATAGAATATGGCGGGTATAATCTAGCTTAGTTGTGTTCTCAAATTGGGGAATGGATGCAATGCAATTTAGAGATTATTTTTTAGTGAGGTTTGGTGTGAACTGGCAAGGCGAACCTAAAGAGAACCATTGCTCAAAAGTCAAAAGGAAATGAGGGAAGGTTGCTCTACAGAAAGTGTAAAGTTATATGTTGCGTGTTTTATCAGCGCGACGCTTTTGTTTGTCATTTGCTTTTGCTGACTTTTCTTCCTTCACGGCACAGCTAGTTGATAGCTTGGTTAAAATGTGGATCCATGAAAATGGGGAGCTTTGTTGATTGTCTGATGGTTTTTTTCTTTGGAGTAATACAAAGTTTGTAATAAAAGTTACGACCAGGAAAGTCTTTAATTTTGATATCAGCACGGTCTAGTCATTTTTTTTCTTGGTGGAACAATTGGCTGGTGTTGTTCTACACGTGGAATAGTAAAGTTGTAATTGAATAGAGGCTTGTGATCATGCTCGGTGGTTGCTCTGCATGCTACTTCTATGTAAAGAACTAATATGTCGATTGAGTTCCTAATATGGTATTCATTAACTTCTTTACCGGTTCAGGTTTTGTGTATGTCTGCATGTATATTCTCATCCATTTAATACGAAATTTTTTGCCCTAACGCATCACTCAGATATAAGTTGGCTTCGTACAATCTTTCCTCCTGAAAAGTTATTAGCTTATTTCATGTTTTCTCATTGATAACTTTTGATCAGTCAGCAATTAAACTTGACTTATTTCTTTTCCCTTCTGTTTCACCTTTGCATTGATTCCCCTTTTTAATGTATCTTCTTATTTTCACTTGTAGGTGGGCCATTGTTACTGATGGAACTGGCATTTCTGCTCCGAGAGGTTGGTGCTGATGTTCGTTGGGCAACAAATCAGAGACCAACCGGCTCAGATAATGTTGTATACAGTTTGGAGCACAAAATGATGGATAGAGGGGTACAGGTAGCCATATACTAATTTTATATTAGCCAACATGTTTGCCGATTTGCTTTTGTTCTATAATGCCATACCTTGGTTTTCTATCTCAGTACTTTCTTTTCGTGGTACCTCACCGGCTTATCTCGCAACATATCATTGTTCAAATTTCTTTTTTGTGCCACTGTTTTCCTTTTGTGCAATGATAAAGGGGGAGGCAAATTTAGAAAATAATCATGTTTGTTCGTTTTCATATTAGGTTATGTCTGCCAAAGGTCAAGAAGTGGTAAATACTGCTCTAAAAGCCGATCTAGTTGTTCTGAACACTGCCGTTGCTGGAAAGTGGTTGGATTCTGTTCTTAAGGAAAAAGTTCCTTTAGTTCTACCGAAAACTTTGTGGTGGATCCATGAAATGCGGGGTCATTATTTCAGCTTAGATTATGTGAAGCACCTCCCTTTCGTTGCTGGTGCAATGATTGATTCCCATGTCACTACAGAATATTGGAAAAATAGGACACAGGAACGACTAAGGTATAAATCTAACTACAATGTTTCTCTGATGCATTTTTGAACTCTAGTTGAAACAATTCGGAAGTTGCAAAAAGTGGTAATATACTGTGCCTTTAGTAATGTTATCATAAATTTTAATTCTTGTTGCTTTTTTGGGTCACTCATGATCATGTAGGGGCCAATTTTTGTTCTTGGGAATTATACCGTGACTGTTTTTACTTTCCTCTGTTCTGGCCATTTCTTAACTATTATTGCCAATCTCTTGTAGGATCAAGATGCCAAAAACTTATGTTGTTCATCTTGGGAATAGCAAGGAGCTCATGGAAGTTGCTGAGGATAGTGTGGCAAGAAGGGTTTTGCGAGAGCATGTTCGTGAATCGCTCGGTGTTCAGAGTGAAGATATCCTCTTTGCAGTGATAAACAGTATGAACTAATGTTCCTTATATATCTACCGAGTGCTGCTTTTTTTTGAATATCATCATCTCTTGCTGAGCTGTTTTGTTTCATAACTTGAAAGTTGGGGTACTTGGATAGAAGCTCGTGGAGATGCCAATGCCCCTGATTCACATGTACTGGCACTGTTTTGTCTTTTCTATTTGAACTTGTCCAGAGTTGTGTATTTGTAAAAGTGATGGTTCATTATTGCTTTGGGCTTTATGTCCGAATTTATTTCATCATTAGAGCAGATTCATGATTTTCCTGCCGGTAGCCAAATTGGTAACAAACCTGTTATAATTGTGTAGGTGTTTCCCGTGGAAAAGGACAGGATCTTTTTTTACAGTCTTTTCACGAGAGCCTAGTACACGTCAAGCGCCAGAAGCTACAAGTGCCACCTATACATGCTGCAATTGTGGGGAGTGATATAAATGCTCAGACCAAGTTCGAGTCTGAACTTAGAGCATTTGTTGAATCTAAACAAATTCAGGGTTATGTCCACTTTGTCAACAAGACTCTTGCTGTGGCTCCCTATCTGGCTGCTATTGATGTTCTTGTTCAAAATTCGCAGGTAACTTATATTTCTGTTCAACCATTGGTATTTTGAACTTCCCGCTTGACTGTGTTCTTTTTTACCATTTGAGAACACAGAAATAGTAGGCAGATTTTATTGACATTGGATTTAGCCATTTTGGGAAGTGAAATCATTTAACTATGACTTTATTAGAAATTCCCAGATTATATCAGGAAACACTTATTTGGTCACCCAAGTTAGATAAGAATGATGGTTTGTCGCTCGAAGTGCAGTAAGTCAATGACTTAATGGTCCCTGTTCATGGCAAAGTAGGAAAAAGGGGGTACTTTCAAAATTTTTGTTCTTCTGCCATAAATTGTTGAGGCAAAATATATACATATTTATTTATGGCCGTCAACCAGCTTTTATCTTTTGTAGCATGTCTTTTGTTCTCCCCTATCTGCATCCATCTGTCATAAGTTGTAGAGGCAATACCAATTTATTTACGGCCGTCAAAGACGCCAACCAGCTTTTATTGAGTTCTGTAGCAAGTCTTTTGTTCTCCCCCCTTTCTGCACCCATTTGGCCTGGACCGTTTTTGAGGTGCCATCCCATGGTTTAATCTGTAGTTAAATTGATATTCAGGTAGTAATCTCATTCTGGTTTCTTATAATTTAGAAGATGATGGAAAATGAATAATGATGAACTCCTGTACATCATCTGCATCGCCTGGGAAGATGATTTATGTTATAAGATCGGAATTTGGGTTTCATACATGATCTTCTGATACTTAAATGATGATCTCAAGTGATCTTTGGGGAATCAGGGTTGCAGTTTGCTTGAACCTCAAAAATTTTTTTTGTGGCCTGAGTGATTTTTAACCGTCTACTGTAAACTTGGTCATTTGATTTTTAACATGTTTGTGTCTAAAGAACACATTGATTTTTCTCACTTTATGCTTTATCGCTTGACTAATTTCCTCGCTCTGCGCAATGGTTGTTCCCTGTATGTCTAATGAGAGATTCTTTCATCAGTTCTTCTTTCATCAGTTATATTCCAAACTTTATTTCTCTTTATGACCATCATTCGCGTTGAAAGTTACCCTGTATGTCTAATGAGAGATACTTTCATCAGTTATATTCCAAACATTATTTCTCTTTGACCATCATTCGCGTTGAAAGTTACCTGAAACTCTGTGCCATTCACGCAGGGACGAGGTGAATGTTTTGGGAGGATAACAATTGAAGCCATGGCATTTCAGTTACCTGTACTGGTAATTTCTGCTTGTTCTTGGGAGTAGATTTACGTGCACTTGTCCATTAATATTCCCATGCGACATGTATTTTGTCTAGATGACTCGTGGTATTAGTTGGTTCTTTCCTGTGGCATGAATTTTCAGGGAACAGCAGCAGGTGGCACCCAGGAAATTGTGGTAAACGGTTCAACTGGCATTCTACATCCAGTGGGGAAAGCAGGGGTGGTACCTCTTGCGAGGAACTTGGTTAAACTTGCAACTCATGTAGAAAGGCGATTGACAATGGGAAAGAAGGGTTACCAGAAAGTGAAAGAAAGGTTTTTGGAACGTCACATGGAGCAAAGGATCGCATCAGTTCTCAAGGATGTACTCCGAACAGTCAAAGCACGCCACAAAGCAAAGCGAGTTTAATCCTTCGTGCTGCTGTGAGAAATACAGATAGTCCCATAGTAATCATGTTGAAAAGCACCATGTTCAGTATGAACCTGATCTTCTCAGGTTCTCTCTAAAAAGCCTTATATCCTTCAAATAGATGTTCCAAAATAGGATTCATGATTTAACATCGGCCGTGCTATGTCTTAATGATGGGCATCTGAGTTGATCAGTTAAGCAAAGCCTGCTTCTCTTAAGCTACTTGTCCTAATTTGTCTTGGTTGGTGCATGCAAAACTGATAAAAGCAACCGAAGTTAAACCCCCAACGAAATGGGAACTAAGTCATTGTACAGAAACCAGATATATTTGCATTAGAAGTGATCACCACACCAAATTACATAGCACATTGAGGGGATACCAACAGATATCCATCCTCATGCTCAAGGACGGACTCAACACGAACACACACAACTACACGAGAGTGCATGAAAACCTGAGGCTCTCTTCGTGGTAGTTTTATTACAAAGCAACTTCCTTAACAAGTAGGAGTAACATCAAACACTTGGATAGAAAAACAAGTATAGATTTAAGGTGATTGATCTAGTGGCCGCCGGGCAGCTTCTCCTTGATCTTCTCCATCATTCCTTTCTTCTCGTGTTGCTCGCCTCCAACGCCATATCCCTGGCCAGTAGTTCCAGTGGTACCATAACCTGTACCAGTGGTGCCACCATAGCCTGCCTGCTGCTGGCCCTCCTTGTGACCACCTGGCAGCTTCTCCTTGATCTTCTCCTTTATCCCTTTCTTCCTCCTTCCGCCTTGCCCATCATCCTCAGACTGCATTCATTGAAAATCAAAACTAAATGATTAGAATCCGCAATCATTGAAACAGGGTGGTTAATCAAGGGAAAGCGTGAATTAGTACTTACTGAGCTGGAGCTGCCACTGCCTGAGCGATGAAGCATGCCACCAAGGCCACCGCCCTCCTTATGGTGCTCTCCAGTTCCTAACCCAGTACCACCGGTTGGGCCGGTGGAACCAAACCCAGTGGCGCCGCCAGTACCTGTCTGGTAAGCACCGGTGGTGCCGGTAGCACCACCCTGAGAGCCATAGGCTCCAGTGGTGCCAGTGGTTCCATATTCACCCATGGTGCCTCCGTGGTGGACAGGGTTACCATACTCGTCAGTCTGGCGGACTGGGTTGCCATACTCATCAAACTGGCGCCTTTGGTCTCCTCCGTATTGTGCCATCTTGTTTTGTTTTCAAAAAGATAAAACTAAACACAAAAGGGAAATTGATAATAACACTTCAAAGAGCTTGGATCAACTAAGTGTTGTATGATGTACTTTTCCGATGGATGTGAGGATTCGAGCTATAGCAGAATCCGTATTTATAAGGTTGGAGGAAGATTGAAGGATGATTTGGGGATGCATGCAGGATAAACCATGCACTGACACGTTAGTTAGTGGAATAGGATGTACGTGGCGACCATACAACGTCGGAGAAGCGATTTTTGTCGGCCTCGTTATCTTTTATTTACTTTAGAAGAGATTAATGTCGACTGCTCCACCGCGTAGCTGGCTAGAGTTTTGCTATGCAGAAACAGAGAGATTGAAGATTTTAATCAAATAATGGAAGAGAGGAGGTTGAACGTGGCGTGGATGCAGTGATTCATGGAGGGTGGTTTTATCGTTTCGATCATTACGATTTTGGCTGCAGGACTAAAAGTAGTCAAATATTGGATTAGGAATTCTGGGGTCCCCATTATCTTAAAGTGGTATGTAACTGTTAAAGTTGGATATGGATCGTGGATGGACTTATCGAGATTGAGATACAGATGGCGCTTCATTCATTTCTCCCAATTTTTGGACAATTATTAGTCTCATTTCACAGTTGGATCTTGTCACAGGTGCTTTGAATTGCAAAGTAAAATATACTATCAGATATTATAACTCTTTATTCCAATTTTTTTATGACTTTTGTTTCTCAAAAATTATTAAAAAAATAAGATTTTAGAAAAATAAAACTGATGAAGGAGATCACTGTATTCTATGGGGGCAAAGAAAATAAAGGAAAAGTGAAAATTGAATAAAACTGGCAAAATGAATGAAAGAAACTAAATGAGGTATGAATTGAAAAACCAATGTTGGAAATTTCATCAAGAAATTTTTAAACAATTAAAAGAATGTTCCATCTGTAAAACAGTCACCGTGTCGGATGTAGCAGTCATCCAAGTGTGCAGCATTGCTTCATGGTGTGACAACCAATACGGCGGGCGTAATTACGACTTCTGAATTTCGGTGATGATTCATCCCTAAACTCAAAAATATATTTCTGTCTACGTGTACATTAAACATTTGTGTGTGCAAAAATAATATTTTTTTCCTCCTGAAAAATTATATACTCAAAAAAAAAAACTAGCAGCAGTAAAAGCGAAAGATATATTTACTCTTACTGTCTTACACTTACGACTTACAACTTAAACCGCATCCGGTTTCGCAACCCAATTAAACGGCCACGAGTTTCTGCATGCATCAATCAGTCAAAAAACCTTTTCTTGTATAGAGATGGCAGGCAAGACTATACCTGCACATGGCCCACTAATGCAACAGAATTTTAACCTTTAAGACAAAAGAAGAACAGGTGAATAACCCTTTTGAGGAAAGGTCAAATGAATTATTGATTGAAAAAAAAAAAAGTAAGAAAAGTTTCCTCACCTCCGTTATCTGGACATATGATATAACCTGTGTTCGATGAAATTTATGACCCTCCACAGTTGAGCTCACCTTCATAACAGGTACACAAAAGCATTACCAAAATCGGACACAATTTGATTGATCTAGGTTACAACTTACCACCATTAATCTCGTTGATGGATACAGTGAGATTGTCCAAAGAAAAATGAGAAGAGATGGTCTAACATGAGAGGAAAGGGCCTCTGAGGTTAGCCAAGGAGCTTGCCTGGTGACCATTAAAAAAAAAAAACACAAGGTCCCAAAATAATCCACAAAAACAAAGGAAAAAGAAAAACCCCAAATTTTGAATGGAGCAGGCAAGTCATCCTTGGCTACCAAATGAGACCTTAACTATCATGTAAGACCACTCTTCTTCAAAGAGTACTAGAGCTTTTTCCTCAATCTTCCATTTGGTTGGCATTTGCAAGTTTCTGATCATATATGCAAAGCAGCAGCAAAAAGCCCCTTAGGATAGCCAAGGAGACTGCCTGGAATACCATAACACATGAGCTTGAAAGCCCTCATGAAATGATGAATCAGGCAAGTCATCCTTGGCTACCAAAGGAGATTTTCACATTCATTAATCATCATGAAAAAGCCGTATTAGCTACCACCATCTTATCTCCTTCTTTCTCTCTGCATTGCCAGATTTGATGATTTCCAAAGTAGTAAAGAGCCCCCTTTGGATAGCCAAGGAGACTGCCTAATGACCATAAACATGAGATCCATGTAATTGGATTTGGCCCTCATGAAACACATGAATCAGGCAAGTCATCCTTGGCTACCATAGGAGATCTTTACAGTTTTTTTTTTATTTTTTTTTTTATATATATATCTTCGTTTTTCGCTCTCTGCATTGCAAAATCTGATGGTTTCCATACCTTATTTATAGCCCTCGAGAGTTATGAGGAGTAACCAAATGCAAAAAAGGTTGATTCCATTTTATCAACAATATTCTGAAACTTGTCCATTTAATTTGGCACTCCTTGGGAAAAAAAAAATAAAAATATAAAAGCTGTATATGTCTTTTGCCCCATTCTCTCCCTCTTTATTGCCCATATCTGGTCGCAGAAAAAGAATAAGTGCCTGTTCATTTTAAGGAAGAATCTACACCAACTTAATGCGCTATAGGTCCTTCTTCAAAATGGATTCTGTAACGGAAGAGATTACATCTTCAACGCCTTAAATGCAAATGTACATATTCAACTCTAATTATAGCAGTCTTTAAACTGAAGATTAGCTTCCTAATGCAGCACTAAAGTATACCGTATACTAATTCGTTTAGCAGTAATGTATATCAGTTCATGTTTACAAATCATTTATGAAATTGTTTTGTACATCTGCAAGAAGACCGGTCAAATATTCGTAATACCATCTTGGTCTCAAAATAATAATTTTGTTTTCGTTTTTAAAATTGGATTTAACTACATCAGTTTTGGCCCGCGACTATGTTATGATCGAGCAGTAGCCATGAACACAAAGGGGTGGTCAAAGATATCTTATTGAATTACATACTTATTTGAAATCTCTATACATATACATAGGCAAATACAGTTGTTTGAGACACATTTGTCCAATTTCGGAGTCACCGGAGTCAAGTGAGTCAAAATGCGTTACGGTTCACACCACATGATTCTTGTTTTTTCCCTAAGGGAAAAAAAAGAAAAAGAATTTCTAAAATTTGAACCATAAATGCTTCTAAAATTTTAAGATTGAATCATATATATTGGATGAAGATAAGGCAATTCCAATATTTTCATCACTTTGTTAACATTGATACACATTGGATGCACCATTCCCCCACCAAAAAAATAATAATAATAATAAAACATAGAGGATGCTATCTCCATTCTCCATGGTGGAGCAAATGAAATAATATCAGTATATCACCAATCATTTTTTGGCCCTTTAGTTTCTAAATAGAGGCATCCATAAAAATATTTGGGTACGAGTACATAGCTATTTTGGGCAAGTCAATGATCGACACGAGACAGATTCGAGGCACAGAAAGGGGCATCTTCCATAACGTGTGATCAATAAATGGTCATAATGCCATTGCATTACTTTGATAGTATGGGCATATATTATATCGTGATATAATATATTCTTCTTCCTTGGTTCCAGTGGATTTTGACCTTTAATGAAAAGAACATAAATTTTTGCAGATATATTTGACCTGCAAAAAATAAAAAAGGTTGTTGCAGAATTTTCTAGAGCTTTACTGAAAGAATCCCATTATCACAAGTTGTTGTCCCAATGCACCAAGCTAGCTACACCTAGCTATGAATATGGTGTATAATATAACAAACATGATACTCATTTTTGAAACAAGATATTTTTGAGTCGAAACATTTGTCAGTAAATTTTTTAGTTCATTGTATGTATAACAAACATTTTGTTAGAATTGAACGTGTTAGGCATCTTGCTTTTTGGTGGAAAAATATACAGTGAAAAAAGTTCACAAAAGGCTCCAAAGGTCGGATCACATTAAACTAAGCCCCATCTTTTTCCTTCTCTAATTTAGAACTAAACTGTAGTTGATACGATCGAGTTAACTAATTTCAAAAGGTTGCACTAAAAACTTTCAATCTTTACATGACACTGACGTATTTGAATAAGGAGAGAATACTGATAATATGCTCCTAACTTGTGTAGTGTAATAAGACATGCACAAATGCTCCCAAGTCCTAACTTGTGTAGTGTACTAAAACATCAATAAACCAGGATGCCACATTGCTACCTTTGGACCGGGGAATGGCGAAAATGGTACGACTAGCTAGCATGCTTTCAACTTCTATGCCCTTCTGCAGTGCCATGCCACTGTTATCTGTTGATACATTGTACACCTTTTGGATATTAATCAATCTCGGAAGACAGGAACAAAGAATCTGGCTCTGATAGTCCACCAAAAGGCACCAAATCTCTGGAATTCGCCACTAAAAAAGGTGATGCTCCATCACTCAGACCAGTCAAATGCAAACCGACTTATCTAAGTTGAATATATGAGATAAGAAGTCTCAAGTACTCTTGCCTTCTTATCGTTCTGAGTCGCACACTGAAGAAATGAGAGACCCTTGTATAGGCGTAGCGAGTTATCTCCTCAAGGATGAAAGAGACAGGGCCTGCAGAACCACTTGTGATGGTGGATATGCACTATTAGCTGACTTCAAAGAAACAATCAACTCTCCTATCTGAGACCGCAACATGTAAAGTTCGTCAACTTGATTCTTGCTAATCCACTCTTCAAGCTTCCTGAGAAATTCAACCAGACAGTGGAAATGTTGGACCAAGAGAAAAGAGAAAAAATTATTCTCCAAGCTTTAAAGTCAAAACTACTAACAAAGTTACAATCTAAAAATTCTTATAATATAGTACAGCCTCCCAATGATATAGCGCCGCCTGCAGCAAGCTAATACCGAGCGTGAAAATTACTGTGGGGGGCCAATAGTTTAGAAGGAATTCCTATAACCTAGTTGTAACACGACATGGACATGGTCAACTCTAAAATGGTAACGAATAAATGCACATCAACATGTTCGAAACAACTTACAAGGACTCAACTCCCTCGTCATCACAGCCACAGCCAGAAAATAGCACCTTGAGAGTGGGATACATTCTTGTCCTATAAGCTGATTCCACGGTGTTCAAACAACATCCACTACAGGACCAACAATCTGGGTTTAACGTGACCATTTGCAACATCGGTTGGTGAGTATGCATATCTCTAACAACAGTTCGAAATGATAGTTCATCTCTTGCACTTTCCAGCAATTGAATAGCAAACATCCTCTCCAAACTATAGTGTCTATCACCATTGATCCAACAAATAGTTAAAATCTCAGCAATGTATCTTTTACATGAAAGTAGCTCTTAATAAAATTAACCAGAGAAGCCGTTGTGATAGTTTGCTTACCTAAATAAATCATTAAAACCACCAACAGGCAAAGAACTCGAAATGTGGCATTTGAACAACCGAACCCCACCATCCAAGGGGGCATAATCACTCAAGCTTGGGTATGCTCCAAGCACAGAGGAACAGTGAGGACACAAAAACTCCACCCAATTAACATCTTTTGAAAGATTGGAGGATCTTGCTATGAGACCATTCGAAAGAAAACCATTTAGCAGTACTTTCTGGTGCATTTGTAGTTCGTTTTCCTTTGCAGCATCTTCTCTCTTAAAAGAATCAACAGACAAATGTGAATCACAACATCCAATATCACATTTGCCAACATCATTTTTCAAATCAGAACTAAAATTAGCTGATTTTTCTAGATTTTCTGCAACATGCAACTGCGAATACATCAACGATAAGCGATCACAGTCGACACCATTTTTGGTGTCTCCATCTTCTAAAGCAACATGGCAACCTCCACCATCAACATTCTGCAAAACTGTTCTCCCCTGATCACTGATATCAGTAGCAGAGGTTTGGGTAACAGAACTGTTACTGGCTAACTTAATATCAAATCCATTATCTTTGCCCCCATTGTTGACAGGAAAATGGCATCCCAAAAGGTCGTCCTTGCATAGATTAACAGACGCTGTATCCAAGAGGCAAGTGCCTGCACAACAAGAGTAAGACTTGGCATATTTTGCAACCAACTTCTCACTGATTCCTCCAAACGAACAACAACAAGTCCCAAACCAATTATCAGCCGCTTCTTGCCAATTGACTGACGGCAATACTTTGAAACAACTGCGGTACAATGAACATATAGTAAATGACACAGCATCAGGATACAAACATAACAGATAACAGCAATATTTGTATGGTATAGTTACCAATATGCGGTTGTCTAACTATCTGAAAATCTTTTCTTTCTTTCTTTTTTTTTTCCAAGAAGCAATATCCAATTTCTTTCCTTCTTTGGAAAAAAAATCATACCTGAGGGACTTCGTCAATTTAGTTGAGCAATTTCTGCAGTAAAAGTAAACTTCCTCTAAAGCTGATAATTCCCTTGCATCTACGCCCAATATTACAACTTCTCAAATTACGGTTCAAATGTGAAATAGAAACAATAAGCAGGAAAAAAAAATAAAGAGATCAAAAGAAATCAGAAGGAGAGAGAACTGTATGAAGAAGTAGAATTCAAAATCAACCTCACCAGTATCAGCGGATAGTGGCCGAAGCTCGCCGGAGGAGGCGAAATCGAATTCCGAGACAAGAGGATGGTCGATAGGAAAAAGAAGAGGGCATTTGAATTCAATATGATCATCGTGAGCTCTGAAATTAACCGGTGACTCCGGGTCAATCAAAGCCTTAGGGAGCGGGACCTTCAGTGAAGTCTTTGCTCCGGCGAGGATGAAGCTAACTAATAACGAAGACTTTTCGATGAGTAATTCGGATTTCAATTCGGTGCATTGAGAGGAAGGTTTCGCATGTGGATTGAAGAGGTACAATCGGATGGTCGGAATGTGAGATTGCGCCTCCCATGTGAAACGCCAGTTGCTAGGGTTTTGGGAGGGGAGAAGAGGAATCTCCGGCGGAGGCGATGAGGACATTTTCGGGAATTTGAGACGACCATTCAGGAGTTTGGCGGCAGTTTAAATTGGCACTATTGGGCTTCTATAGTTAGGCTTAATGCAAGCCCAATCTAATGACACCCCTGCTTTCCTCCCTAAAAAAACAAGTGTTTATCCGGAAATCAAATTATTACCGAGCACATGGCTCAAGTGGTAAAGGTATTGGGCCAGATTAACTATGACCCGAGTTCGAACCCAGACATAAACATACAGCAGCGATTAAAAACATAGACATGCAGCAGTGATTAAAAATACTTGTTGAGAGAGCTCTGCCTCCTAAAAGGAATCTATCCGGTTGGATTAATCGGAGCAATAACTTCGGGCACCCGTCGGAGCAATAACTTCGGACACTGGATGCGTAATATACCAAATTATTACAGAGCACATGCATTAATTGAAAGAAAATGGGAATTGTTAATAGCTAATGAGAAGTTTTGGTTTTAACTTTAAGATAAACAAGAACGGTCGATCTTACCGTGAATTTACAATTTTTATTGGGTCGACCTTTTCTTCTGCTTTATTAAACCAATCAAAAAGTCGATGCAAACAATTTTCACTTAAAAGTCAATTTCAATGTATTTTATCTTAATATCAATGTATCAACAAATAATGTAATGAAAGAAATTTTCAATGGTCTAAGTAAACTCGGCGTTGCCAATTTTGTATAAGTTTCGGATTGTACAATTAATCTTGTTAGAAAAAAAGACTGTCAAATTAAAAATGAGGTGTGCCTTACTAACTCATTTCACACATTTCCGGTAGACTTTTATCTCGGTCATGAAAACGATACTTTATTGTAATCCACATAAACTAATAGTACAAGATAAGAATTCTTATTTATGAATGAAATACAAATATCAGTTTTCTAAATTCATAAGTTTTGAATGTTGAATGTCACGATGCTTTTAAATCATAGAGATTTAAAACTTAATATATTACTTGTTCTAAAATTATTATTTAATTTAAATTTTTATTTTTAATGCACATTGTACTGAAATTGAAATCTTCAAATTTAACAAAATATTTCAAAAACTTTTTTTAAAAAAGTAAAACTTCACTTGGCGAATCCAATAAATAAACTAACCCTAGCGAGACAGTTCAAGCCAAAGAACCCCCAAACCCACAAAATATGTTTCGATATATCACATGCCAATCACACCTCAACAAATGAACGGTGACTAGGATAATGCCCTTATGAAGGCATCTTGGTCTGCCATTCTAAGTCACCATTGCAATTATACTGATCAAATCATCGATCTCCTTCACAAACTTAGAACGAGTCAATTCATACACCCTAGCTTAGCTACTTCTCTTTTTGCTGCCCTTCCCTTTTTAACCGACAGAATCAATTAAAAGAAAAAAAAAAGATAGCAAAACCTTTTTTTTTTTTTCGCTATTTCGTGCGCTAAGGAAACTACCGATCCAAGAAAAGTTCCAACCAAACAAAGGAAAGATAAAAAAGCCATGCACTTGAACAATTTTCCTTTTTTTTTTCTTTTTTTTTTTTTCGTTTTCCTCCCACAATCCTATATGGGACCATAACTTTGGTTATTCGGAGTTGATTTATAGCCGAATTTAAATCTGCAAATTAATAGCCAAATATGTTGTTCCAAATCCATATGCATTTTCTCCAATTCAATGAATAATAATGCTATGATATATTGGGAAGCACATCACGAAAATAAGTGAGAAACCATTAGCTTCCCACTAAACAAAGAAACTACAACAGATCATAGAAAGATCGCAGATCACATATACTATCACCAAACTTTTTAATCAAAGTACTCTCGCCATGTGGGCGGCCTTCTTATAAACGGTTGGCCACATGCTCTTTTTGTTTATTTCTTTATTTAATTTTTGAAGTTTGAGCAGTTTTCTCCACACCTCACTGTTCTTTTTTTCCCCCTCCTAAAAGATGCTTCTAATAAAGCATATATACTCCTAAAGCCAAAGTAATACAACGTGCAATTAAATGTAGCATGAATGCCCATTTTACTTTGCCTGGGCCTGGGGCCTATTTTTTTTTTTTTTTTTGGTAGATTGGGGCCTAATTTTTCAAGCAACCTTCTGGTCAATTTTGCTCCACTGATCTGTCGGATCAATTTATGAAAACCTACAAAAAGGAAAAAAAAAAGAAGAAGAAAAAGTAATTGAAACGACTTTGAAGATCATATTTCTCCAATCAATTCTCTTTACTTACTCAACCCGAAAAGCTACTAAGTACTCCATGAATGTCTTACCCCCCCCTCCCAAAAAAAAAAAAAGACATATTCATTGTATATATGTATACTATTTTACTGCAACAAATATGACTTTACTTTTAAAACAAATATAGTTAATTATTTAGTAATATATATGTCTTTTTACATGGTCATGAATTCACGGTATAAAAAGATATGTATAAAAGGTTTGCTATACTCATCTATATATAATTTTTTAGAGTAAATGTGAGAAAGGTAAAATTATACATTATTTTGTTATTGTGCACTACGTATTGCTTTGGCTCAACATTCAGCTTTCGATATTTTAGGACCTAACCTTCTGTGATTACATTATAGAATTTAAAAATGGTTTATTAACAACTTTGGAGAAGTACTATTTGGAGATACATATATGCCATTTCGAGGTTGCCAATGGCCATAAATCAGAACAAATTGTCAAGATCGCTGTTTTTGTTTTGCCATCTTATATTCTTATGACATATACAACAAGAAGGGTTTCTATTGGTTTACTCTGAATTAGATTTTGCCCTAGCTAGGTGCATGCCACTCATGAGTCATATTCATTCATTTGTGTTTTTATACGCAAGTGAAAACGATATGGAACTAATAAGAAACTACAAAAGTAACCGAGACGTCAGATAGAAATGTGACCTTAATTCTTGTTTAATCGTCACTTAAGTAATAATTCTACTTTTAAGTTTTAATCAAGGAAGAAATAAAAATCTGTGACCTCACTCTCACTAGCTAAGGGAGGGAAGCGGCATAATAATTATTCCTATGGAATCTAGCTTAAGTGAGACATTTAAAATAATTGAAGCATCACCAAAAGCAACCCGACGGTTCCGACCAAGTTTGGTTTTTTAATTTCTGTGAAAATAATGAAGTGCGGAGATGCACATCTTTGTGTCCTTTTTTTTTTTTTTTTTCTATTTTAATTATTCGACAAGATTTGTTTAAATCTTAAAAAAATTGTAACCTACCAATTGGCATTATTAATTACTTCAATTGACATTTTGCTTTTCAAATGCTTAATTGTATCATAACCACTCATTGTTCATTAGATTAATAAGAAGAAAATGTTGCCAGAAAGAAATGGACTTTGGATTCGCCCACGACTAAGTTACATAATATTTTACTTATTTGAGATTATTACTTACAGTAAAATTTGTAAATACAAATTTGAATTTACAATAAACTCCATGATAGCGATCAATGAAATACATTGGAGACTTAACATGTTCATTTCCTTTTTAAAATCTGCGTATCAGAGTATACTCTCTTGTCATCACCATCATTTTGCACGGGGGTTTCTTATTCCGGTGATTTACTCATGGACATTTGACATTGTATCTCCTTTTTTATATAGAAAAAAAAAAGTCAATAAATAGTACGCCAATGCAAATTATATAATTGCTCCCAAGTAATATCATTTGTTTTACTAATAGATTTGAAGAGCCATTAGTAATCAGTCCATGTGCCACATGATTAAATTCGATTCGGAATTTCAGCGTATTTTGACTATGCGATCGATCATGTGTAATGTTACAGCAAAAATAAATAAATAAAGAATTTACTACTGTCGTATATGAGCTGGTTCAGTTCGTATAAGTTAAGGTAAGTTAAACTAAAGTATACTTGTATAATTCGAGTCCGTACGCACTCCGAAAGTAGTATAAGCTGTAAGATACTTTGGAAGGTCATGTTCAACCCAGGAAACATGTCAGTCTGTCTTAATCTAAATATTTTTGAGTGTTAATATCATGACTTAATAATGGCCACCTTCAGTATCTTTACGAATCTGTATATTTATTTGGCCTTTACTACTTACTGTTGTTAATTAAAATAAGCCAAAAAAATCACTGCAGCCTTTTTATATATATATAAAAAAAATTATAAATGTCTAATTAATTTTTTTGTTAGGTCCATTTTGTTGTTAGTGAATTTTGTCTCTTTGCTCACCGCTAGTCAATTATACAAAAGTTTGATGTCATCATTGAGATAATACTAATAATTTCGACTTGGATCATTTAACTATCTTATTGCTAGCTAACGTCCACCAGATGGTACGTATGATACTTCTTCCAATGTTTTCTTTTTTCTTGGGCAGAACCACTGCGTCATCATCAAATTAGTCTGATAATTTTTTTTTATTTAAATCTGGTTCTTATTTCACGTACCTAATAATAATAATACCACCTGGATACACTAATGAAACCGCCAAACAGATACATCATACATATGCATTATTGTAGTAGGCTTTGTTAGAGAAGTTTGCAATCATCTATACAAAATAATAATCATTGAGAAAGCGCCTCAGAAAGAGACTGTCCGTAATTCGTGAAAGGGCAACCACTTATGTTGATTGGTTTTCAATGCAATAGTAGCAAAGAGGAAGGTAGAGAGGATTGTGTAGATTTTAGAGAAAGAGTGTGAAATTATAATCGCGAAATTGCGAGTTTAATATAAAGAAGAAAACTTACTAATAATATGAAAACAAAACATAAATCCATGCGATAATTAACAGTAGTAATAAATGATACATGGACTTACAATAACACTTCAATAACATTAATCGAAAGTCGAAACCTAACAAAAGGGGGTTGGGGGGAAAGGTGGGGTCCAAGTCTTCACTAAGAAAATTCTTACAATGAAAACCATGGTCCAAAACTAATTAAAACCACTCCCTAATTAAACCATATGGAAATTATGTGAACTTTTAACCAATCAATCATTAATACATGAAAACATCTGGGGAGGCCATGATTGGCTGATTCACATTAAGCAAATTCCAGGGATTCAAGAAATCAAAATCACCGATTCCATTAAGCATCTGACTGAATTCATCATCGTCCTCTGTTCCATTAAGCATATTGGTGCTGCAAGGATTAATAGCATAATTATTATTATTGTTGTTGTTATAATTGTTGTCGTTGTTGGCGCCATTCAAGCAAGAAACAATATCATTGAGGGATTTGAGCCTGTGGGTGAGTTCATTCAATTGGGCCCTGAGGACGGAATTTTCAGATTCAACGTTCAAGAAAAGCCGGGTGGTGAGATTCAGGTTGGACAGAATCTGATTGTTCTCTTCCCGGAGTTGGTTGACTTGGGACAGCATATCATCCAAGTGCTTCTGTTTCCTCATCCTCGACCTCCTCGCCGATTCACGGTTCGAAATCATTCTCTTACGTTTCCGAATGTCCATGATTTGCTGGAGATCTTCATCGGACGATCCCGAATTGGTCTGGGGTTGACTATTTCCCCCTGACGAATTCCCACTAGAACAAGACATGATAATAATCACAGAAAGTAACAATAATAATATGTATCCCCTCGAGTAAACTTTATATAATTATTTAATAATCAAAGAAAAAAGTTTTTGTTAATGGGATAAAAAAAAAAAGATATGAAAAAACTGAAATTCAAGAAGAAAACAGGGTGACAACAGGGTGGAAACTATTGATCATGAGAAAACATAAAACCAGTAAAGGAAGACAACGGAGAAAGATTGCATCAAGTGGGTTCGACGGAGGGTGGAAGTGACAGTGTAACCGGAAAGGAGGACTTCACAGAGTACCGGAGACATGAAGTGCTAACGTTATCAAACTACACGCCGGGGAGGCATCAAACGTTAATACTAATATTATTACTCACTGTTTCCCGAGGAACTAAAAAGGGCAGAGTTTTTCAGAGGCTTAATTGATGAATTAGAAAGAAAAAGAATGAAAGAGGCAGAGATTCAACAGGGTGGTGATGGCAATTAAGCAAAATTTTAAGCAAAGGAGAAAAGGAGAGGAGGGGAAGGGGATTTTGGTTGTGGAGAAGCTTGAATTTATAGGCCTAATTTGGGGTGTATTGATTGTGAAAGAATAAAAAGTATGGTCATGAGAAGACAGCTAGCCAACCTCACTAATTAAAAGTAGAATTATTATTAGTTTTATGGAAATCAATTGAATCCGCCATCAATCACTTGCATCATATTACGAGACCTAAAAGACAAGGGAAATAAAATTATTTAATTACGAGACAATAGATAGACAAGTTGGATCTTTTGTCACCATGGTGAATTAATTATGCTTCTTTCGACGAAGTAAGGTATTTATTTATTTACTTACTTAATTGTAATATTTACAGACAGCCAATTTTTATCGAATTTTCACATTGTTTGCATGTAAAAATGACTGATCTAGTTGTCACATGTCTGTAATTAGATACGTAGTGATGTATATTTCAGAAATCATTTTTCGCATACATTTATAAAGGATAATTAATGTGAAAGAAATCACAGTCGTCTATGTGCATATTCACCGCTAATGGTTTATAGTATTTTATTCATTTATTATTTCGGGCTATGATCATACCATTTCCTTAATTATAAGTCCTACAAATTTTATAAGACGTATCATCATCGGTAGAAATTATAATAGTTATAATCACTTTAATGTATGTGATTCATTGAACAGCTCCGCTTTGAGATAACTATCAACTGCGAATTTGCCATATTTTGATGGTAATAATTAGCCTTAATGAAATAGTATATTTTTAAATTTATCTATGTTTTAAATGAGGAATACAATCCCCCATGATCGCGTACCATTATTATTACACAACATTAAAGACGGTCTACGATTAATTATGTGATCATAAAGGATAATCATCACAAATTTTATATTCCCCCGGCAAGTTAAGAGGCTGTCGCAAAACCTTCCTTTGCAATAAATGTAAATTATATGTCAAGTAGAGAAATAGAAAAAAAAAAAAAGCCATTATCAATAATCAATACATTATCTCAATATATGAGCATGATGATAATACACCAATTATACCAAAAAAAAAAAAGAACTTTTGTATTTTGTAAAAAAACGGAAGTTGTTTTGGACCGATTGATAAAAGAAGGGGGCCAGGAAAAAGGAGGAACTGAAAATATATCATAAAAGCAAGAGCACCAACATAAAAATATTAGATTTTTTTTAGTTTTTATAACACAAAATAGAAAGGGAAAAGTCAGGGTACGTAACTTAAGTGGATGGTCATGGTGTATGCTTCGTGGAACGCTCATGAAATATCTTTATTATGATTGGTAAAATGAAAAAGGCTCGTTGAACATATGGCTTTTTGTTAAAAGCAGAAATCAATTTCCAGTAAACATCAAGTAGAAATTAAAAATTATTGTTTGTATCAGGAAAAAACAATACTAACTTAAAACAAATTAATGTAACTGCATCCAAACTGTTTCCCAGTGGTACAAGTCTACATCAAATGGGTCCAATTAAGCATAGTCTAAAGCTCTTCTTCAAATGTAGCCTGATGCATCCTGGGCTTTGTCCATGGTTGTCAAATTTGTCGATAATAAATAAAGAAGAATGAAATATTAAAATAAGTAATTTTCACTCCCTTCTATCTTTACTGTAAGACATTTTGATTTATTTTAAATTTACTTAGTATGTTATTTTAATTTAAAATAAAATTATAAAAATATTTTATAAGAATTGGGGGATTGAAAATTTATTTTTTTAAGATTTTATTTTTAATTATTAAAAAAATATATTCAATGAAATTTATGACAAACCAAAATGTCTTATAATAAATACAATACATCGAAACTAAGGTTCAAAATTAGAATTTGGTCCGGGACGGCTTGAAAATAGAAAAGGATAGAGGATTATTGTGTGTTTTTTTTTTTTTTTTGAGTGATATAAGATCATGGAAGGATCAAGGATCCTTGGTGCTGATCATAGAACCTCCTTTTTCAACTTGGTAGTAAAAATTAAGATATTTTGGAATTTTGGATCACATATGGATTGACTTATCTTGCTGAAATTCGAATCTCCTTTTCTTTTTTCCCCCCTTCTTATCTAGTGATGAAAAATTCAACGAATGACAAAGGATTTAAAACCACGCGCAAAATTCTGCTGCAACAGACGGTTTTTAGCCCTTATTCAATTGATCATGATTCTTTTTTCTTTTTTTTTTCTTTTTTAAGATTATCTCAAAAAAGAAAAATAAGAATAAGATTGGTAAATGGCGGCTCCGCCTTATCTTAATACCTTTACCGGTCCGGAGTTATTTAAAAGTACAACATTATTACATCATTTGCAGAAAGGACTTATAATACCAACTCTTTTTTTTTTAATGATATTCATTAATTTTTTTTTCTAAATTATAAACACCTTGCCAAATGAGAAAGTTCATGGAAAAACGTTGTTACATGTTCTAAACGGTATTTGCTATTATACATTTCTTTCACTAATTTCCAGAATCTTCTAAAAGGATGTCAGTTGAAAAACGATAGTTTGGTTCGAACAATGTACCATGTTGGCAATTCTGATTTTCAATGCTTAGCTTGCTTTACATTTTTGTGTTGGACAATTGAATTACAATATCTAGAAGGATTCTTTTCCGCTGCCTCAAAACAACAAATGACAGCCTTTACATCTTCAGTCGTTTTCTCCTTTTACTACAACATTATTTATTTTATTCCCTCCGTCCCATAATTATTGTCCACTTTGCCCAAAAAATTTTGTTCCAAAATTATTGTTTAATTTGACTTTTTATGGATCAAGTTACACATTTATCCTTAGTAAAAAACATTATCCATAAAATCTTAGTAGTTAAACAATTACTTATGTAGGGGTATATCCGGTTGTTTAAGGTAACATATAGTTAAGTTTGACCAAAAATAAAATCTTTCATTTTAGTAAAACTGGACAATAATTATGGGATGGAGGGAGTATTTTATTTTGTTTACCTCTTCCGGGCAGAGTAGGCAGAGGAACACCATTCCTGTCCACGACCGACACTGGATCGACGTGCAATACGCCCTAGTATTCTCCAACAATGTTCTCCCAGACATTAACACTAGAACATTTTTCCTCTATGCTATCCAGGGTTCTCTATGGTATGTTTTCCGTTAAGTTAAATCGGAAGCAATGCGGCAATGAATACCTTAGAAATTGCATTATGCTAATTGCAAATACTTTCACTCCAGGAAAGAGCAAATAATCAAATTCTGGACTTACATGATTAGCATGTTAGAAAGGTCTTCAGCATTTAAATACCAATGCCACCCAATTCTTGATTTTATCCTTAACTCCTCCATGCATCAAAGCAATCAACTCCACAAATACTCAATACGGATGACAATGTCCAAATGGGCTGAGGCGCTGATCTCTTTTGATCTTATTGCTCCTTTGATGAGATGACATCCTGAATTGCACAGGAAACTGAAATATGAATGGCAAAGACAATGCAAAAGGGCTTAAAAAATTTATGCTTCCTCCACAAAGGGAGAAAATGGAGGAAGAAATGAGAAAGAGGTTCAAGAGTTTCATCGATCTTATTTAAACAGTCAAAATTTTACAGCATAGTTTGTCTCAGAGTTTTTTTTTTATCCATATCTTACATATGTATTGGAAAAATACTAAGGGGATTCACCCTGAGGTGCTTATTGTGTATTATTACCACAAATCTCTTTTTTGGCTAAGTAGTTCAGAATATTTATTACGGTACCTATCAGGTGTAAGATAAACAACAACAAAAATATTTTATAAGAATTCCTAATGAACATCCTCAAACACCAACGAATGTCGGCCCCTAGCAATGAGTTGCTGGGCGGTGGCTCTATAGTGGTGGTATTAAAAATACTAATACTAATTTATTTTTTTTAAAAAAATGCAACATATTGAATTTCCATTCAAATTGATCACTTTTAAACAAAAATTCTAAATTTTTTAAAAAAATAAGAAAAAAAAAAAACTACATGATCTTGGTTTTGAGACTTGTGTACATGATTGGTAAGTGTCATATTTTTCTAATTCTAATTTGGAACTCATAGTTATCGAAGTCAAAGTTATCTTCTCCTCGAGACTTCTTCCGCTTGGCGGTAGACTCCCTGAGTTCTTCTAAAAGAAGCCATGTCATGATGGCTGAAACAGATAACATTGTGGCCATAAAACAAACTCCCCCCCAAAAAAGCCTTGAATTTATTTACAGCCATATCTGTTGGTTGGTTGTTGGACAATATATAATCAGTGAGATCCAGCAAAAGATAAATCCATCAAACAGGACCGGTGAATTATACTTACAATAACACATTAATTACATGAAATCATTGAAGCCCACCTTAATTATCTCTCAGAAAAACAAGCATAAAGCGTCAAATTAAAACACAGCATGCAGCAATTTTAGATCTATTGTAGAGATACTAATTTAAAAGAAAAAAGAACTATCATGTATTGCTATTAGAGAGTTATTTATGATGATGGAGAGTACTTACTTGATGAGATGCCACACCCTGACGACAAAAAATCTCTGGTATGCGTACAAAGGTTAGGGCTCTGAGGATCTCTATTTATAATGATGGAGGAGGTTTTTGGTTTTTTTTTTTTTTTCGAAAGTTGTATACTTGTGTGATGATGATAGAGTTCGTTGGTAGGAATTTTATGTTTCCGGATAATTAAGTAGACTTTGAAAATTAGCATTACTGGGGCTTTAGTTTCAAAGTTAATTTGTGAAAATATTAGGGATGTAGCCGTAATTAAAAGGTAAGGACTCCTCCATTCGATTAGTATACTGTATCCCGAAACCCTAACAAGCATAAGCTCCGGGGGAAAAAAAAAAACCTTTTGACGTCTGTGTGTTTCTTCTGATCAATTAAGTTCTTTCGCCATCATTTTTTCTCTTTCCTTTTTCTATCATAATTATCTAACAATATAAAAGTTAATCTTTACTTCTCTAACAATAGGAATTGACGCCGACGGAATATATGGTGTATGCTTTATTGTTTTCTCCTCACCATAATTCACAAGATTCTGATCTTGATTAATTAATTA